CAGGTCAGTTTTCGATTTTCTCAAGAGTTTTCTCATCAAATACAAAAAACCGAGAAAAAACGGAAAAATGTACGAAATATATCAGTGAAATATTACGATTATTATTTTTTTTTTTTGTGGACAACTTTTCTACCGGCAATTTTGTTCCAATTTACAATGATAGCACTTTTTCTAAAAGGAAATCTGACTGGGAAGGTACATTTAGGAGGTCATTTTTTGCTTGTCCCAGGAGTTTTCCCAATAAATGGAGAAAACCAGAAAAAACATGGAAAAACCGGGAAAAAATGTAGGGAAAAGGGATAATAGGTACAATATTAAACAGATATTAATAAAGAAAATATATAATGCCTATTTAATTATTTTACCATAATATGACATATATACATATTTTTGACAAAGTATCACTATCAACTGAACCCCGCTCAGAATCGGTTTTTCGTTCGCAACGGTTTGTTGTTTCTTACAGATGTACATTAAATTCCCTTCTGTGTCCTACCTTCTCAACTTGCCACCTACAAAAAACAATGGCTGCACCCGTCCCCATTATCCTAGGACAGCTTTTCTTTTTCTTTTTTCTATCGAGCTAATACAACTTCGGCAACATTGGCCGTTAGTTATTTTTCGGGCTAACATTTTGTTTACTCACACGCCAATTAGATATAATATAATTTCATGTTTATTTACATTATGTTGATGTAATCGGAATATTATTTCCGTAAATAAACATTACAATGATTATTACAATCATCGGTATTATTTCTCGAGCAGCCAAGGTGTTCTGGTCGCCGCGGTAAAAACCGTTGTTATTCGATTACAGTTTTTAATCGGGCACCGGCACCGTCGGTGGCGATAGCATACTACACGATACAGTTACGCCGATTGGGATACCGTACGGAAATAATATTGTAAAGAGTGTCGCCAAAGGCGCACACGCGCTACGGTCGTATAGGAAATACACGGACGCCTCCCGAACAACGGACGGTCCCGTTACGTTTATTTTTAAATATTGTTATTGGAACGGTAGGCGATGTTTTTTTTTTTTTTACGCCGCTGAAAAATATATTCCACCGAACCGATTCTTGTGTATTTTTTTTTTTTCCCACAATTTCATTGTTTTTCCAAACGCAATACGGTCGCGTTATCTCGATAAACGGCCCGGGGCGTTGCGAAAATTCCGAAAATCGATTGATCGGACCGGGGAGTCCGTTGTGGATGATGTCACTATTCGCTCGCCGTGCGCACGCGCCCGCGTTGCTAAACCTCCGTCCCCGTCCGCAGCTGCGTGGTCGTCGGTGACGTGCGTCGATGCCAGCCCGCGTACACTGCGTGCACGCGCACGCACGCGACGTTCACGGGAAGCCGGGAAGCCCGCAGCCGTTCCCACGACCTCCGGCCGCGTTACCGAGCGGAAGGCCGCCGTCTGTTTATCAATAACGAAATCCAGCCCATATAGTCCCTGGCCCGGGGGTTTTCGAAGCGAACATTTCTTTCTTTTTTTTTTTTTTTTTTTTTTTTTTATCCCGACTCACGAGCGCAGGCGTCATTTCACATCGTTTTTCCACGGGACGCAAAACCTATACCCTGCAAATCGCGGAATCAACCCGGAATCCGCAATATATTAATCACGAAATCAATAATTTCGGTACAACACGCACTTGACATTCTATTTGTCAACCGTCGCGTATTCGAATGTGGGTGTAACGCGATGTTCAAAAACCCACCGTACTCCAACCCAATAACAATATCGATTATTTATTTCATATTAAACAACAAAATTGCCTATCTGCCTGCTCAATAAGTTTACTGTCGGAACAAACAATATTAAACATAATTAGTTAAAACAAAGTCATTTAGATAGTAACAACTCAACAATATCTATACGCTATAGGTATTGTGAATAAGCATCATTTAATTACGAGTGGGGGTACCTATTATGTCCTGAAACGTGAACAATAAAAAAACTCAACGGCACCTATTGTAAAATGCATAAATATATAAGCATATTATCTTAAGCGCAATTTGGGGGGGGGGCTTGGAGGGGCTTAGCCCCTCCAATATAAAAATTAGCCCCTCCAAAAATTTGTATTTAAATTTAAGCATATTTAATGCTTCATTAATTATCTAATCTACATAATATGTTAAACGTTGTTTGAAAAAAACAGTTTCTAAAATTTAAACATGGAAATAATGGAAACGAGCCCGTGCAACGACATAGTGTTAGTCATAGAAAATATATACAATATAAAATATAATAAAATATATGTATGGTGTTAGCAAGGTTTATAGATTATTATTATCTATAAACCTTGGTTGTTGGTCCTTTGTGGCTTTGTGGGTATTACCCATATTACAAAAACTTTTGCTCCCGTGAGTGGCGGGGTACACTGCGGGTCGGCTCGTTTTTCATTTCTATTTTACGTATGCCCGTATGCGATATGCAATATGCGTAGGTACCGTATACCCCACCCTTCCAGGAGACCGTGTTCAATAGTCAATAAACTGATAGTACATGGTGTATTTTTAGAATTGGTTCTGATGTTCACAATAAATCCCACTTATTAGGTATTAANATCTAAGATTAAACTAATAACTATAGTCATAACGCTATTCAGTCATCGGTGCATCGGTTTACGAGTTGAAAACTTATATGTTCAATACTTATATTTCGTTTTTGTAATATACTTATTTCGAAGTGTCGTTCTGCTATTGTTAAAAACCCTTAGTTATAATGGATAAAAATAAAGTGTTTCAAATTTTATATGTTATGTTTTTAAATACCTAAATATTGTTATTTGTTTTAATATAAATATTCTTAGTTTTATTAATGGATCCGTAATTTATGCAGGGAAATTGTTGAGATAACTATGATTTTGGTATTTGAATGGGGGGGAGGGGTGGGGGCAGATGTGGATCTGTTTCATTTAAAAATATTGAGCCCCTCCGAGTTAAAAACTGAAATTGCGCCTATGCACATTATATACTCTATAGTATATTGATGAGAAAAAAAAAATCGCTATAATTGTTTAATTCGCGGACAAGTAAGTATCCTTTTTAAGCGACAAACTGCCGCGGGCGACAACGATTAATTGCGATAGGGATAAGGGTGGAAACGTCGGATCGTTTTTCTTTTATCGGTTAATGTTTTCGAAAGGATAGAGCCCGGGAAATAGGCACCGGGTAATACACACCGGGTATTTGATTAAACAACGCGTTTTGCTTAGCAGGAAATATCCCAAGTACTCGGCCGTATACGTTTGAATCTTTTAGTCGCACTGTTGTTCATATTAATAATTCTGTACACGTTTACTGCAATGTCGCGTGAGCGAAACATTCCGCCGATCAAAATGTAGAAAAAAAAAAAAAAAAAACACCCGCAGCCGGCCCGCAGTGAAAAACGAGCTGGGATTACCGGCGTTTATTATTTGAGACTACCCCTATGCTATCGAACTGTTTTTTCAGTATCACGAATTTCAACGAAACCATTGTGGAACGTATCAGTAGGTATCGTGGATAAGAACCGAAAACGTACACCTAAAATGCGACGAATAACACTATTGAATAGTGCCGTATTACCACCTGTCCGCCCCCGCCATTCCCGGTTACCCGATACCCGGATATAGGATTGATTTTTTTTTTTTCGGGTGGCGGGAGGAGGCCAAAAATTGTCCGCATTAGTTCCGAACAATGAACATTAATATTGTAAAATACAGATGAGATTACAATCAATAGTACCTATTAACATTATCGACTGTCGTAATAACTGGTCTGACCGCAATTTGAACGACGATTCAATCGTTATTAACTCGTGTTACTACAACTGCAAGTATAACATAACAGGCAAGAGCGGGGACCGGGCCCTCTCGTACCCCTCCCCCTTGAATCCGCTACTCGCCTATACTCCCGAACGCGCAGACTAGAAACTTGCAGACGAATTGTTGGCCTGCAGTATGAGCGCGTGACGGTCACGGCTCACTGACCGTACGTATTATTGTGTTAATACTGTAAGTACAATTTTTGATGGTTATACACGTATGCGTTCTAAACGTTGTACGGTCAACCGTGCACTCGGTATCGGACTAATGGTATAATGGTCATTAGCACGCGCGCGTGGTGTGCAGGGTGAACAAAAACCCCCTCCGCCCCCGCGGGTTGAATTTTTTTTCTTCAAATAAACTAATATTACTTCATTTATTTAGATAGTAATCGTTTGCAGGCAATCGTGTTCGAGAGTTCGTGACCGATACGAATACGATAACAATTTGCCGCGAATCTGCGACGCAGTGATCCTGTTCGTCATTATTAACTATCGTCTCGTTTTTATATTATAAACAACAATGTATTATTTTGTGATTAACAATATATAACAATGAATACATGTATAGATCAAAGTGTGATATTAATATTGTATTGTTGTAGGCACCTATTAAATTCACTATTAAATAATTAATCTAATTGATACAAGTATAATATTGCGGATAATATTGATTGATAAATGTTATATTGGTGAAGTAAACCTATTTAATCACCTCTTCTCCTAAAAAATGTTTCCCCTATCCAGTTTCAGTACAAACAGCGGTTGAATATAGGCACACCGTATTCTGTATTATTGTAGTGTGCATTTTTGATCTATAGAAATAAAATCCGAACATTTCGCTTGAATATTTTTTTTTCTTTTATGCTAAATTTCGAGTCGAAAACGTGTGACGGCGGTATTGTTCGCCCGAAAAAAAAAAAAAAATCGCATTACGAAAAAAGACAAAAGATATAGTTTTACTACAATATTACGAGCATTAGCAATTTTATATGGGTAATACTATAGCTATAATATATATATATATATATATATATATATTATTTTTTATACCACAAGTTTACTATGACAATAAAAACAAAAACAATCCGCTTAGTTTATTTCAAATTATTGTTATTTTTATATAAACGCATAAACGTAAAACAAAACTTTCATATTATAATGTTATTAAGGAATTATATTACAATCGCGTGACTATTTGTAAAACAGTTACATGTGTATATTTATTTTTTTTAAGCGGATACGTGCAATATACAAAAGTCAGGGGTTTACAATATTATTACTGTCGTCTCGCGTTTCGTGGATTTTCCGTCCGTCTGATACAAAATAACAATTTCAATATAAATCAACTGTGTCGAATTATCGACCGAACCGATAAAAATATAATCTAATTTGACATTTAGTTTTTTTTTTTGATCAATTTACCAAAAAAAATGAGTGGAAATTCTACCTAGGCTGTATAATATATTATACAGGGTTTCCTACAGTGTTCTGTGTTATCCGAATGCTAATAACTGTCAAAATTCATAATATTTTTTTTCAATCGGGTTTTGTGTCAGGATGACACAAATGTAGAGAAAAATTACATTTTAGTTACATCCTGTAATCATTGAAAAAATAAAATAACTTTATTTTTTTACTTTTTAAAATAGCCATTTTGTTAAACATGTTGTTCTAAAAATTATGAACGTAACATATTCAATCAATGGTCTGCCAGAAATAGCCGCTATAATTTCAGCATTTCAATATTTCTTATCTTGAATTACGACTGTGATCCGCTATCGCGGGCGTCGTTCAAAACCGCACACTTAAAGTTCATAACCGCATGTTTTACACCGTTCAATACCGCCACACATTTTGTCTGTTGTTAAAAACGGAAATTTGGAAGGTCGATAATTCGAAACCACATGTATTTGATTGGCAGTGAAAAGCATTATGGGTGGAACTAGAGACCCAGCGTGGTCACTCGATCGCCGCGCTCACTCGGGCAATTTTAATCGAAAACAACCCTAGATTTGTTGGGTAAAATCACGTTCGATAGGACACAAAGTAAAATGTGTGCGGTTCACTACGGTATTATTATGGCAAAACTGTACATATACAAATGTGCGGTTATGACAACTGCCGGCTGTCGCGTGATGCGGTAGTCTCGTTTTTCACGACTTTCTCTAGATATTGAAACGGCTATTGCTAAGAAACTATTGATCGGACATGAGCGTACGATACGTTTACCATTTTTCGAATAATATATCTTACACATTGGCTATTTTGAAAATTTTAAAAAGTGAAAAACTAGAGTTATTTTTTTCTGTGATTTACGGATGAAAATAAACATTTAATTTTTCTCTTCGTTCGTGTATCCCTCGACACAAAACCCGATTGAAAAAAAAACAAAAAAAACAAAACCAATATCGACAGCTATAGTTAGTGGCATTCGGTTAACACTGTAGGACACCCTGTACGTAATACACATCGTATAGCTATTACAAACCAAAAACGAATCCTGCGCTGAACCCGACGAAAACGATCTATTGTTAAACGTTTTCTAAATACTATTTTATTTAGAATAATACCGATGATAATAATAATAAAAAAAAAAAAAAATTAGATATCTACCTAGTATTACCTATACACAGGCAAATAACGTATTGTAATAAATATCGCAGTGCACAACAGACTATGGGAGGTACCTGTAACAATATTATAACCCGCACCGTTGCGTTCTGTAACTAGAAATAAATGTCGAGAAACGTTTGTCACGCATACGACATTTAAGACACGACACTCCAATAAATTACCGTATAATGCTATAATATTTTCCCGGGCTTTGGTTTTACTGCGACATTCTCGTTGTTCGTCCACCAGACGATTCACTACAATAACATACGATGTACAATAACGAGCTATGTGCGCCTGACCTTTTCGCCATTGTTCATTCGTAACCGCGAACGGCATACCTATAATATAATATTATAATAGTATTTTAATCATATTCCGGTATATAATAAATAATCGGAGCATAAATAATATTTTAATATTTATTACCGTTTAATCGGTTAAACGAATAGATTACACTGACAATCGGGGAAAAAAAAAAGTAAATACATATTGAACAATTACAATTACATTTAACTTTTCCGTTGCGTTGTATTATTATTTGACTTTAACTTTCTTTGTGCGTTTTAATACAGGTGTCATTAATTGTTTGTCCGTACGATCAACAACAGTAAGAATGTATTACGATAACATTACGATCAAATTGAAAATCACAGCAACAGCGATATTGAACTCGAGTACAATATTATCTGCACTTGTTTGACTATAAAATGTCCGAAGGTAACGAAAATCCACAAGACCCGCGACCCGAGTTCTTCGGGAACTATATAATAAAAGCGTTAAAAGTGAAATCGGAAAAATGGTTCAGGCTCATGGTAACGGAAGAACAAGGTTCGAAAGTCTACAATTTTTTGGACAATCCGGAATGTATTGTTTTAATAATATTCCAGGTACTGAATTTGTTTGCATTTATGCCGATACGTATATGTATATCTCTAACAATTATAACAATTATATCAATTCTAAATTTTGGTACGGTTTTATTTCAACAATATAAACTGCAAATCGAATTTAATCAGAAACCGCCAATCATTTACAATTTAAGTATTTTGAATATATCATACAAACCGCACGAAAAGCGTCTTTAAGGAGTAAACTTGATTTATTGGTGACTTTTAAAATTTGTAAAGTGATTAATTAATGTCTTTTAGATATGTAATAATCCATTTTCGACTATGCATTATAAATTGTGCGTCTACACCAAAATGCACGATCCGGATTTTTATCATTATATTTTGTCCACAGTGGCGTGGGCAGGGGGAGATTAAGGATTAAATCCTATCCACTATAGGATTAAAAATACAACAATTATGAGTGGTTTATTTAGTGAATTTCAGCCAAGTTAAGAGAAAAAAAAAAAACTTTGATTTATTGAAAATAAATTGTCTTTTGCGGATCCGGATTTTAAATTCTCGTTGTCGGGTTCGGTATAATAGAAAAAGACTCTATGATCTATTTATAAACCGTGATTGTTATTAAATACATACTTTGCTATATTTAAAATTCCTGGGAACGCCACGGTTTGTCCGAAAAACAAATAGGTCTTCAAAATTGAATATGCCAACGGATATTGTATTTATTAATATTATCCCGATTTAAACAAAATGAACAATGAATGTGTTGAAATTAAATAGTTATAATATAATGATTTCTTTAGATTTGAACCGTATACGCATTTAAATATTCAAATAATGTTATGCACAATGTATTTCAATATCTTTTAATCGTACGTATCTATATATACTGTTGCTGTAAAAATGAAATTGGAATTATTTATCGTAAATAAAGATATTATTTCAAGACATTATATTATGTAATAATATTATCATACCAGTATATTTTTTAATGGATACCATTTTTTTTTTCGTTCAGTTTTGAAAAGATAAGTTATGCAACTCCATAATATTATAATATGCGAACAGATATTATTAGATAATGGTTTTTACTGTTAGAACTATTTAAAAAAAATAGTATACTATGGTTTTGTTATTTTATCAAACTTCATGTATAACAAAGCGACCTATAAATAATTTGACAAATATAATACGCAGATTATTTCATTGTATCTTTTATTTTATTTTGTATTATTATACATTGTATACATGTCCGCGGAGGGGGGAGTAGATACATGCATATTACTGAAATTTCGTAAATCATTTTTGTTTTAGAACATGGCGGCGCAATTATTTGCGATGGACAGTTTCCCGGTTCCTTTGAAAACCAAAGCGATATATTTTGTGAAAATCGGCAAGGTGGTCGTGCCCAAAGACAACCCGAGTTCGGTTTTCATAATCGGAGATATGGCCAGCAAGCCGATCGAACAATTGGCGACTATTGTAGACGATGTGCGTACAATAATATTATTTTATATTTTAGTCGGTATATAGGTATATAACCTAAACTATCTTATCTACAATTAAAAAAAAAAAAATTAAATAAAAACGTTATAAAGAGGAGAACACATAGATTAATGATGAAATAATTAAAAACAGTTTCATTACAATCACACGTTATCTTTTTTCGTTCTCCAAATCCACTGAACCGTAATATATTATAATGATACATATTATACCTAACGAGTACCTGTATTAGATACGACAGGTCATTTTTTCGTAACATAAAAAATGTACCTTTGTAATATTATTCTTTTCTTATTGGTATATGATTTTTTTTTTTATCTAGAACACACAAACCGTTTTTTATATAAACGAGCAATGTGTCAATAATATCCATATTATAAAAAATACCTATACCTATGTTTTCGAATCGCTGTATCTGTATAATTATATGTAATCCAGTCACGTATTATAGACCCCCAATAATCGATATTATATCGTATTATCGTTGTAATATTTTACGCAGTTAATAATATATTATTTTAACAGTCTTATAATACTATGGACTATTATTAATCATTTACTAATTTTTAGGTTTTACTAATGTTTTTATAATTTTTATTTTTTCTGTTTATAAACAATTTTTCTCCTAGAAATTTTGCTCCAATCGAAACATGACGAGAGACATTTTTTGTTGCATTTTGGCTCTAGTTGGTACTTCAAAAAAGAGATTTTTTTTAAAATTCTCATTAATATTCGAGATTTCGAGGAAAAACTAGTTCTTTAGGTTAATTAAACAAGATTTAAATATCAAAAATAAGGTTATTGGCGACCGTTTTTATTAATTTTTTTTGTTACTATTAAGTTTTTATTATTTTAATCTTTTTAAACAATCTTTGTTGTCGTGAAAACTCACTTTATCGAAAAACCAATGCTATTGACCGAACTCCACTCAGAATCGTTTTTCGTTAGCAACAATTAATTATTGCGTACAAACAGTAAATACTCCTCTATATCCTACTTTCTCAACTTCTCTTTTATAAACAGTGGCCCACCCGTGATGCGAAGTATATCCGTCCGCTTTTTTGGTTTGCAACAATGGTCCCCGACACAAATATGCGTGTAGTGCTAAATTGTGAATGTATTCGTATATAGAAAGGATTTGAGAATTTAGAAGAGTGCAGTAAATAATAATAATAATTGGACGGCGTTTGTGAAAAAGCGCACAAGTCACATTTTGTAACATTTTACATTATACAACAATTTTATGGAAAATTTCATGACGGATCGATTGATGGAACTAACATTTGTCTATTTCATTTTTAATATCATTTAACTATTATGTTCGTTTAGACACAAGTCGAGCTCGGAAAATCCGGTGGTGTATAAGAGAGTGGCGTAATTGTGTAAGTCTATAGTGCATTATTCAGTTTTTTTTATCGTCTGAAAAGTTTTAAAATTGTATTTATGTACATTCTCTTGAACGAAATATATAAAATACAAAATAAAAGATCGATGGGTAGAAATCGCTAAAAATGGTATGATAACACCGTGATATAAAAGACCTAAAAGACGAACTATACGGGTTATACGCATTCTACGGATGTGACATTTGATAGAGCAGTTTTTCTCAACCTTTTTACTGTGGAGCCCCTCTAAGTGAATATTCAATTGTTGAGCACTCCTTAAATACATGTTTTATAATATACACTTATTGTTATTACTTATAGATTATTATTAAAAATAAATAATAATGTATTTAAAAAACTATTGAGATTACATAATGTCTTACTGTTATGTGACCAATACGTCTGCTGCTGATAATGCATTTTCCATTCTAAATGATTTATGAATTCAAATATAATCAACTATACATTTATGGCATAATATATTTTATTTGTTAATGCGATTTTTGAAATCGTTGTAAGATTATTAAGTTTCGTATCGATTTAAATAGTCCGTTAGCGGCCTGCAGGTTGAGAAACACTGCAATCGAAAACAGTGACAGCGTAGTAATGGAAACGATAAGCGGCCCGTTTAGCTAGCCTACAGAAGCATTTAGAAGAAGATTATATTATACACTCAATATTATATTACTTATCTATACAAATTCAAATGCAATTATTAATAATTATACGACTGTTCAACATTGAATACCAGCAATACTGTAGCAACTGAAATGGCTTGGGCACATAATATTCAAAGCAGTATTGGGCATTGGCTGCATATTATATATTTATATAGATTTTGATTCTTATGAAGAATCTAAGCGATTTTAAACAATCCTATTGGAAATCCTATTCGAAACAATTGTGTGGACGTAGTATGCAAAAACGTTCGTATCGTGTAGATATTTACACGAACTTTAAGCTATACCTGTATAATACCATTGTTTACGAAGTGTTTTAAAAGAAATTCTACAACAAAGAGACAGCACTAACGCGTTTTATTATCATGCTATACGCTTTTTTTTTTTTTTTCTATTAATTTTTTTTTTCTAAATCGTAGTGGGTATATATTGTAATAATTATTTTTATATTGTGTGTGCGTGATACACGATACGACCAGCAACAATATACCAACATATTCGTGAGCTCATTACGCCGTTCTAAACTGTATATATACTCAGGAGTGGGGCTAGGTACAGGTTTTCTTTTCTCCCAACAATGTTTCGTCTCGGGGTTTTTTTCTTCTTCACGTCACCGTATTATAGTTACAATTTATTATAATACAAGATATCGACACAACCGGTAGCGGCTGGATAATAATTTGAAATTCAAATTTTGAATAATACAGTAGGTTTATTCGCATATCGTATAGTCATGTATAAGTTTTGACGTACATTAAAAAATATATATTCAATGCGAAAGTGACAAAAACTCTGTTCGACCGCAACACAACAATGCGATATCATGACGTCTGCATATAGAGAGCGGATTTGTATGCGTTTAAACCGATAAGAATATATTATGATGTTTTTATACTCTACAATTACATCGAAATATTCTTTTTTATGCGGAAATATTGTTTTTTTATTTTTTATTTTATAATATAATATTATGGTGTTTCATTAAAATGTATATAAAACTGAAAAAAAAACCCGTTAAAAATATACGAATTTACAAGAGCATTGAATCCGAAATATTCTTTAACCTTAAAATATGTTTTTTTATGGAGACAAATCGTATTGAGCTTTCTAGCTTATCTAATTTTAGAGCTGCATATCAGTTTATATTGTGATAAGATAATGAAATTCACATTTTTCGTAAAAATACGGACTTAAAAATAAAATAAAAAACATAAGGTACTCAGTTTTTATACAAACAATTTGAAAATGACCAGAAATAATTAATATTTAAATAAAATAATGAAGTTACGTCAAAATTGTTTATTTAATAATTTATTATTATTAAAAGAAATATAGGTAAATAAGTGATATTTTCAAACATTTATTGTTCTTTTAACTAGTTAAGTTAATAGTTATATAAAAAGTAACTTTTAACTTTTGAATTATTAACTCAGCTTTATTGGTTTGTTATATATGCGCTTAACACACTGTGAATTATTTTAAAATATTAATCGTAGCCGGTCCACATAAAGTCTAAGTACAAGGATATTGTGCACAAGAATGTAATAACATAAAAAGTAAAGAGAGGATTAGAGTAATAATAAGTTTTATCGGGGTTGTGATAATACAAATTACAAAGATTAAAAGAAGAAAAAGAGGATTGAAATATACAGAGTGATTCAAAATGTATGTTACAGCCATTTAATCATGTAAATATTCAAAATAGAGAAAAATGTATACTATAAAAAATCATCAAAAAATCTAAAATGATAATTTGTAATTTTTTTTTTACTGGGGGGGGCTTTTGAAGGTCAACTTTTGATATTTAAATAGGAATCTATATTTAAATATCTATAAATGAAGTATAAATTTTAATATAAGTTTAAATAAATTTTGGTGTTGACATTTTTGATTTCCGTCGACTTGTTGACGAGATATTCCACTTTGTAGTTTTGGTAATTGAATAGTAATGGAACACTATGCGCTTGTATAAGATTGAACCATTAAGGTAGTTACAGTGGTCAGTTTCTCAAAAAAAAAAAAACTCGAATGAGTAGTCTAAAAGTCTGAGCTAATGATTCGAAAGAAATTCACGAAAAAGGTAATTATTTTTTCTTTACAGAGTGGGTTGGCTAAGGAATTTCTCCCGTGGCCAAGACGCTATGAAAAAAATAGTTATATTTTGTAAGTTTTAAAAAGTTTCGTCGGTATTCACGTCAGTGCCGACACAAGATAATAAATTTACAATAGATTTGTATTGATTCGAATTTTGTACAGAAATTATGTGAACCTATAAACCCTGTGATAATGATGGTGACGATGTCATAAAAGAGCTGACCGGCATCGCCACTTACTATTTTATTTTGACTGTTTTACAATGATTTGATTGTAAGAAATACAAAATCCTTGGATACATTTGAATATATGCCCATTTAAATTATTACAGGTATTCTCGTACAGTAAGTATTTCTATATACAATTTTAATCAATACATATCTATTGTAAATGTGTGATCTTCTGTCGGCACTGACGCGTGAATATCAACCGAACCTTTTTAAACTAATAAGATACAACGATTTAATTTGAATCATTTAGTTCACATTGTTGTAAATATAAATAATACCATACGTATATGCGGGTATACGATATATTCTCAGTATTGTGAACACAACGTTACGAACGTGTGACGGCCTTGTGCGCGATGCTAGACCACATGTTATATTATGATTATTGTTATTGATGTAATACATTATACAGAGTCTTCTAAACGTCATGTTAAAGTTAAATTTTCCATTAAATACACACTTGATTATTCATGTAAAAAAAAATTGTTTGGAATCATAATTCTAAAATTTTATGTTTTGTTCACTCTTATTTTTGAGGGTGAAACCACTACCCAATTTTGGGTAGTTTCAAATAATTTCAAATAGCAATCTACCTATATAAAAGAAATTCGACAAAAATATTCCATTTTAATTTAAGTAGTTTGTAAAGGCCGCCATACACGATCAAAAAATATGTATAACTATCCGTCAACCTGTTGATGAGATATTCTATTTTTAAGTTTGGATAGGTGGAGATCCCCATCCAAAATGTTTTATTTATGAATAGTACAATTTTGTAATTTGATAAGTCATGTATATTGTGTATGGCTTAATAACCATATATCGGTATTGTTGTATTCATCTCTGTTAACTAATATACTGAGTGATATCAATTTTAAAAAAAATATAGATAGCATATGATGGCCATAGAACTGCAATTTCAAAAATATTAATACTAATTTGTTATTCCATAATGTTTTGAAAACATTGAAATTCAAACTAAGTTTGATAAACTTGTAATGGATATAATATTATAGTGTTTAGTTTCGAATTAGTTTCAATAACCTTAAATCGATTAGTAATAGGAAACAATTCTTAAAATGGCCATAGTGGGCGACTCCACCCTATAGTACTGTTTTTAAGTTATTAACAATTTCAAGTAGTTTAAAATGAATACATTTTAAAATAATTGGGAAAAACCCGAAAGAAAATTATAGTTAAAACGGCAAATATTTAACGGCGTTACAGTTTTCATTGTTTTTAAATTTTGTTCACGATATTTTCTACCAGAAATATTGCTCAAATCGAAAAAGAATAAGTGATCGAATTTGTTTCTTGTAACATATAATCACTGTCAAAGAAAGTTGTTGTTTGATATCCAAAATAGTTTTCATAATAATTGGAAAAAAAAATAATACGATATTTTCAATTACGGTGCGACGATTTTATTATTTAACATTTGTACGGCTTATGTTTTCTACTGTAAATATTGCTTCAATAAAAAAATGACAAGAAACCCTTATTGTTGAATTTTTAACCCAGTTTGTGAGTGAATATTTGTTCTTTTCCCGCATAAAATGTTATAATCTCACCGAAGTCGATAGAATGTAAAATGCAAAAGAAAATTGAATCACTGCCAATGGCCGTTTCTTTCGAGGTCCGGCCGTCTGTGATGTGAGAGTGAGACACAGGCGATTTTTACTACGGTTTATAATATTATAATATTGTTACCATGGTTAAATAAACATTACCTTGGTGCACATCGAAACTGATGTCAAGCGAAGTAAATCGTACAATGGAGTCATTCTTATTTAAGGGAAATATAACATATGGCCGTAGTTTAGTATCAATGTCACTATCAAAAAATATAGTAGGTATTTCAATAAAAAAATGTAAAATTAGGAAATAATACGAATACGAGCGAGGTAAGCGAACGGAAAATCGTTTCACTTCCGTAAAATAAACATCATTATAATATTATATAAATGGCCTGGTAGAGGAAAAATATTGGCCCGACTCAAAATATTTACATCCCTATTGAAAGACCGAAATGTCGTTCCTGGTTCGAATGTATATTTTACTCGATTTCCTATTTCTTAATAATCGTTTTTATATTCGTTGACCAAGCCTAAGTTCTAAACTTGACGAAACCAAGATTGCGTTAATTATTTTTGAATTTATTAGACCGTATATTTCTACAATAGCTTTATAATTATTATGTATTGATTACTCATAATCCACAATCACAAATGTTGGATAAAATAATAAATAACGTTAATTAAGTGTATTGAAATTATAGTGGCACGCCTGGTGAAATGTTTAAGCATTTCTTGTATGTTTACACGAGTGACCAAAATAGCGCACTGTCTGAAACGGATATTACAGAATGGCTGAAAAGTGTTTCGCCCATGTACACCATCATAATAATATTAACATATACCTAATGTATTATGATAAAAAGTTATTCATTCGATTTCATTTATTGTATCCTTCAGATAATGGCAATTTCACTGTATACGGGCACTTTTCGTGAAATTGATGTTCACTCCGTGAAAATTTCGATTAGGTACACTAAACGGATTCGACATACATTGTGTATTTTGGATATTTATTTTACACCCAAACAAAAATTAAATTGCATTCAATTTGTGAAATGCGCTGCAGTATTATAATTCAGCGGTAATATTATTTGTAGGAAATATATCGACACGATGGTATATAATCGGTTAGTAAACGAGTAAAACAACAATATTACCAACGAAATCAATAAAATAATATTATGCAAAATTATTTTCCATAATATGTATTATTATTATTATTATTAGCTCGAGCTCATTCGAATGTTCCCATTATAATATGCAATGTGTCAAATAAAATGTTATTATAATGTACAAAATAATATGCAGACAATCAGTCACGCCGACGACGGTGATAATAAGCAGTTGCTCGTTTTTTGTATTCGTTTTTTTTTGGTTTTTTTTTTTTTTTTAAAGATAAATATGTGTACCATTTGAATGTACGGCAAAAAATAAAATAATTATAATATACATAAATAATGCGGTTGCAGGAAATACAACTGAATAATACGAACAACGCGAGAATACCTACTTATAGAATAATATATTATTATATTATAATATATAAACAATGTATTTTTATAATTTATAATTATAATATACAATGAAATAGTTAATTAAATGGGCATTTATTCAAACGAACCCAGGAATTAATTTATTTCCTACAATCAAAACATTGTAAAACAGGTAAAATAAAATAGTAAGTGACGACGTCAGTCAACCCTTTTATGACATCGCCGCCATTATTATCGCAGGGTTTATAGGTTCACATAATTTTTATACAAAACTATGATCTTCTGTCATCACTGACGTGAATGTCCACCGAAATTTTTATAAACTAATAAAATACGAGTAAAACAGTTTTCTTGGAAGTTTTTAGTTACACTGTTGTAAATATAAAAATAATACTATACAAAACATTTTCAGTATTACGTGAGTATAACGTTAAAAGCGTGTGACGGCCTTGTGCGCGATGCGAGACCTTACATTTTCATATTATTATTGTTATCATTGTAATATTGTTTGTCTTTATCCGAAAACCTTTTACACAAATATTACTGAACTGGTATAATATATTATAGAGCACAGTCAGGTCTGGTTTGAGAGCGTTTAAACACACCTAAGAAAACTTGGAAACTTTGAAATATGTACTTTCCATCAATCCGTTGACGAGATATTCAATTTTTAAGTTTAGGTAGGGTGAGACGTAGCACTTCTTTTTAAAATAGAAAGCTGTAGCTAATTGAAATCAATTAACGAATATGACGTAGTAACGAAATGCGCAGTATTTTTTTTTAAAATTATGGATTATTGTTTAATTCTGTTTATTAAAAATTCAAACAATTATTTTTTCTTAATCATTATGTCAAAAGAACTATCATAATTGATAGTCTACTCCACAGATGATATTTTGTTGTTGTGGTTGGTAAACGGTTGTTGTCGATATTATGTTATCATTATAATAATATTATTATGATTATGGATCTAACAATCTTCGTGATTATGATAACAATAAAAAAAAAAATACGGACATTTTTCACACGTGGGCAACTGTTGTTGGTGAGAAGTTGAGAAGGTAGAGGTGAAATTTAATGTATATCTGTACCTATGCAACAATTAACCATTGCTAACGAAAAACAATTCTGAGCGGAGTTCGGTTAATAGTGTTGCTATTTCGAAAATATATACGTCATATTATGGTAAAATAACTACAAAAGCATTACATATTTTCTTTAATAGTATTTGTTTAATATTGTACCTTTTTTCCGGTTAAATTTGTCGAAAATATAATATCAAATTATAGTTAAATATTTTGGTGTAATTTTTATTAAACTTAATGTATATAATATTTATATTAGGATTTACGAATTTGTAAATTTTACAGTGGATACGGGAGAAATTGAATAATATTTCGGAATGCACATTTTGCGCATATAGACTATTATAGTCACGTATTTAAATTAAAACTCTTATACGGCTTATAGATTTTTGTCCCACTGCTCGCCAATCCGGAAAATCATAAAAATTGGGCCACTGTTGTTTCGCTAGATGTTAAAGAACACGTGCACAGTCTTAAAAGTACTGTGTATCAAGTAAAAGGCCAAATAAACGGGCAAACTATTTTACCGATGCCAGTTGGCGTGGAGCGTTTAGATATTATTGAGAAAACCGTGAAAGAAAGGTAAATAAGTCAATTTTTTAAATAAACGTATTGCACATTAATATATATATAGTGCAATGTATTACCAGTAGTTAAGTAAGGTGTACCTATAGTGAAAATGAAAACGAAAAGAATAATTAAACTTGAATCACGGGCTATGATTTTTTTGAAAAGGTTTTATATTTATTTATTTCGAACTCACAGGTTTATGTTCGTATAGTGTGTGTGTGTGTGTGTGTGTGTGTGTGTGTTACATCTCATGGATACATTATTATTACAGCAGAAAAACCACGTTTTATTTTATCAGTATATAAATACTTGGTGAGACATCGAAGGTTATTATGATAGTAAAGTAGTATAGAATAATTACGATTGCAGTAGCAATATGTCTACTGTCTAGATAATGAGTTCAATGGTATACTTAATGTTTTATAAAATATATACAGAGGTTTGTTAAAGTGGTACATTATTTAATGGCGGGAATAAATACTAATTGTTTCAACATATGAATACTATAACAATTATAATAAATATCATATTATAAAACAAGCTTCTCGTAAATTATTGTATACCTGTACGGTTCGTTGAAAAATATGTACTATAATATAGGTACATGATAAAATCTAAAATGTTTATTATTACAAGTTTATTATGATTATACCTTGTTAGGCAATGAATTATGAGATTTCGTCATAACGTTAGGTACCCCGATAACTTCAATTTTTAATAATGTGAAAAATGGCATGGTTACAACTAAGGATGTGAGTGGGTCTTCAGCACACCCTAATTTTAAATTAGCACCACTCCCCCCCCCTTAAAAAAAACTCAATAAGCTTTCTTATAAGTAATGATTAAATTTTTTTATCCATATTATTTTTCATAATTAATGAGCAGAACTAAATACAGGGTTCCTACAAACAATGCGTGTGTGTATAATAAATAATGATAAAATAATTATGATAAATCTGTATCTGTATATACAAAATTGTAAATGAAAGGCGTAGTTGGCTATTGTAAGAGTCGTGTAAAGTGGATTGTAGGAGCATAGCCTCCATGGGTCTTTGATGTGTCGATAATTTTAGCACTTACAAAGTTGGTGGTCTAGTTGCACCTATGAAGAATGGTGGAATAATAGAGAATGGAATGGGAATGGTCCATTATTGTACTAAAGGCCTTAATTATACAAGAAACAAATGTAAAAAAAATACCGTAGAATGGGGTACCCATTTGTTTTCAATGCGAATCATTATTAGGTATTATTTACCGATTAGATGTATTAAAATAGAATAAAAGTTTGATTAAACTTTAAAATTACCTACACAATATTATCACAAAGTGAAATTTACAAACAAGTATTTTATATATATATATATATATATATATTTTTTTTTATAAAGCGATGGCAAAATAGTCGATTTACATTTTAAATCAGCTGTCGAAGGTGTTATTATAAAATGGGCAACTCAAATAAGCGAAGTATTGAGCGCAGATTCAACGTCTACACTTAAGAGTAATCAACACTTGACTCCATGGGCCGGTATAACTCAAATTAATATTTTTATATTAGTAATAATATCATTTGACATTCGACTAAAACGTGTGTACTTAATACAATAGTGCACCACGTATTATTGTTAAATTTTTAAACTATTATAATTAGTAGAAAAAAAAAAACAAGATTACACATAGGTAGGTACTGAATTTAATTAGAAATTTATTAAAAATTAAATATTTATTAGAAGTGGCGTTCTGGAACAACCGAGTACAAAATTTAGAATATATTTTCGAACAGTTAAGAAACGGACAGATAACAAAGATGACTACAATCGTTCAACTGACCAACAGTGCTTATTATCCGTGCTTAAAGAATATCCACGCGAACGTTATTTCTGGTAGTTTAAGTTAATGTAGTGAATGAGTATCCACTGCGTAATACAGTGTGTGCAATCGTGACGTTTATACTTCAAATAAATGATTTTGCAGCTCTAGAAGAAGCCAAAGATATTGTTCGCTATTTGAAGCCGTTGCAAAAACATTTTAAATTATTAGAAGAAACCGATTTCGGCGACATAGGTGCGTGTTTAAGTCCGTTAATGCACGTCGTGTGCCTAGTTTGGTCCAATTCTCAATTTTACTGTAGTTCCGGAAAAATCATTGTTCTTTTAAAGGAGATATGCAATTTGTTAATCGCACAGGTTAGCGGTTAGGTTTACGATAATTTTATAGAAACAGATTATTAATAATAATATAAATAAGTAAAAATGTATGTACCTGCAGGCAGTAAGATATTTGGATCCATCGTCTATATTTCAAAGTGACATTCATGAAACAAAATTGCGAGTTCGCCATTGTATATTTATTTTTGAAAAATTTAAGTACGAGTACCCACATGCAGTGCTCGAACTGGACAAATAAAATAAGAGGGACTGTGTGACTTAAAAAAAATTAGTGTCCCTTGTAATCATTGAACAATTATAATTATTCCAGAGAGAAAGACGATGCGTTTTTCCTATTATTCCGGATATAACGTTCAATTCATATTTTAACATTAAAAACTAGTTCATCGTTTTTAAATGACTGTAAAATTTCAAAAAATCAATTAAAAAAAAACAAACGCACCGTCTTGCCCTCCAGAATATTATCCTCTCTTAATTTTATAATAGGTACTTTTATTCGGAACGATTCGGCAATGTGGGGGGGGGCAACTTCACAGACGTCAATCATTTTCACGCAGGCTTCATTTTTGCTTATATATTTATTTTATTCTATATATTATATATTAGTATATTATGTATAGAACTGTAAATTTAACCTATTAAAGAAGTATTTAATTCTCCCAAAAAAGAATTAAAATTTAAAAAACATCTTCGAGCAGCATACTTATATGTATTGTATTATAGTTTCAATGAGCATATTAGAGGTTTCAAATTTCAAACCCTGCTCCTACCAATTTTATGTTCGGATTTTATCATTATAAATATTACTTATAATATTAAGTTTTTAAAAAATATTTACTATATTGAATATGATATTTTTTAACAAATATTTTTTTCTAAAATATCGTTATTTGCAAAAAGAAAAGTACCAACCCTTTGTTCCTCTGCCCAGTTCGTTCACTGCTTATAAGTATTATAACAATATTTATGTTTATGGATTATGAGTCAGTTTTATTTGTATACGTTTTACCATAGGAATATATTCAAAGAATATCGTCGAAATTTACATACTTATTTTAAAAATGGAGCAACGCCACTTTTGTGGACGTTTCATCCGAATATTATTTTTAACCGAACCGATTTGTTCATCAGAAGATTACAGATTATCGAAGTAAACATTTTATTCATTACTTAATGCAAATGTGTACGTTATATTTTGTTACCTACTTATATTAGCTTTTATGTACAAATTCGTTTTTAGTGGTTTTTCGATACAGTGGTCGAATTTACAAAGCTGGAAAGGATTGAATTCAGTGGACTTAAAGGTCGATTGCTCAGTGCTCGTATTACTGAAATATATTCTGATTTCAACGAACAATTTTCGTTGTTTTCTAGTAAAGCGTACGATGTTCTTGAACCGGAAGATGAACGTTTCGAAATAGATTACAAACAGTTCAAAGAAAGCATTAAGGATTTGGATCATCGTCTAGCATTTACGCTTAGTCAGGCGTTTGATGATTGTCATAATTTAGATGGCGTTTTCAAGGTTTGTATAGCTACAATATACCTAATTTTAAATTATTTTGTCATCATTATCGTATAGCTACGATAATGATGACAACCCAGTGACGCGACTATAGGGGTCGCGTCATTGGGTCAACCCAAAGTTCAAACTTTGGTTTTTAGTAATATATTGAATAATGTAATAATTTTAGTAGTGCGATTATAGTATTATTATTATAGTTAATTGAGATTGTCGGAGTGGTAATGGATCGTTGTCAAATGAAAGACATGTTTGCAAATAGCTATGGTAAAATTTTAAACATGTTGTCAGCCGAAGTTGCGATTTGTAAAGTTCGTAGATATGCACGTGTACTTTAATTTTATATTAAAAATGACGATTTTTTTACAGAATTTGTTTGAAAGCCAACATACAGCTATTAGAACTCAGAGTTCAACGATCCTTGATAAACTAATGCCACCAATAGCGGGTTCTTTAAAATGGTCATCGTCCCTTAAGGCTAGAATCGAACATCCAATACAATGTTTTAAAAATTTGGATCATCCGTAAGACACGAATTTCGGTTAATATTGAATTCACAATAAATTAATAAGCTTACGTTATAGAATCGTTCAGTCAGAATCTGCCCAATTAATTATAAAAGACGTAGATGAAATGATTACTTCTTTGAACAAACTTGAAACGGATTTGTTAGAAAACTGGAAAGTCACTGTATCAACAAAATGCGAAGAACTATTAAAATTGCCATTGTTTGTTCGTAGATCCAAGTGCAACGAGTTACAACTCAATTTTCATCCAGAGGTAAATCAAATCTCAAAGTCGCATTATTTAACATTAATTTTAATAATAAAAAAAAATATTTTTTCAGTTAGTGGCGATATTAAGAGAAGTTCATTATTTTCTTTCATACGAATTAAACGATGTACCAATCGAAGCATTGAAATTCTATGAAAGGGAAGATATATTTAGAATATATTGTATTAATCTTAACGACACCAAAGAATGGTAAGCTGATAACTAAATAAAACACGAAAATCACTGTATTATAATTCATTATAATAATTTATTCTAATTATAAAATGCATTAGTTATAATAAATTGAGAAACAATAGTCGAGAAATCGAATTTCAGTTGGTTCAAGAAAAAATCGAAGAAATTGACGAGTTAATTAAAAAAGGAGAATATTCTTTAAATTGGAATTCTGAAGGTATACAGTATTAACGTTTATAAAACGGATAATAATTTTAAAAATAATTATCGAATTAACAATATTATAATAGGTCTTAACGAATACATTGGAAGTGTTCAAGATCTTGTAAATAAGTTGTATCGTAGAGTGCAAAAAACACAAGAAAATATAAAACGAATGCGATCAGCGATATCTTCTTGGGCTAGACTCCCTGTGTTATGTCGAAAGGATAATAAAAGGGAATCTTTATTAGCAATCGACGATCGCACCGAACGATTTTCTAAAAGGTTCCCTACATTATAAACTATACAGTTGTAGATAGTTATTAATACAATTATAATTGTGTTTTTAGTTAATTCAATTTGAAATGTTTAATTATTTATATCTATTAAATTATAAACATTTTTATTTACTAGACGGAAAGAAATTGAAAAAGCAGCTGCTGACATTCATAAACTTCTTCAAGAAAATTGTGTATTATTTGGTATGCAGGATCAAACAAATCTTAAACAATGGCAAAATTATAAGGCTTTCATAGATTCTATTGTCGCGGATGCTCTGTTGAATGCAATAGGATGCAGGTGGAAATATACAAATTATGCAATTATTTATAGTATTATAATACGTATTAAAATTCGACCAAACTATAATCCCAATTTTTTTTTTTTAATGTATATTATTTAGCTTGTGTTACATAGTAGAGAATATGATTCCAAGATCTTCGCACGCGCCATTGTTCGAAGCTTGTCTTGAGCTACACGAACCGGATCTAGTTTTTACACCTTCGTTAGATTCAACCGTCGAAGGAAATTTTTGTTCCATCATTGAAGGAATAATCATAGAAATAATAGACCTTTCTAAACTTATGCCGCGGATCTGTGATAAAAATAATACTCACGATTATTTTGTAAGCCAAATGCATTACTTTTTATCTTTAAAATATAATGTTATTTACTTATTATTTTTTTACCCTACTATAGGAAGAAATGAATTCTAATCAAGATATATGTGATATGAGGGAAGATATTATGAATACAGTAACTCGGGTGATCGAAGAGGTGATTTATAATATTCATACATCAAACCATAATACCATATACATTATTTTATTTGTTTAAATACATTTTAACTATAACACAATGTTTTACAACTAGGCAAACAACTACTGTATAAATTTCGAAAATTATTCTTATTTATGGTTGGACGACCGAGAACTTTATATGCAGCATTTTTTACGATACGGACATCCGCTTTCAATAGAAGAATACGAAAATATGTCATTAGACGAAACGTATACACCTCCAGTTGTGAGTCCCACTATGGAACAGTTCAAAGAACAAGTAGGGCCCTATATAAATGATTTAAAAATAATTAAAAATAAATAATAATAAAATGATTTTCATTTGTCTAATATATTTTTTATGTCATCAGATCGATAATTTTGAAAATCTTTACTGTGAAATAGAACAATTGAAATCGGTCCAAGTATTCGATTCGTGGTTTCAAGTAGACATGCGACCGTTCAAACAAGCATTATTAAATACTGTTTGCAAATGGAGCCATATGTTCAAACAGCATTTGATGAACAATGTGACTAATAGGTAAAAAAGTTATAAAAAGAAATAAACAGTTTCATTATGTAGTCAAGAGGCCCGGTGCTAGTGCGTTTTATGGCTCAAAAACACGCTTTACGGAAAAAACTCAGGCCTCGTAGAGTGGTGCGATTTCGATGATTATTATTTTTGTTGGAAAGATGAAGACGTGGACGTCATACAGTTTGCATTGAAATCTGTTTTTACATTTTTTTATCACAAATTATATAATATGTTTTTAAAAAAAGAACTATTTTTAACTTCTTTTTACTTACTATTTTTTATACCATTAATTTCAATCAAATGAAAAATCGAAGCTCAATGTTAACGATGAGTTATTTTGGCCGCACCACTTTCCCTAAATGGGTATCGAGTAGCAGATTAGTGGAAAATTCTTATCTTTAATGTGCTAATTGGAATATTAAAACTCATTTTTACATTTTTTAAAAATAAAAAAAATTTAAAAACCAACACTGGGCCCCTTGAATGTAATTCAATTTTTGGGATACGATTTTGAAATATATTATGTGTTAGTCTTTTTGATTTGGCCAAGTTTATACAAGACGCGGATGGTGGTTTGATGCAACCGGTGATGGAGGGAGATTATGAAGTTCTCGTTAGCGTTATGGGTTATTTATATAACGTAAAAGAACGACAATCTACTACAGATGAAATGTTTCAACCACTAACAGACACAATACAGTTGCTAAAATATTATGATATGGAACTTTCAGAGGAAGTCAACGTTCTTTTACAGGTTTTAAATTAATAAAAAAAAAAAAAATTACCCCATCTACTATGTAATAATCGATATTTAGGAGCTTCCGGAACTTTGGAATAACACTTGCAAATTGGCCATTAATATTAAACAACAAGTAGCTCCTCTGCAAGCGATCGAAGTTAATAATATACGTAACAGAATTTCGCATTTCGATAGCCGGAACAGTTATTTCAGAGAAATTTTCAAAAAAGCTGAAATTTTTAAGTAGTTATGCCAATTTATTGTTTCTCAAAAACGAATATAAAGTATACTGAATAATATAGTTTAATAATATTTTAGATACGAATGTCCTTATCCATACTTTGTATTAAACGATGCCAATTCTAAGATAGTAGATTTCGAATTGAACATGGCTCAAATACAAGAGTCTGCATCACTGTTCGAAGTAAACGTTCCGGAATTTAAATTACTCAAACAGTGTAGAAAAGAACTAAAATTATTAAAAGTTTGTATAGTGTTCCTACTTTTTTTTCTTTTGAAATGTATATTAATGTTCCTTGCATATTTCTAGCAACTTTGGGACTATGTCCATTTAGTTCATTCGTGTATAAATGATTGGAAAACTACACCTTGGCGTAAGGTAGATGTTGAAAATATGGATATAGAATGTAAAAAGTTTGCAAAAGAAATCAGAGGTTTGTAGATTAATAACTGTAATTAATAGGGTGACCATTATTTTGGACTTGAGCACTTGAGTCATTTGCAAGTTCTATATGCTAGAAAAAAAATTAAAAAATAGTGACCTTCAAAATTGTATAGCTTTATCTCAAATCTCAATATTAACTCGTACCAGAAGTAATTTAATGTTTTATCTTTAAATAACAAAAAAAAAAAAAAAAATGACAATAAGTTGTAGTCATTATTATTTTTCAGGTTCATAAAATATTAGAAAAATTCGGAATAAGTAGTATGGATAATTTAGGGATTTATTATAAGTACTTAAAAAACCAAATGTTTTACAATTATTTTATTTTCGTGTATACACAACGTAGCACAATGATCAAATATAATTTATTTCTAGTTTTTGTGTGCTAAATGTCCTTTGTTTTTACTAAAAATGATATTTAATCATTCATTAATATAGGTACCAGCTCTATAAGTTAGTAATATTTAATGTCGATTTCTAAAGTTCAAAAAGACGAACATACTTCGCACGTGTGTGCAGCCACTGTTATAAGTGGGAAGTCGGGAAGGTAGGATAGGTACGGGAATTGAATGTATATCTGTAAGCAACGATAAACCACTAATAAAAAAAAAAACGATTTTGAGCGGAGTTCAGGAGATAGTGTTGCTTTGTCAACAATATTTAAGTCATATTATGGTAAAATAATCAAAAAGACATTATGTATTTTCTTTAATAATATTTGCTTAATATTGCACCGATTATTTATTAATAATATTTTATCTATTTTCCCATTCTCCCGTTTTTCCTCCATTTTTTCGGTTTTTCCAATATATAGAGAAAACTCCCGAGAAAATCAAAAAATGACCTCCTTAAAGTACCTCTCCAGTTAGATTTTTTTTCAGAAAAAATTCTTTCATTGTAAATCGGAGCAATATTGTTGGTAGAAAAGTTGTACACAGATAAAAAAAATACATCATTGTAAAACCATATGCTTCTTCGCTACACTTAAAATCTAAAATTTGATTATTGCTCTAGAGCAATATTGTGTTTTATAACTATAAATAACACAACAAATTAATAAATACAAATATTCTTGAATAATCTTTAATTAGGTAAAAACTGTGAACATGCACGGATTTTATGTTTATAGTTTGTGTGAAAATGAAAACTAGAACTGGTAGGTATATCAATGTATGATTCAATATTATTTTTTATTGGAGGATTAAAAACTTAGTACATAAAAACAACAAATAAATTAGATAAATTATATTCAATCATTGATAATGATTTTAAAACATTTGAGTTTAAAGTACAAGGTCCTTAATTTATTATTATTCACATCTTATTCCGAATTTTTTAAATTTGTTACGACCCTGAAAAACAATAAAATCTAACAAAGCCATTTTTTTTTCAATAAATCAAGGTTTTTTCTATGTTCTTCCACTAAAATATATAATAAAGAGAAATAATTACTAAATGGATATTCATGGTTGTTGTATTTTTAAGCCAGTGAGGGTAATATAACCCCCAACTCCCCACATACGCCATTGTCTATACATAATAAGTAAATTATTTTAACTTATCATCAGGATTGTAATGTATTCGTGACTTCGTGTCATATTAGAGGTACATTAATTATCGTCACAGAAATAAAATAGTATTATACGAACATTTATTCACAGCCTTAGATAAAGAGATGAGATCGTGGGACACCTATACGTGTTTAGAGGCTACTGTTAAAAATATGGTAACGTCATTGAGAGCTGTCGGTGAATTACAAAATCCAGCGATTCGCGAACGTCATTGGAAACAACTTATGACTTCTACAAAAGTAAGATACACACAATTTTCGTACTTAATTCCCTAATCAAACAAATCAATACAAAACATGTTTACAGACTTTAGCCGATTTACCTGAAGCGTATGATGTGAGTAAATAATCAAAACATGAAATGATGTTCATGTTGCTTGTTGTATTTGTCTTTTGTGTGTGTTTGTGTGCATTATTGTGATTTGTCCTATTATTTTGAGAAATGTCAAAAAAAAAAAAAAAAAAAAAACAATAACTTTAAGGCATTTATATGCCTAATAAATGTATATACTATACAATTTACATTTATTTTCATAATATATAATTATAAATAAATATACAAATATGTATGTGTAATATTGTACAAATTATGTATTCAATGGTGTTTCAAATTTAATGTCGTGTGTATATTATTATTAATAGGGGAAAACTTAAGCAAATGTAGTTGAAATTAAGTAAATTGTATATTTAAAAACGTATTTAAATTAGACACACTGTTTCAATTTTAGGTAAAGTTCGTGATGGATCAAGGAACGACTTTAGCTGAACTGTTAGCGTTAAACTTACATGAATGCGAAGACGACGTTAAAACTATCGTAGATAAAGCAGTGAAGGAAATGTCTATGGAAAAAATGTTACGTGAACTTCAGACAACTTGGGCTGCAATGGAATTTTATCAAGAAACGCATAGCCGTACGGGATGCAGCTTGTTAAGAGCAAGTGAAAAACTAATTGAAACACTCGAAGAAAACCAAGTGAGTTTTTGCAATATCGATCAGTACCTACTAATCGTTATTGTTATTGAGTGTACTCGATTACACCACGGCGTTCGCAATTTAAATAGAAAGTAACGTTACGGTCATTGAACTATGATTTTAATAATACTGATCTCGTTTGCCATCATAATATTTCCGTGGTATCGATTAAGTACCTGTCGAACCGTTATTTAAATTTAAAACGGTATACAATTTAAAATTTAAAATAACAAAAAATGAAAACGTACCAGATAAACTGACAGCCTTCGAGACACGAGATTTATATACATAATTTTATAAAATAGGTATTTCACAATATTTTTCTCACTTTAATCACAGTTGTCAGTTCAGTATACAAAGCACGCGATGTTTATAAAACAGTTTTTTTTTTTTTTAGATCGATTATATTTAATATTTTATTTACAAGTTTAAACGTATGTTTTTTTTTTTTGGTAATTTTTATTTAACAAAAGTTGCTTTTCTTAAAAAAATAACATGTTTTAATTATCATCAATTAAAAATCTAATTCCTAATCAATATGTGTCTCGACTTTAAAGTGACAATATTATAATGTTGAACAAAATTAAAGAGTTATACTGTACAAACCGCATTTAAACAAATATGTGTACATTTCATTAATTCTAAATATTATTTTAATATAGTGTTTGGATTATTATTATTATCTTTTTTTTTTTTTGTGTCAGTAACTGCAGAGTTATGTAATTTTTTAATCATATCTATTATTGCTCACAAATTATTACTGCATTATTATTATATAGTTTGCAAACGATATAACAATATTCGTGTTTTTGTGTTTTTTAACTACACTTTTTTTTATGAATTTTTATTGAGTCAATTGAACTTCAATTTACTTTGAAAATATACTATTATATTTTATTATTAATTTTTGACATTTTTTTAATAATTCAATGTCCAAGCGGGCAATTTGTACAATAAAAATAAAAGTATTCTTGTAATCTATGTATTACACATAGATACAACAATTATGGCACGGTTGTAAAGAACAAATCGGTATTAATCCGCAGGGAAATTATACTAAAATTTGCAAGGCACAGTATCAGGGAAGGGGTGATTTTACTCATATAATGTAGCGTGAGGTAGAATTAGGGAAGCGGCATGGTCTCTGGTGTGGTGGGTAAGTATACGGTGTAAGATACTTGACGGTAGAGTGGCTTTGTACACGGTGCCACCAAAGAGAGAAGTAAAGATCGATTTCAGAACGACGAGAGTTAGAATGTTATTAAGGGAGGCAATGTAAGAACATTAACTATAATAATATGGTCTAACCTTTTCTATTTATATTATATTTCATCTGTTATATAGTTATACAAATAATAATTAATATTATTAATTTGTTTTAACCATTTAAGGTACAATTGCAGAATTTGATGACTTCGAAGTTTGTAGCATTTTTTTTGGAAGAAGTATCATCTTGGCAACAAAAGTTAAGTGTAGCAGATCAAGTTATAAATTCATGGTTTGAAGTACAACGGACATGGATGCATTTAGAATCGATATTTATGAGTTCAGATGATATTCGTAAGCAATTACCAGAAGATTCAGAACGATTTTTCCGCATTGATTCTGAATTTAAAGTAAATTTGAGAGATTTTGATTTGTACTAAGAACAATGTGGAATTTTTTTTCAAGCAAAAGTAAAATATTTTTAGGAACTAATGGCAAATATGTCAAAAACACCTAAAGTGATTGAAGCCACGAATAAACCAGGTTTAATCAAACATTTAGACGATTTACATGGTCATTTAACATTATGTGAAAAAGCTCTGGCGGAATATTTAGAAACGAAACGTTTAGCTTTCCCGAGATTCTATTTTGTGTCTGCAGCCGATCTCTTAGATATTCTTTCGAATGGAAATAACCCGGATTTAGTCGTCAGGTAAAATTAAATTGAATATTACAGTTCCCGTAACTATGGAGATAGACAATTTGTGAATTTTTATTAAACTTTTAATATCCCAATTTATTAACAGGGGGAATATTCAGGAAGTCACTTATTACACCAACAAAACAATTAGGGTTAATTTAAAATAGTTGGTAACTTTATAATATTGGTTAAATATCATATTCGTAAAACAACACAGACTTATTTTAATACAATATGTATAATACTCGAGCAAAGTTAGTTAGGAATCTAATTAGTAATTAACTAATAGGAATCCGGTTAATAATTTAAATTTGGTTCATAAACACGTATACTAAAAATATAAAAAATTTACTTCTTATTTAATGTAATAAGAGATATTATACCTAATACCTAATGGAAGTACATTTTTTCAAAAATAATTTCCTCCCAATTTTCGTTATACAGATTTATATTGTATTTATTACCTAGTATTCTTATTGATTCAAGATAAAAAAAAAATGTGTACAAATTGAGTAGAACTCGATGTATTCAGTTCTTAAATATTCATTTAAAAAAATTACATTGAACATATTTGATGTACACACAGTGTATATAATTTTAATTATTTGTGATTTTCAGTGCAATCCGTAACAAAATTGAGTGTACCAATAATTTTTAGATATTTTATACTAACAATTGTGTAAACTATTATTATTATTATTATTTCAGGCATATGATAAAATTATTCGATTCAATGGCATCGCTTGAATTTATCGATTCAAAACCAACCGAAAAGAAAGTAGCTGTAGGAATGCATGCCAAGGACGGCGAATACGTCAAATTTAACGAAAACTGTGACTGCAGTGGCCCAGTAAGTAATATTGTGAAATATATTCCATTATAATCATTATTGTAAATTAATTTTATCCTCCCCTTATTTATTCACCACTGTACACCGATAACTGATAGCCGAGGACCTTTCCGATGACATTTCAACGAAAACAAAATAATGGCCTTGGTTTTATATGTAGTTACCTACAGTACTTAGTATATTGGTACACTATATTTTTGTCACTGCACTATAATATCTGTTTCAATTTTATAATTTTTAAGACATTTTTCGATTTTATAAAACGCCTTCGTAGAGAGATCCGAATTCAATCATTATTTTTTTTTTCTAAATCTTACCAATTTCAAATATCCTTACAAACTAAAGTATAATAAAACGCTGGCAATCATAATTGCATTTACTTATTATTTGGGTTATTTTGGCGGCGCTGCCGTTTTAATATACAATTCATAAACTAATAAGCGTTTTGTTGTAATTTGCTTTAAATAGTTGCTTAACTGAACTCCGCTCAGAATCGTTTTTTATTAGAAATTGTTTATTATTGCGCACAGATATAAGTTGAATAACTCTATGTATCCTACTTTCCCAATATCCCACCTACAACAGTGACACACCCATCAGTAGTTTCAGTTGCTTTTTTTTTTATTATTGCTTAAAATATACTATGCAAAATTATCATTACTTATTCTGTTATGATGTTTCGAGACGCGTTAGCCTTCGAAATAATGAACTCAAGGTAATTTGACGCACATAAAATTTAAGTAGAATATCACGTTCATAAAATTTGACACGGAAATTATCGTTATAATTAATATCATTACAATAACAAACGTGAATTATGTACCTATATTCTAACTATATTTACAAAAAATTAACAATATTTTTCATCATTATTCGATATTAAATTTAAAAAAATAATACAGTAAATAATTCAGATTCGATGGTTTTATTATACTCTTTTAATGCGTTTCATCTTTTCTGGTTCATTTTTACTTATGAGTTATTTTTTACTTTGCTCATATTTATACATCGAATTACTAAATTACCTTTACAAATAAAATACCTACGGTCTGAACTTAGGATTAAAAATAGAAAAGAGCTAAGTACGGTATCTTGTTGTATTTTTATTGGAACAATAATTCTGGTGAAAAACATAAACAATTTCGTAAAAGTTGAAAATAATGAAACCGTATGCCGTAAATTTGTTAGTTTTTCATTTTTCTTGTTTTTCCGGTTTTCAAAAATGTATTTATTTATTTTGAAAACTTCTTGGAAAATCAAAAAATGACCTCTTTATTGTACCAACTAGATAAAATTTCAGTTCAGAAAAAGTGCTACACTTAACACATCGGAGCAAGATTTCACTTATAAAACATACTTATAAACAGAAAAAATACCATAGTAAAACCAGTAGATAGTTTGTTACGCTCCGAAGCTAAAATCTAAATATGACCGCAACGATGAACTAAGCCAAAATTGACAGGCCTAAATGATAAATATTAATCCAGTAAATAAAACTAATACCTATACATAAATATTATATATGATGCTTTTTTTTTTCTGTCTGTAAATAACTTTTCGAAATGAAATCTTGCTTTGATGTGTAAAGTGTAGTACCATTTTTGAAAATAAATGTTATCTAGTTGGTGCATTGAAGAGGTTATTTTTTTTTTGATTTTCTAAGGGTTTTTCAAAATAATTGGGTAAAAACTGAAAAGAAAATTATAAGTAAAACAGCAAATATGAGCAGCGGAGTTAATGATTTCATTGTTTTTAATATTTGCTCTAATCGAAAAATGACAAGAGATCGATAATGTTCCTTTTAACATATTTATCAATTAAAGAAGGAACTCATGCATTTATATAATAATAATGCCTATTTAAATATTTTACTATAATATGACATATATATTGTTGACAAAGCATCACTATCAACTGAACTCCGCTCAGAATCGTTTTTTCGTTAGCAATGGTTGCTTACAGATATACATTACATTTCCTTTTCTGTATCCTACTTTTCCAACTTCCTACCTACAACAGTGACTGCACCCACGTGCGAAGTATGTCCGTTTTCTTTTTATATTGTAATTATTAAAAATAATATCAAACGTCATAAATCAGGGGGGTTGCTCCAATAGCCCCTCTTTTTATTCTTCTAGAAATTATTTACAACCCCATTCCCATTGAAAATTCCTGTGAACCTCACTGAATCCTTAGTTACGCTCGGATATAAGTATTATTACCAAGTTTCAAGTCTACGTATTTATAACCGAATTACAGCAAAAAACTTCCAAAATTTAAAATTCTTTAAAAGTTGAAAAGTTTTGTCGATGATACCGTAAGAAAGTAAATCAAAAAGGCAACAAAAAAGGTATCTTGTGATTTTTCAATTAAATCATTCCTTCTGGTAGAAAACGTCGCCCATGATAAGTGTATTATACAACCGGTTTTAAATTAAAAATTCATCATCAAGTATATCACAATCAAAATGGTATTTACGAGTATTAACCATTTTAATAATTTTGTTTTTACTTTATTATTTTATTACATATATTTTGTATTATTTTCCTAATTTTCGTAAGTACTTGAATAATTTTTTAATAAGAAAATAAATAAAATATTCGTTTTACTGTGCGATCATCATTATATATTTTCACTTACTTTTTTTCTTTGAGAGGGAGGGGAGTTGTTAATAATGACTAGTAATACGTTCGTCTTACTTAATGTTTTATTATTATTCGCTGCATTTTTAATAAACCAAAATTATGCTGATTATTCATGGTCAATTTGTCAACATGAAATAATATTATTTTTAATCGCCAGCGGTTTGTAGGTTAGCGTGGTTATATAATACTACTGTACGGTTCAGTGATCTTTGTTTTAACTCACCTTGGTGTCTTTTTATTTTTAGTTATTTGTTTTTATGACTGTGGATGTTTTCTCTTTTGTATAGAAAAATCATCATTAGCCGTCGTATGTATAAATCTGTTGAAAAACAAAGTTTTCTAATTAGTAAACTTTTTTTGAATGTATGTTGTCACAGCTCACAAGTCACAATTTACTAGTAACTACTCAAAAGTAAAAATCCAAATTTATTAAATTAGTAATTACACCATAATATTGATAAATTACATGTTATCACTATAATTCACTTGACAGTTTTACTATTACTATCAATAAATAATTACAAAAATGTTAAATAATTAATTCTCTGTAGGTATTAGTATGACCACTTATCCGTCACAAAATAATTATATTATTATCGATTTATCAATGTTATAATATTGTAGAGTTAACAAAACAAACCATGCGGGCGACGCGTTACGCAGCGGTGATAATAAAAGAATCCGCTTTGACTGTACGGGGGTTCAGAATTCCCAATCGACAAATCAGATAACATGACTATCGACAGTGCTCGACCCTTACCGAGTATGTGTGTGTGTGTGTGTGTGTAATGACGCCGTGATTGGCGATATATTTTTTTTGAGATTCACTTTGTATTTTGTAAAGAAGTTTCACTTCAAAAATATTAGATCATTAAATATTGAAAATATAAAAAAAATTAGCCGCCCAGGGCAACAGCACCCTGTAGCTCTCCCCAAAATACGGCCCTGCCGATACGTCATGTTTAATTTTGGACCTTTCTTAGTATTGCTTTACTATAATTAAACAATAATTTCCCAATGCATTTCCGTTTGTGATAATACACGGGTAATTCGGACGTTGCGATCGCGTCTCGTTTTATTTTCATTCATTCATAAAATTATGCCTTCAACCTTGTACAACTTCCGTACAAATTGTATCCATTTATTATATTATAAAGATGTTTGAAAAGTTTATTCTTGAGGTATCGAATGAAGAACCATTTTCTGGTCTTTTTAGATTAAGCGGATGGACCCAATTTAACCATTTCACTTTTTTTTGTTTTTGCTTTTATTCGTGTTACTCGTATACTGCGAACATGTAACACATGCTTCTATATCGTTTAAGCTTTCCAAATTTGAAAATATTAAATGAACCAATAGTGGATAGCAACGCGAAGTACTATTGCACATGCATAGTCATTTACGATGTACAGTAACAAGATGTCAAGTCTAGTATATCACAAAATACAAAGTACTGGCGTGCTATTTATCTTTGAGAAACGCACGTAAAATGCGTGGAAACACGCGTTCGAATCGCCCAGTATGTAATCAGCTATAAGCTTTAATACGAACATTAAAATGTTGACTAAAAATAGTAATCGGTATATGAAATAGAATAATTTCATCTATTAGTGATTCCAGTACAAGAAAGCGAAAATATCAAAACAGGAGCAATTCATTTTTTGATATTTTTTTAAATCGGAAAGCAATTAGAGAAATCTTAAAAATAAAAATCATTAACAAATTTCTATTCACTGCGAGCATTTTTAACTGAATTATAAATATATTACTTTTGTAAATTTCCCCGTTTATCCGATATTTTATCCCGGGTTTTCCAAGGTATTATAAAAACCATTTGAAAAAACAAAAAAATTACCTCCTTAGAATACTATGTTCTTAAAATTTACTTTCAGAAAAGGTGCTACAATTTATATATTGGAACAAGATTTCTGGTAGAAAAGTTTGTATAACAAATCGAGGGGTAAATTTTTTACGTAATTTTTATTCAGCATAAGTTTATAATAAGTAGTACATCCTGGTAAAAAAAAAAATTGAGGTACCGTATATTTTTTTTATAAGAATTTTAATATCAAATTTTGATTAAATTCGAGAAAAAATGTTTAAATCGTCAGCGGAAACAAGACGTAGCATTTTTTAAATACTGATCAAACGCCATTAATAAATAAAATAAATAATATAAGCGATAAATGAGTCACCTTTATGGATTTTTGAAGGAACAGAATGTATACCGTATTTGTGAGGGAAATCACGGGAAAATAACGGTAATGTAACATATTAGAGCTACCTGTTTCTTAAATTTTCCAAACAAATTTTTTGAAAAATGTCATTACTTACTTTTTGAAATATAGAACGTTCAATGATTAAAGAATCGCTCTGATATAACAAACACAATACAGTGCTAAAGTATCGTAATTTATATATATATATATATATATAAAATATAATATAATATAATGTATATAAAATTTATTCTGCACAGGTTATCAGTGTATACTTATATTATTATTGTATCAATATACAATAATAATATAATTGTATTTATTTTTTAATTATTTAGCTCACGGTCATATTATACACACCTGTCTTTTGATAAAGTGTCAAATAGGTATTACGATTTCGTTATACCTATCCAATTATATTACATAATAGTTTCAACTATCTGCGGCGTGAATGTATGGATAGGTGAATACGTGCAAAAATGTAGTTCTAGACCGGGAATAACTTATATGCAGGGTTGGACTAAGTTAAAATTTCGTACCGGGAAACTAAAAACAACCGACCCACTTAAATGTTAATATGATAAAAGTTGCTCATATAAAAACGAAAAATGTGGTTTGAGAGTTTGGGGATTTTAACTCTTAAAGACTGTTTGGATAATACTAAACTGTAAAAATCTTTAAATACCTAAAAAAAATGTATAGATATTAGATAAGTAATACACTCTCCTTATTGTCATGAATACGAGAAATAGTTAAAAGAAAAGATTCAATTAATTCTTATTTGATTTGATTTTTTTTTTTTTTTTGTGATTTAGCGTGATTTTTATTTGGTATGTACAATGTGGATGAAATTATTTAGTCAGACAGACATTTTTGAAAATTTAACATGAATTATGAATTGTAATTAATAGTCGAAAATAAAGTTGTTTTTTTTATATGTGAACACTTCTACTAGAAAGCTTTCTCTAATGTATATGATTTAGGCTTTTTTCTGAAAGGAAATTTTCTTGGGGTGATACTTTAAAGAGTATTCTCATCATATTGGAAAAACCGAAAAAACGGGAAAATCTACGAAGTATAGGTATTAGTTGAAAAATATTTCAGCCTTTAATTTCCTGTGAACAACTTTTATACCAACAATTTGGCTTCGATTAACAATGATATCAATTTTTCTGAAAAGAAATCTAGCTGGGAAGGTACTTAAAGGAGGTATTTTTTCGATTTTCCAAAGAGTTTTTCCAGAAAATATTGAAAACCGGGAGGAACATGGGAAAACCTAGAAAAATGTAGGGAAAACGGGAAAATCGGTACAATATTAAGCAAATACTATTAAAGAAAATATATAATGTCTATTTAATTATGTTACCATAATATGATATATATATATATATATATATTGTTGAAAATGCATCACTATTAACTAAACTCCGCTCAGAATCGTTTTTCGTTAGCAATGGTTAATCGTTGCAAATATACATTAAATTCCCTTCTGTATCTTACCTCCCTAACTCCCCACCGACAACAGTGGCTGCACCCGTTCCCATTATCCTAAGACAGCTTTTTTTAGATTTGTGTTTATTGGTTTTATTTTATTGAAATTGGTTTTGCAATGACAATTATATTTTTTTTCTGTGAACATCTTTTCTACACGAAACTTTGATCTGCTTTTCTAAACGGAAATTTTCTAGTACCAGGTTTATGCTTGTCACGAATGAATCGACGTCGGCCGTCATTAGGGGAATGAATAGCGGTGAATAGTAGGCGTTGACAAACAATTATTAGGATTAAGTATAACCCAATGACGTATTTAGGGGAGGAACCCAAGAGGGGTGGGCCACTGCTGTTGGGAAGGTAGAGGGTAAATTGAATATACATAGATATCTGTACGCAACGATTAACCATTGCTAACGAAAAACGATTATGAGCGAAGCTCGGTTAATAATATTGCTTTTTCAACAATATATGTGTCTAAAGTAATTTTCATAATAATTGTGAAGAACTAAAAAGACGAAGTATACGATTTATTTAAATTACAGCGCAACGGTTTTATTGTTTAAAATTGTTAAGATTATATTTTTCTACCAGAAATCCATTGTTCCAAATGTCAAGAATAGTATATTTTTAGAAAGAATATTGTGTCTAATTTTCGATTGAGAAAGTTGTTTGATTTTTCATACAGTATATAAATATATAGAATCAGGTTTTTTTATTGTTATTCGGTTAAACAATTTTCTACAGACCTGTAGTGTTCACAAAACACTTATATTGATCTTTGGTAGACATGGTAAAATTTTCTAAGTATTTTAACTATTTTTAGACTATTTATAGGTATTTGATATTTTTATGTTTTTATAATATGTACTTTTATTTGGCATATGTATCTGTTATTAAAATGATAACTAAAGATTGTGTGATTTGGGGATGAAAATACAAATTTAATTGTTTACCAAATCGATGTCCTATTCGAAGAAACGCCAAGAAAAAAAAAAATTGAAACATATCTAATATTAACAGCTCTAGAAAAATCCGTCGAACATAGTGGGGCACACTGTATGTATATTTCTTTTTTGAAAAGCCACTATTGTACCATCTTGTCTTAAAAGATAATGACGCCTCCTTAAAACGTGGCGCCCGGGGCCAATGCCCTTTCGCTTTCCCCTAAATATGTCTCTGATCACGTATTATTAAAACCCGGTAATAATACAGATCGGTCGATCGAATCGATTTTTGCTTAGTAAGTCACATACATAATAGTATATTGTACATATAATGTTAATAATTATTATTACATTTTTTTTTTATTCGCCGCATATACTCGCTATAACGTTGACTTTTTAAAAACGGGGAATTTCGTCACAGTTTGCATACAGTCATAAAACAATAAAAAATTTGCCGGCGATCGAGAGGACTCGTCTCGGATTCCATGCGGTCCTGGTAACGAGGGGACGCAAATCGGTAATGTACGTTCGGCGGCGGCGGCGGCCGGCCTGGCCTGCAGTTCGGCGGCGGCGGCGGCTGGCTCGGCTTGCCGTCCGTATACCGCATGATACCCTGGTTACATGTTGTCTACATCGCGTACATTGTGTAATACTTGTCGCGTGCGTAGGGAAGTAGCGATTCCAACGACGTACTGCGGACGATTCTTTAACCATTCGTTCCACGATCGTCCATGACGGTAGGCTAGTGAGCGGCGACGGATGCGTATACCGCATGATACCCTGGTTACATGTTGTCTACATTGCGTACATTGTGTAATACTTGTCGCGTGCGTGGGGAAGTTGCGATTCCAACGACGTACTGCGGACGATTCTTTAACTATTCGTTCCACGATCGTCTATGACGGTAGGCTAGTGAGCGGCGACGGAATATCGCGTTCGTTCATGATGTCCTGGTCATAGTCTCTACGGCGGTCTGTTGAAACACCGGAATTTTGGGCACCATTCGAGGGCCCGTGACGTCGCTTGACGTTCATGATGTCCTGGTCCGTAGGTACACTTGAAATGCGAAATCTCGCCATTTGTCCAGTTGCACCCCGTGCGCCTCAAAACCGAATTTAGTGAGCCCCGTCGTCATGGTTACTGGAGAAATGCATAGAATTTCCGTTGGAACTGATAAGTATTATATAAATACAATGGCAGGTGTCCTCCTATCATATTGCGCAGTATTTGATGTTGCCCTCTGGCCTCCCCGCAAGGGGCGACGGACGTGTAATAGTTTTGTTTGTAAATAACCATTAAACGCCGCGTGAGTGCGCTACGTACGATCAGCACTGTGGCACGAGTGATAAACAGCTGTCCGGAAAGACAAGAAATCTGTATGATATGAATTCAGTAATGCGACTCGGCCGTATATTGCACATTGAGCACGCGAAATTTTATCTAATCCAACAACGTGGTTTTGTGTTACAAATCGAGGTTTATTTTCGATTGATCTCCTCCAATCGCTTCGTTTGTGGCACAAAAGTTATAGTTGATCCGGGCGACAAACGTCCCACATACGTATAGGTGCAACTGCAAGCATCTAACCTGCTTAACGGTTGTACGAATATAATAACATTGATTAAGTATAGGTACTTAATTGTAGTAGCTATCTAATAAATATATTCGGATCACTTAATTATACTTGTATTATTAGTTACTATCCACATTTTTAGAAATGCGAATATTTAATATAAATATTAAATTATGTATAACAAATATTATTATATTGCGAAATTAAAAAAAAAAAAAAAACCTAACAATTTGCAAATCTAAAAGATGTTGATGCGTTCTGTGTTAAATTCGCACAAAAATCGTTTACGAACATAATAATACGAGTATTTGGTACTTATGGTACGCGATATAGGTGGTAGTTGGTATAGGTGCTCACCGGTGGAAAAATATTACTTAACCTCGCGTAGTTCATGCATTTTGAACAAATATAATTGTTAATAATTTACTACCTACTGGCGTCTATATAGCTGCACCCGCATAGCCTCGTCCGTGACTGTGACCCCCCACCAAAAACCGACTCCACCCTTCGTCTAACGGGATAACGTGTATGGTTTTTCGTTTACGATTTTAGCGGTACAACCCTAATAGCTCCTATACCCATTGTTTGTTGGTTGTCAAACGGCTCCCGTCTAAATGGTTTTGCGTAACGTAAATTCCCCAAAGGGCTCCCGTTATTTCCCTGTCATTCCGCCTCTTTGCACAATCCCGATCTCAATGTTCACCTCTATCTGTATCCGGAATATTTTAAATATAACGGGTAAAACGGATACACTTAAATTAGTGGATTTCGTACACAAGATCGATTCATTATCTAATTTTAACACCAACATTTAGAATACTCCATCTATTTATGGAATTTTTAATATAGGTTTTCATTTGAAAAAGCAAAATCGATATCGCCACCGGTCAGGTTAAGGGTACTCCTTAAACGTTGTGGAAAATCTAAATATTCGAAAACATCGACTTTAATTACACTTTAAAAATTCCAAAAGTCAGAATTTGTATATATTATGTAAAATTTACCGAACAAATGGAGTGAACACGCCTAGTGGATCATTATGTATATATATATGTATATATATAAAAGGCTGTATTACCAAAATTTTTCACGCGTTACTTATGCCAAATTAAATTTGCAGAATGGCATTGGTGCAATGAACGGACAAAAAAAACATATTTGTTTTCTACGCAGTAGATGTTATTTAAAAAAAAAAATAATAATAATTCTGCGTCACGTTATGCATTTTTAATTTAATTAAAAATATTCAAGTGTTTCAGTGACACAGAACAACAAGATAAAATCTAGCTATGCTAAATCTAGTATTATTATTATTATTATTATTGTATTTGTTGTTTACGTCGAAACGGTTTTAAAGCATTTCCACAGTAAATAGGTATACGTGACCACTTAGATTTTAAATTTGATAAGTACCGCAAGGTTACGGGTGTTGTTCTAAAATGTATTTTTAAGCGCGTTATTATGATAATAAATCTACTCTGTTTTGGACTGTCTAACGAACGCCGCCGCTGCTATCTGTATTATTGTTTTCGTATTCGAAAAAAAGAAACGACCATAAATTACGAACAATAAAACACGCACCGACGACTGACGACGTATCATTTTGGACTCTCGTTCGATAGCGAATGTATATCTTTATTATTGATTTATCACATCAATTAAATAACTATTTTACCATAACTATTTTATTACGTTTAATAACCTATACATAATTTGTATAAAAAAAAAAAAACCATGTTGCAGTTTGGCCCGAATCCCGGCATCTCTCTAAAAACTGTACAGCTACTGATCTACCTAGCCTAATATACTAAATATTAAACGTTTATAACGTCTATAACATTAAATGTTTGATTAAAAAAAATATGGTTTTTTAAGTTTGTTCTATTGAAAACTATTGGCGAGTTAATTTTTATAAAAATCCTCTTAAATGTTTGCGCAGTAAAAAAAAAACTCCGATTCGATACACGAAAATCGGTGCATATGTGTATACGTTAAAAAAAATATTAGTATAATAAACTGCAGCTTAACCAGATTTATAAGGTAGTATATCTGAATTCTGAAGGTATACAAATATGAAATCTATATAACATACCTATAATACATGTGTACACGTGTTTCAATTATGATGAGTGAAATCTATTTCTATACATATATTATGTGAGATAAAATTTATTTATGTAAAGGTTAGTAGAATTGGCATGTTTAGGAATATAGAGTAATGTATTTCGAATATATATATAGGTAGGTAGTTTGCCAAGACTATTTTCAGTTTTCAATCCGCTTAGTCTATAGTACACAATAATATTTTACGAGTGTAAAGACCTTTAGAATAGGAAAAAAAAAAAAAGAAGTAAGGTGATAGTTACATAAAAATACAGCGGTGAACATACTTTGTAGTAGAAAGTTTTATAACTGTACCTATTACCAACCTATAAATATACATATATTATATATGCACGCTTACTACCCACCGCAGAATGTCTTTCTTTTGGTATACGGCTATACAGATAGGCAGCCTCGGTAAAAAAATATCAGATATTATACCCGATGTTAGACAAAACGAAAGCAAAAGCTACTACTATGATAATTTGAACGAATTATGAACAATTGTTATTTTTATTATATTTATTGAATTGTTACAATAATTGTATAATAGTATATTGGTTATAATGATAAACGGACATGGTAACCGTGATAAAAATGTTATAGTATGGAAATTTGTTTGTATAATTTGTAATATTGTTTGAGGTTGAGGTTGAGTTTTTATGTAGGACGTATAGGTATATAAATATATACAATAATATATTGAGCAATAAATTATTGATTAAATTTCGTAAAAAATTCTGAAATTTGTACAATATATATATATAAATAAGTTTTCGAGCCTTCGGGGTAATGATAGGATCGGAGCAATCATATGCATTGTCCCCGGCATTATTTAACATTGTACTCGAGTCGGTAATTAGAGAAGTACAGGTAAAAAGGCCAAGGTTTTAAATATTAGAAACAATAAGTGTATGAATAATATAATAATAACAATAACAATAACAAGTGTATGAAGACAATATCATGTGGGCTAAAACAGTTGGAATATGATAAATTGACGATTTTAAATGCCTATGGAGTAATAGCAATCAAAAACGAAATTATAGTCTCGATGAAATAGGACGAAGATTATTATCTGGCTATTTATAATTCTGCTATCTTGAAAATTTCAAAACTAGTAATAAGGGGTAATAGTAAAAATTAAATTTTTTATTTTTCCACTTATGTTATGTCCCTCTAAAAGAAAATTCGTTTGACAGGTAAAAATTGAATATTAACAGAGATTACAACACGGTGAAAACGTCTGGGCACTCGTGTCTTTATACACTGATCAATTATTTAATAACTATTCGAAATTTCAATTTTAATTTTGAATTATGATTAAAAAATAATAGTTTACTCGTGTCATAAACAATATAACATGAGTATGAAAAACAAGTCAATACTTTATTAAAATATTAATATTAGGTGGAAAAATGGCTCAACAAGATCCAATCGATGATGCGTGAAACGATTAGGCACAATTTTTTGGAGAGCACATTATCCTACGAGGAGAAACCCAGAGAACAATGGTTGTTCGATTATCCAGCTCAAGTATCGTTGTGTGGTACTCAAATTTGGTGGACTACTGAAGTGAACATTGCGTTTGCTAGGCTCGAAGAAGGTTATGAAAATGCCTTGAAAGATTATCAAAGAAAACAAGTAAATATATTGTAATAAATAAATTAAACGATATATGTATACATATTTTATTTTTAAAAAAATGTTTTTATTACGCTTATAAAGTACAATCAAAATGTATAGAATAAGGGGACAGATATTGTTTCAGAGTTTTTTTTATTATTATTTTTTTCCTGAGGGAATTGAAATGAGTAAAAACATTAAATAACAGTAATTTATTGTACATATTCTTAAAATGTCTATTATGTATTATAAATCGTTACCGAACTTATATTTTGTGCGTATCTATATTGATTTAAATAAGAAATTATAGTTTAGATTAGAATAAAAAATACATAATATCGTAAATCTTAAACATACTCGTAACATTGTAGTATAAATATTGTGAAGTTAAATAAATCAATAGTAAATACCTATATAGATTTTGCGTCTAAATTAATTTTCTAAATTATCTCAAAAATATGGGGCTACAATTATATATTATACATGTTTTATTTGATACCTAGTAAATTTGAAAATAAATTTAGATATTTTTTCAAATATTTTGTGACTGTTTATACACGACTCTTTAAAAAATACTGGGTGCGTGTGAATGTTTTTTTAAATTTTACTGAACTGGCGTAGAATGTATATTTGAGGGGAGTGCAGTTTATTTTTGAACAATATTAACATAACGTGTTTTTGAATACATATGTGCGAGAGAAAAACCGTTTGGATAACTTGTTTCCATGATGGGATTCCTGAAAGTTAGTAGTCGGGAGCGCCCCTCAATTTTTGGTGAACATAGTCTCCCTTCGAAGTTTTTAACCACTATATTTAATATTTTTCGTATTTAAGTATTGCATGGTTATTTTATAAGTTATACGTACCTGTTTTGTACGAGTTGATTTAATATATGTATATCTATTGCTCAATACTCGTACATATAGATCTCACAATTAAATACGCTGATATCGTTGTTACTGGGTGAACTGACTAGACAAGACAGACAAAAAATCATGACGATCTGTACGATCGACGTTCACTCCAGAGACGTGGTCGCCAGATTAATACAATCCAAAATCGAAAACGTACTCGCTTTTCAATGGCAGTCGCAGCTCAGGCACAGGTGAGTTAATAGTATATTATTATAATACAATATTATGTCGATATTGGTGTATGAATCGTTTTATTTAACACGAGTTTGGTGATGGTTTTCCGTTAATATACAGTTTTTTCATATTAGATGGGACGAGAAGGAAAAAGATTGTTTCGCAAATATCTGCGACGCTCAATTTCGATACAGCCACGAGTATTTGGGCAACACGCCACGTCTGGTAATCACTCCGTTAACCGATAGATGTTACATAACCTTAACACAGGTAATAATATCACATTTTTACAATAATTATTATCGTTTTACAAACAACACACTACGTATAAACCGTTTCTCGCGTACCTATATACCAATCCCTACTAGTCTTTGCATTTGGTGATGGGCGGAGGTCCGGCCGGTCCCGCGGGCACGGGCAAAACAGAGACGACCAAAGATCTCGGACGTGCTCTCGGCGTTATGGTTTACGTGTTCAATTGTTCGGAGCAAATGGATTACAAGGTACGAAATATCGATGGGGAGGGGAAGCGGAAATAATAATATCCGTTTTGTGATTTTACGCAGTCTTGCGGTAACATTTACAAAGGATTGGCCCAAACCGGAGCCTGGGGTTGTTTTGACGAATTCAATCGGATATCCGTCGAAGTATTGTCAGTGGTCGCCGTTCAAGTAAAGTCCATTCAGGTGCGTTTATTCATGTTTACACGTGCAACGCAAAAACATTAACAGATTGCAATAAAAGGACGTGCTATACCCCGCGGTTGCGTATAGGCAGTTTTCATGATATTTTTGATAAAAATTAAGATTTTATCAACTTAAAAATATTCAAATTCGCTTTCAAATATAATAATAATTAGTCCCACATTATTTACACGAGTATTTAATGTGTAATCGGGATGTTAATAAAAATGTACGAAACTTCTCGTGCTAAAGACTTGATGAAGAAATCAAATTTACATCATAGAAAAAAAAATTAAATTAAAGTAAAACAAAAGTTGCACTATGCTACTTAGGTTTTAGTTTTTCGATATCACTATTGTGAAATAAGTTATTCGAGTTTAAACAATTTAAAATTATTCGATTATTTTCTCTTTTTATTTGTGGTTTCGAGGTGGCGTATTTAAACATTTTTTTATATGGGCGAATACAAATCATTTATTCACAGGTCCGCGTGCGAGTACGCCTTTTCCTTGATATGTGTATTACAAAATGCCCACGTTACTTTTAATCAAATAATTTTTTGTTTTCAAATTAACAAAATAACTATAATAATATTTCAACATTATAATTCTTAGATAAGATATGAACATTTTACCATAATTTTTGAACTGTGTTTTGCACGGTTACAGATTACAGAATCACATAATTTAGGTAAATATATTTTTTTTAAACTAAATCTACACATTATTATTATACATAATTTAATAATTTAACTGTTAATATTTAATACTGTTGCATTGTTCCACTATGATGAATTACGTTGGTAGTACTGGGAAGCCTATCCAGTTTTTACGATTACTACGAAACAGTCGGTATCCAATCCTCGTAAAAGGCTATTATTCTTAGTACCCGCTTAAAGCAGAATAACTCAGAAACTCTTTTCGCTTAAATTACGATTGTATTTACATCAAATTTTTAGAAAAATCATCTGATTGATAATTTAAAACTTATATTGGTTCTCATTTAAAAAACACCACAATGAAAGAATACAAAAGTGGAATTTCTCTTTTTTTTATGATGGACATTTTCTTTCTCAATTAGGTGTCTTAGGTAGATTTTATCTGCGAAAAACTATTTTTACATCCGAATTACGTAGGATATCACGTCATCTTAAGGTTTATGTTATTAATTCTTTATTTTTACAATAATAATTATTTAGAAATACGTTTTTGTTATACTAGTTATTTTGCTGTATTGAATTGTAGTCTCAGCGAAAATAATATACTTTTCATGCATTGTACTAAATAACATGTAGATGCGGATGTTTTTTTTTTTTTTATTCTATAGGACGCAATACGAGAAAAATCGATTACGTTTAATTTTATGGGCGAACAGATAAGTTTAATAACGTCCGTTGGGATATTTATCACGATGAATCCCGGGTATGCCGGCAGAACAGAATTGCCGGAAAATTTAAAAGCTCTATTTAGGTTAGTACAATATATCAGCTAGCAGCTATTTATCATGGCCATCAAGGATTTTCGCACGCTTCTACCATGCACCTCCAGCTGTCCCGATCTTTATCGTTTTCCATTTTAACTGACTCGTTGACATCCGATATATCTTTTCTAACCTTATTATCATCCACCTAGGAAATTGTGTGTATGTTACGGACAAAAGCCGAAATCGGGTAAATCTCAGAAATGCCGGACAAAACGCAAAGTGTCTACGATACTTGGGCAAAACGTCATATTCCGGCTTTTGCCCGGACAAACCTAGTTGTGGCCAATCTCATTCGAGCAAATCTGTAACGTAAATTTCAATTTTTCACATTAGATAGGTACCGTGTTAATGATATTATAATACTTTACTATTAATACTATTAAAATACTAGCTCTCTCCTCAGTAAATAAATTGGTCATTACACGGGAATATCTGGTTTTTGACATACAGTGACAACATAAAATAAACATTTGGGCAAAACCGTTACTACTTTTATTTTGAGATTTATATAGTATATTTATTTATTAGATTTATAAAAATATATTTATGGACGTTACAGATTTGCCCGTTTGAAGTTGGTCACAATTATAGGTTTGTCAGGAAAAAAGTCGAAATATGACGTTTTGCCCAAGTATCGTGTGCATTTCGCGTTTTGCCCGTGCATTTCTGAGATTTGCCCAATTTCGGCTTTTGCCCATAACATATAATATATGAGTTATACACCAGCTCACCAAACACAACCAGTCTGAATATGATATTTGGTTTATTGTACTGTAACCTGTTAGCCCCGAAAAAATATCACGAAAATATTTAAATTTATTTTACACAATATGTATTTTACCTATTCAAATATTATAGGCCATGCGCTATGGTAGTACCCGATTTTGAGTTGATCTGCGAAATAATGTTGGTTGCCGAAGGATTCCAAGAGGCGAAAATTCTCGCTAGGAAATTTATAACTTTATACACGCTGTGCAAAGAGTTACTGTCCAAACAGGATCATTACGACTGGGGTTTAAGGGCCATAAAGTCCGTATTGGTTGTTGCCGGATCTTTAAAAGTAAAATATAATAACATATTTTGTAATTATCTTTCGTAATAATGTTAAATAAACGACTAACGAAATAACATATTCACAATCATAAGCGAGGCGATCCGGGACGTGTTGAAGAAGAAGTATTAATGAGAGCTCTAAGAGATTTTAACATACCGAAAATTATCAGCGATGACGTTCCTGTATTTATGGGACTAATCGGAGATTTGTTTCCTTCGTTGGACGTGCCACGTAAAAGAGATCAAGATTTCGAAAAAACCGTTAAACAAGCGGCCGTAGACTTGTTGTTGCAACCGGAGGAAAATTTTATACTTAAAGTATATACATAATAAAATAACGATACAAGCTGACGCGTATATTTATTAAAAACATAATAATATTTAACTAAACATTCTGATGACGTTTTAACGAACTACAGGTCGTACAATTGGAAGAGCTTTTAGAAGTCCGTCACTCCGTGTTCGTAGTCGGCAATGCGGGCACCGGAAAGACCGAAGTTTGGAAAACGTTGTTTAGAACTTACCAGAACATCAAACGAAAACCAATTTACAACGATTTAAACCCAAAAGCTGTGACCAACGACGAATTATTCGGGGTGATTAATCCAGCGACCCGCGAATGGAAGGACGGTAGGCAATACATATCGATATTCTTTATCATAATTGATTTCATAAACAACTACTACCGTATAAATAATTATTTCTATAATATTGAAAATATTTTATTAGTAAATATACAATAACGTAAATTTTGTTATTCCTTTTTCGTTAAAAAGGTTTATTTTCCGTTATAATGCGAGATCAAGCAAATATTACGAATAGTTATCCTAAGTGGATTCTACTGGATGGGGACATCGATCCGATGTGGATCGAATCTCTAAACACTGTGATGGACGATAATAAGGTATGTAGTATTACTTATTATAAATCGCATCAAATAATTATTATAAATAGTTACAATGTAGTTTCCGAACGTACGCGCAATTGAGAAAAATGGTAACCCACAGTTTTAACGAATTAAATATTGTATATCTATATAGCTAATTGTAAATTTATTTTTGTAATTTATATATTTTTGTATAAATAGAAGACAATATATACTATGCCCGTTGCATTTTTTCCCCGCTATATTTGTTTACACTTTTAGCGGTTCCATCTGGATCAAATGAGCTCGTATCCGGGAAAAAGATTTTTTGTATAGGCGGATTGAAGTGATAAAAATTTGGTTGAATTTCAATATGAATTTCAAAGAGGTCTAGAACCCACATTTTTTTAAACAATTTTAATTGTTACTTAGAATAATGCAAAATATCAAGGGTGTAACATGCCGCATTAACAATATTTGTATATTATTAATGTTAAATGTTTATTTAAATTTATTTAAATGTTTATTAAACAGGCGGGGGAAAATTCAGCTCTTGCGACGGAGCTCTGCCGATGCCCTCGGGTGTTTTATAGTTAAAAATCATTTTTTAAAGTGAAACTCTAAGTGTGATTTATAGTTTTCAAAATATAGACCATTTTTTAGGTTTTAACGTTGGCCAGTAATGAACGTATAGCTCTAACGCCGTCGATGAGACTTATTTTTGAGATATCCAATTTGCGAACCGCAACGCCGGCCACCGTGTCGCGAGCCGGCATTCTCTATTTGAATCCACAGGATTTAGGATGGAATCCGTAAGCAAAAAAAAAAAATATAAATCTACATACATTTTTACATGCTTATATTATTATTATTATATTTGTTTTTGTTTTTTTACATAATATACTATACACAGATACGTAACGAGTTGGATCGAAACGAGGGAATACGCCACAGAGAAGAGCAACCTCGTGATATTGTTCGATAAATATATACCGCCGTGTTTGGAAAATATTCGGAACAGATTCAAGAAAATCATACCGATAACGGAAATGTCGCATATACAAATGTTGTGTCATTTACTCGAATGCATTTTGGTGCCGGTTAACACGCCGACGGATTGTCCGAAAGAATGGTACGAATTGTATTTTACGTTCGCGTGCATTTGGTCGTTCGGAGCGGCCATTTATCAAGAACAGGTGATAAAGATTATAATATATACTATATATTTCTTATAACTGTTAAAATGATAATTTTTTGACCTATAGAGTAAAAAAAAAAAAAAAACCCTATACTTGGGTATGGTAATTGTTTAATAATACGTTATTTTCATTCATTCACAGGTTATAGATTTCAAAGTAGAATTTTCGAAATGGTGGGTGGCCGAATTCAAAACGATAAAATATCCGTCTCAAGGAACGGTTTTCGATTATTTCATCGATACGGAAACCAAAGAATTTTTACCTTGGTCGCATATTATTCCGAAATTTGAATTAGATTCCGACATGCCTTTACAAGTAATTATAATTAACACCTACATAATTCGAAAACAATATGAAACCGTCAACAATACCTGATAAAAAAAATGTGTTTTTTTTTCTTAGAACGCTTTAGTTCATACGCCGGAATCGATTAGAACCAGATACTTTGTAGACTTGCTCATGGACCACAAACATCCGGTTATGTTAGTCGGAAGTGCAGGATGTGGCAAGACGGTACTGATAAACGAAAAGTTGACCAGTCTGTCAGATAATTACGCCGTGACTAACGTGCCGTTTAATTATTACACAACTTCGGGTAGGTATAAAATAATGTTATTCAACATCGACCGATCATCGATTTTGTTTAATAATGTAGAGATGTTGCAAAAAATTTTGGAAAAACCACTGGAGAAAAAAGCTGGCCGAAATTACGGACCACCGGGAAACAAAACTCTCATATACTTTTTGGACGATATGAACATGCCTGAAGTAAATAACTATTATCGAAATTAAAAAACTAATATCAACAATGTATTGCAATATATCATAATGTATATGGAACATGGATTATACGTAATATTAATTTGTCGCAATCGCGATAGTCGATTATCATAATATTATTATCCAACTAATATTATAAATGCGAACGTTTGTTTGGGTGGATGTACTCGTATGTTTATATCATTAAATTTCTCAACCAAATTAGTGAACTTTGCATAGATTGGATAGCTATGAAATTCTAGACCGGATAATAATATATTATAGGCTTCTTTTTTTCTCCTGAATTAAATCCCTAAAGGAGGGAGGGTGGCTGACAAAGGGTCATTGATATTTTGGTGCCTAAGAAAATCGAATTATTTTTTGTTGTTGTGTAGGTTATCCCGGTAATACGGATGAAATTTAAAAAAACAAAATAAATTGTATTTATTTTGGAATGATCAACTCCGAGCGGGACAGCTAGTATTTATAATATAGATCTATTTTCTTCTTCGACTTTGATTGCCTTACGTATAGGTACATTCACGTTTTGAAACAGCCAAAATAAAATACTGCCTAAAACTAGTTCAATTATTTCTATACCGACTAGAGGAATAGACTGGTACCAGACAACAAGCCAGGGGGTTCTATAAGACATCCATGATATTGCAGTATAGCGTACGATTTTATATACTCATATTAAACTACTTAAAAGTTATAACTAATTGTAATATTTTAAATGGACAACCGTCATGAAAATGTAATTCTGATTACGTTATTGACAGTGTTGTATAATGATAATTAAATAATTATCTACATAAAAATGAAAGATAATTGAATACAATTTATCGAGATATAGATCAAATATATAACACTATTTATCTAGATTAAAAAAAAGATAAACAATTTTTATTTTAATATTGCCAACTCTTTTTTATCAATATAAAAATATAATATGTACAATATAAATATATTCAGGGAGAATCCCCCCCCCGGAGACATGATTATTGATTAATATACAGAATGTATAAGAACATTTATACAAATATACAGTATACATTAATAACATTTTGGAAAATCGTTTCATTTATTACCCCACATGCACTCCTGGTACCTAAAATCATTTTTTGGCTCTTTCTGCCGTTTGTTTTTTGCTGCTCGTAGTCAATACAAATTTTTAGAGTTTATATTTTTATATGAATTATGACTCTAATCAAAAAACGCAGATGACCATTTTTTTTTAAATTTTAAATCTAGTTGGATAATAAGAAAATCGTTTTTTGATATTTTGTGTAGTTTTATTAATAATTTGGGCAAAATCGGGAAAAAAGCGTAAAAAGAAGGAGAAAGTTTACAAATAAAATTCAATTCAATTATTTCTAGATTTTTTAAACTTTTTTTTGTGATTTAGTAAAGTTTTTATTTGGTAAGTACTATGTTGATGGAATTGTTCAACCAAAAAGAAATGTTTGAACATTTAACATGAATTATGAAGTGTAATTAGTGGTCAAAAAAAATTTTTTTATAGGAGTTCAAAGTTTTCAAAGAGTTTTGATAAAAAATGTTGACGAAAATCATAAATATTTAAAAAGCCTTTGAATAGTCTTTCAAAATTTCAAAACATGTGTAATCAAACTTTGCTCCGATTCGTTTTTCGTTAGCAATAGTATCGTTGCTTACTGATTATGCATAATATTTTCTTTAATAATATTAATTTGATATTGTACCTATTTTCCCGTTTTTCCTACACTTTTTCCTGGTTTTTCCCATTTATTATGAAAACAGCTGGGAAAGTCAAAAAACTCCCTCCTTTAGAGTACCGCCCCAATTCGATTTCTTTTCAGATAATGTGCACTTAAAATTGAAACAATTTTTCTGGTAGAAAGTCGTCTACAGAAAAAAAAACATCTTCGTAAAACTATAAGCGTGTTCGCTCTACTCGGAATCTAATTTAAAATTGTATAACTTAATTATTATAATCATTATAAAACCAGGTATTTATTATCTACAAATATGGGTTTTGATTTCTGTTTCGGTTATTCGAAAATATATTTTAAATTCAGTTTTGGTTCTCAATATTTTAAGGGTTTTTGGGTTTCAGAACAGATTCTTTTCGATTTCGTTTCAATACTTGCTGAGTCCTATACCAAAACGATTATATATATATTTTTTTTTTTGAACATTGTATTTTAGGTCGACTGTTACGGTACCGTACAGCCACACACTTTAATACGTCAGCATTTGGATTACGGACATTGGTACGACAGAACCAAGCTGTCTTTAAAAGATATTCACAACTGTCAGTACGTGGCGTGCATGAATCCGACCGCAGGAAGTTTTACGATTAATCCTCGATTACAACGCCATTTCTGCGTTATTGCTGTGAGGTAAATCAAAAGTAAACATAAAATACCCATTTTAAACAGTTTAAAAAGAAGACAATATGTAAATTTTCCCACAAATATTGTGTGTTGAATATTTTTGTACATATAAGTAACAATAAATAATATTATGTACATGATGAATTCATTTTTAGAGAGCGGAGATCTTAAATAATTTTTAGATAATACTTTATCTGTAGAGTATAACACAATAATAGTAAACCTATTAATCGGACTTAGTTAAATAAAATATTCTAAAAAAAAAAAACAAACGGACACACTACTCGCACGAAGGTGGGCAACTGTTATAGGGGAGAAGTTGGAAAAGAAGAAGGGAAATTTAATGTATATATTTATACAACGATTAATCATTGCTAACGAAAAACGATTTTGAGCGGAGTTCGGTTATACATGTTTTGAAACGCAATAATATTTACGATTTGAAAATAATACATTTAGTGAATTTTCTCATTTTTCCCGGTTTTTCCATTTATTACAAAAACTCCTGGGTTTCCTTACCCTGGAAAAATCAAAAATAACCTCACAAAAATACCAATTCAATCAGATTTCCATTCAAAAACAGTGCTCCACTTAGAAAATCGGAGCAAAATTTCTATGTAGACAGAAAAGTAGTTCACGTTCACAGATCAGAAAAAAAAATTAAATTAAAAAACAAAACAAAACGAATTCGGTACCTATATTACATAATTATAATATGTGAAGTATAAATATTTTATTTTAAATTTAGTACCTAGTTATTAATTTATTGAATTATCATTTTCTCCCTTTATAAACATACAGTTTTCCTGGATCAGAGTCGTTGACGATGATTTATTCGTCAATTTTAAATCAACATTTCGGGAATGTTGAATATCGGATACCGCTAGTAGCGTCCAAATTAGCTGATAATGTAATCGAAGCTACAATATGGTTACACAACAAAGCCAATTCGGTTTTTCTTCCTACTGCTACTAAATTCCATTATATATTCAACTTGAGAGATTTATCAAATGTTTTTCAAGTAATTATTGTTTCAGAAATGTATTATCTATAATCTTTGTACATTACATAAATACATAATATAATATGTATTTTTAATTTTGTATTTGATTAAAAATCAAATGTTCTAGGGTCTTCTTTTTAGTACTGGAGAATGTCTAAGTTGCAGTGCGGACCTAATGCGACTATGGATGCACGAATGCCAACGAGTGTATTCGGATAAATTAATAGACGACAAGGATTCAGACGCGTTTACTAAAATTCAGACTGATGCGTTGAAAAAATTTTTTGATGTAAGTGAAAAATATATTAAAAAATAAATTTGAAATCGATTAGTTAAAATATTTTGTTATTAATACCATTTCATATTATATTATTTACGTGTTATAATAGTTACGGTTAGTTTATTGTTATATTTTTAATTAAAATATAACAGTTAACACAACCTTAGTCCAGTACTATTTTTAATAATTAAAGTTGATTCTTTTATCAACATTTATTTATTTATTTTTAAATGCAGGAAATAGACGAATGTGCAGTATTCGAAAAGCCAAACATTTTCTGTCATTTCGCTCAAGGCATCGGTGAGCCGAAATATTCATCTGTTAGGAATTGGACTAATCTTACAAAATTACTAGAAGAAGCTTTAAATTTATACAACGATTTGGTCGCCGCTATGAATTTAGTTCTATTCGAAGACGCTATGATGCACATTTGCAGGTTTGTCCATCGACTTGTAAATATAATACAATACTATTGTTTTTTGTTATTTATGTAAATTTATTATATGGAAAATTTACTTTAAAAATAGGATAAATCGAATATTGGAATCGCCGCGAGGCAGTTGTTTATTGGTCGGGGTCGGAGGCAGTGGAAAACAATGTTTGGCCCGTTTAGCAGCGTTCATTTCCAGTTTAGAGGTAGCTCAAATACAATTACGCAAAGGCTATGGACTATTGGATTTGAAAGTCAGTTTTTAAATCAGACACGTTTTAATAATTCTCTTAACAAAGCACAATAATCATTTGTCCAGATGGAATTATCCGGTTTATATCTAAAGTCCGGATTGAAAAACGTAGGAATTGTATTTTTAATGACAGACGCTCAAGTACCGTCAGAATCGTTTTTAGTTTTGATTAACGATATGTTGTCGACCGGAGAAATCCCCGAGTTGTTTCCCGACGATGAAGTCGAAAACATCATAGCCGGAGTTCGGAACGAAGTAAGATAATTTTCTTCAAAGCTAAAATACCTAGGTATGTATATATGTATAAGTATAATAATTTACGTGTTTAAAAAAAAAAAACAGCTACTTATAGTTTAATCAAATTGAATTTAAAATGTATAATCAAGGACGGCCTCAGGGGTGGGGAAAATAGTCATTGCTCCTTGGAATTATCAAATGTATGCACTTTTATCACGCATGTCATATCATTTTACCATAACAAAGTAATACATATTACTAGAATAAAGCGTTTTCGAGCTTATCAGAAATTTAACATGTAATATTATTATTTTTCTGTTATTATATTACTACTACTACTGTAATAGTGCTATTATTCTATTATTATTTTTTTAGCGGGTGTATATGATATAGATTGTAAGTAATTTTTATTATGCCCCGGGTGGGATTTTATCCTGTGGGCACGTTTGTATATAATAACATAATGTACAGCGTATTCAAATGTGGTGTTACATTTAAATAATATTAATGTATTATCTATAATATGATGTAACGTTTTAAACAAAATCAGGTCAAGGGCGCCGGACAAATAGACTCACGTGAAAATTGCTGGAAATTTTTCATCGATCGAGTTCGACGACAACTGAAAGTCGTGCTCTGTTTCTCTCCAGTTGGTTCCGTTTTACGCGTACGCTCCAGGAAATTTCCGGCGCTGGTCAATTGCACTTCCATCAACTGGTTTCACGAATGGCCCCAACAGGCACTCATGTCCGTTTCTAATCAGTTTTTATCGGAACTCGAAGTGCTCCCTGTAATGATTTTGACTGTATTTCTTTTTAACCGCGGAATAGCTAAGTCTCTTATAATATTAACTCGTTGATTTAGGAAAATTTCAAAGATTCCATCGCAAAGTTCATGGCTTACGCACACACACAAGTGAACATCATATCCCGGGTTTACTTACAGAGTGACCGCCGATATAATTATACAACGCCCAAATCTTTTTTGGAACAAATATCGCTGTACTCGAAGTTGCTGAGGCGAAAATCCGCCGAGTTGGCTAGTAAAATAGACCGTCTAGAAAACGGGTTGGAAAAACTGAAAAGTACTGCCGATCAAGTAAGTATACAAGTATAATTAATATACATAAGAAATGTATTGAGTTTAAATTACCCCTAACGAGTTTACGTTTCAGGTGGACAATTTAAAAGCGAAATTAGCAATCCAGGAAGTAGAATTAAAAATTAAAAACGACGCAGCTGATAAACTTATTCAAATCGTTGGTATTGAAACTGAAAAAGTATCTAAAGAAAAATCATTTGGTACGGTTTGTGTAAAATTTCAAAAAAAAAAATGTATGTATATATATACGTAAAAATTTCAATACAGCCGACGAAGAAGAAAAGAAGGTCGGTTCAATAGCAGAAGAGGTGAAAAAAAAGCAACGTGACTGTGAAGAAGACCTTGTAAAAGCCGAACCAGCTCTTCTTGCTGCGCAGGTTTTTATATTATGAAATATTTTATTTTAACAAGATAATTCTTATGAACTAACTTGAATATTAACAGAACTTATAATAACTCACATTATACGACTATATAAAAGTTTTTTTTTCTTTTAATTTAAAGTATTTTTGTTATTTAGCATTGTTTCATTTTCTGGTAAAATTAATTAACTTACCGTAAATTAAAAGTTCATAATATATTTTTAGTTGTTTTTTTTTATTTAGGAAGCTTTAAATACACTGAACAAATCAAACTTAACGGAATTGAAATCGTTTGGATCGCCTCCTGGTGTAGTAACAAATGTAACGGCTGGGGTAATGGTTTTATTGGCACAAAACGGTAAAATACCCAAGGACCGTAGCTGGAAGGCCGCCAAAGTAAACATCTATTTATTAAATTAAAATAGTTATAATTTAAACTTTTTATTATTATTACACATAAAACACGCGGAAGATACCACCAACCGCTATGACCCTTGGGGGGGTCTATTTTTTAATTAACCGCGATGTTATACTTAGAAAACTCACCTAAATTCTGTTTAGATCATGATGGCAAAAGTTGACGGTTTTCTCGATTTACTCATTACCTACGATAAAGAGAATATTCATCCCGAGGTGACAAAAGCCATAAAACCGTATTTAAAAGATCCCGAGTTCGAACCGGAATTCGTGAAATCAAAATCAGCCGCTGCCGCTGGTGAAGATTTTTGTTTTATTATTTTTAAAAATTATTATTTAAGTATATTCTCATTATTTTTTAAATTTAGGTCTCTGTGCCTGGGTAATTAACATAATAAAATTTTATGAGGTATACTGTGACGTTGAACCAAAACGATTGGCTTTGGCTCAGGCCAATACAGAGCTAGCTCAAGCTCAAGAAAAGTTAGCTATAATCAAGAAAAAAGTGTCTGTAAATATACAAATTATTTGTTATTTTAAAATGAATTAAAGTTTTTATAAAAAAAAAAAAAAAATAATAGTTTATAAGTATGATTTGTTTAGTCTTTAGAAGAACAACTTTCGAAATTGACGGCGGACTTCGAGCAAGCTACATCTGAAAAACTTCACTGCCAACAAGAAGCGGACGCTACAAACAAAACTATAGAATTAGCAAACAGACTGATCGGCGGATTGGGGTCGGAAAATGTCCGATGGGCCGAAGCTGTAGCTTGGTATATATTTTACCAATTTTTTTTTGTAAACCAATTGATAATATTTTTTATTTATATTTGGTTTTAATTACGTACAAAACTGGTATTGTAAAGTTTTATGCAACAAAGTACCACATTGCCGGGAGACGTTTTATTGATCACAGCGTTCATATCGTACGTCGGATGTTTCACGAAACATTATAGACAAGAACTTTTACACAAAATATGGACACCATACGTAAAAACCTTAGATGTATGTATATACAATATGTACATTTTATATAATATTATTAAAACTATAATGGTGCAACCAAGAGGGTTTTTTTATTTTATGTGTTTGGACATTCCCTTAAACTGTATTTATGGATAATGCGTTCAAAGACCATTGATTAAATAATGTTTTATTTATTCGGAATTGGGTGGGTTTTATTAATTAGGTCGATACCCCCCTCGAAAAAATTCTAAATACTCCACTGATTCAAACGCGTTGCTAATACGAATTCAGTGCTTGATTAAATCAAAACTGCACAGTTCCATCTAGCATGTTAATAAATTAAAAATAACCTATTTGTGTTCGTATCCCCACGTATTAACCGGTTTTTCTCATTTATTATGAAACATCCTGAGAAAATCGGAAAATGACTAGCTCCGTTCAGAATCCAAAATATACATATATCAAGTTACTATAATATACTTCTGGCACTTTTACAATCACTACAATAATATTGTATATATTTGCTAAGAGATTTATTTACAAATACTATCAGTAGATGTATAACTTAAGTTTTAGTCAAACTAATAATATAATTATTAATAATATTTAAAGCTAGGCAAGTTAATCAACAGTTTATTTTTAACTAGTTTAAGTTAAGTAATCCTAAAAAAAAAAAATAATAATTAGGTTAAAATTAACTTTAATTTATCTTAATTGGTTTTTTTTAAAAATATCATTATAGATTAATTTGATTAGATTATTAAGTTAAGTACAAATTGTCAGGAAAATAATAATTAAGTTACTTTTTTTTTTTTAATTACCTTTAAATGTATTTTTACTCATCAAAATTTGAAAGGAAAATTGCTAGGTAGTTATTTTTGTTGCGATATAAAAACACTGATATTGACAATTTAGTAGGTATCTATATAATATGTATACTTTTATAAACTAATATAATCCGTAGACCGCACGCCCGTCTTGTTATGTGATAATGATATTTACGTAAAAATACATAATTTTCATTAATAAATAAACGCAGAAAACTTTAGGTCAATAATTTTTTACAAATAACTAAGTTAAATTAAAATTATTTATAAAATAAAACAAGTAAATTACCAACTAAGTTATTTTCTAACATTCTAATTGTTTTAGCTGGTGAAGTTAAAAGTTATTAAGATAACCTTATTCTTACTTAACTTTTAACTTTTTAACTAGCCACTTCCCCGCTTTGTATTAATATTAAGTTAATGTATCATATTATTATTTATAAAGTTTCGAATGAACAACGCAATAATGAAACATTTAAAATGTGTGTTTAACTTGCACAGCCTGCCGTACCGATTACGGAAGGATTGGATCCTTTGACTTTATTGACCGACGACACGCAAGTTGCGATTTGGAATAATGAAGGTTTACCGAGTGACCGTATGTCAACAGAAAACGCCACCATTTTATCGAATTCCGATCGTTGGCCTTTAATGATCGATCCACAAGTAAATAAAACTATAAAAATAAATAAAAATTATAATATTATGCTGAATTATTTGGGTATAAAAATAACATATAGATTAAAAGCTATTATAACGCAATGATAGATAATCACGGCATATGATTTGATTCGGAAAGCCAGGCTAATTAATGGTTTTGTTTTTGTTCGGTATTATAATATTATATAGTTACAAGGTGTTAAATGGATCAAACAAAAGTACGGGGAACATTTGATTGTACTGCGACTTGGGCAAAAGGGATCGATGGAAGAATTAGAAAAAAGTATAACGACGGGGAAAATCGTATTACTCGAGAATATCGAAGAGAATTTAGACCCCGTCTTGGACCCGTTATTGGGCCGTAATCTAATAAAAAAAGGAAAGTGAGTGCGAATATTCTAGCTAGTTTTCATGTAATACGCACAGCATATCAAACTGTGAGACTTTTAAACTATTTTGTTCTTCTGCGTGTTGCGTTACATTTGTCGTCTGATATAGAGCGATCAAAATGGGAGATAAAGAGGTAGAATATAACCAAGAGTTTCGTTTGTTGCTCCACACAAAATTAGCTAATCCGCATTATAAACCAGAAATGCAAGCTCAAACGACTTTGATAAATTTTACAGTCACGAGAGACGGTTTAGAAGATCAACTTCTTGCCGAAGTTGTAAAAGCCGAAAGACCCGACTTGGAACAACTCAAGGTGAATATGTATTATAATTCATATAACATTACGTGGCTTTAAAATTAAGCAATCTTAATCTAATAATTAATTATTTATGTATCGCTATCAGGCTGAATTAACGAAACAACAAAATGATTTTAAAATCATGCTGAAAAAATTGGAAGACGATTTACTCTCAAGATTATCTTCAGCCGGAGGTAGGTCTGTAATATTAGGTACCGTCTACATATATTTAAACATTCGCATTAAAAGTTCATTTAACTCTATACCGGCCTGTTTTATGTTCAAAATTCAGTTTTTTACTCTGTGAATAACTTATTTTCTACCAGAAATTTTACTTCGATGTATTAAGTATAGCACCTTTTCTGAAAGGAAATTTGATCTTCTTAATAGGTACTTTAAATAAGTAATTTTTTGACTTTTCAAACGGTTTTCATAATAATTGAGAAAAAACCTGGAAAAATATAAAAAAAAAAACGAAAAAATTTACAAGATTTATTAATTTTCAATTTTAGATATTTTTTGTTATAATTCAATTTAAAATATTCGTGGGGACATAAAATTCGGACAGAACTTATATTTCACCTCTTCTAGACATGATAAAATTTTCAAAGAATTTTAGTCATTTTTGAGTTATTTATAGACAGTTTAATTTTGCGAGTATTGTACGTAATTTTTATTTGGTAGATACTCTGTGATAAAATTGTTAGACTAAACAGAAATGTTTGAAAATTTGACAAGAGGTTCATTATAAGTCGTACTCAATGATCAAAAACAAAAAAAATTGAGTGTAATGTAATATTTTTTTTTTTTTTATAAGTTTTTTAAGACCAAATTTTGACGAAAATCGTAAATAATACGATCTTAAAAAACATATTGTAAAACCGAACTCCTCTGAATCGTTTTTTATATTTACAATGGTTTTTTATCGGTTACGGGGTATAAATTTATGAATCCTGCCTTTCTAATACTCACCCACCGCAGTAGCTCCACTCTTCTTTAGTATCAACTCTTTATTTATTAGATTGATATCCTATATCTGATAAAAAGTATATCTTGATGGTTTAGATATACAATTTTGGCATGTTAAAATTATCCTTTTAATGTTTTCAATGTTGATTATATTTTAGTTTATTTATAATGTAGTTTTTTTTTTTTTAATTTTAAGACAACATTTTGAGTGATACGGCGTTAGTGGAAAATTTGGAGACCACAAAACGAACAGCTGCCGAGATACAACAAAAAGTCGCCGAGGCGAAAATCACCTCAGAAAAAATCGACGAAGCCCGAGAACATTACAGGCCAGCAGCTGCGAGGGCTAGTTTATTATATTTTATACTGAACGAACTAAACACGATTAATCCAGTTTACCAATTTTCGTTAAAGGCAAAGATAAATTATTATTTAGCTTTTAAAAAAATTTAAAAAAAGTTAACACTTTTTTTTACAAATCATCGTAATTATAGGCTTTTAGCGTAGTGTTTAATAATGCGATTGAAAAATCTGTACCAGCCGACGAAGTTACATTGAGAGTGAACAACTTGATCGACTGTATTACATACTTCGTCTTTGTGTACACTTCTAGAGGTCTTTTCGAGTGTGACAAGCTCATTTTCGCATCACAAATGACATTCCAAGTAAGTGCAAGTTGATCCGAATTGATGGCATTCAATGAAATTATAAATCTTACTTTACGTATATTCTTTGTATTTCACCCAATTATTTTAATTTTAAAATGAGTTACCAATTTCGAAACCTTAGTTTCACATTTTGAAATCATTTATGACTATTAGGTTAATTTATTGGTTATTACTATTTATGTACTCATAATTTATAGTTCTAAAAGAATCACCGCATATTAATAATAATAAAAAAAAAAAAACACTTAAAAGACAAAATTTAATATAATATTTTTAGCAGTTCAAGTAATGTGCATTATCGTGTGTATCAATTGAAATCAATGGGTTTAGTTAATATTTTGAGTTCATCGAAAAATAAAGTTAATAAAATTCAGATTCGATGCCGTAGTATGATATACGCGGTCAAAACGCTGTAAGAATTAATGATGGATTCAGTAATTGTTTTAAACATTTCTTTGGTATATTCAAAATGCAGGTATTGTAAATAAAAAAATTAATTGAACTACCTTTTGTTAACGAAAGTACTCATTCATGAAAAATCGTAGATTACAATATTTATATACATTGTTATTACCTACACTTTAAATCAGCTATTATAAAAACATAAAATACAATTTTTATTGAGTCTCATAAGTTACAGAATATAAAATTAGTATATATCGTAATATTTTAAGTATAAACGAAACATGGTGTGAATGATGCATCTGGTAAACAATGTGATACCAAAAAATTTAAATTCTGTATAAGTGATATTGACTAAAATGTTTTTAATAATATTTAATTAGATACATATATGTATATTAAGATTATAGTAAAAAAAAAAAAAGTATTTTAGTACTTTTCACAACACCGTATTTTTACCTCTATTTAAATACAATATGGTTAAAAGTATCTTTTCATAAGACCGGTGACGTAATAATATAATTTTTGATTTGCCAGCGGTGCACTGGATATTCGCAACACCAAAATGCGTAAAATAATCATTACACATGCGTTTAAAAAAATATACTTTTATTTTAATTTGAAAAAATGTTTCATTATTTTTCATAATTATATGATGAGTCATTTAATCTAAGAAAAATTAAATTGTATTAATTTGAAAATATTTGTATTAGATATTATTAATGAGTGAAGAAATAGCAGCACAAGAATTGGATTTTTTCTTAAGATTTCCCACAGCACAGCATATCAGTAGCCCAGTAGAATTTTTGTCCAATTCTAGTTGGTCTGGTGTTCGAAGTTTGTCGACTAAAGACGAGTTTAGGTATTTTTGAAAATATCTACTTATCTACCTATACATTTTTCACATTAAAATTAAATTTGAAAACATTTTTGTTTTTATTTTAGGAATTTAGATCGTGATATTGAAACTTCGTCAAAAAGATGGAAAAAATTCGTGGAATCGGATTGTCCCGAACGTGAAAAGTTCCCCCAAGAATGGAAAAATAAAGTTTCGTTACACCGGTTGATGATGATGAGAGCTCTAAGACCAGATCGCATGACTTATGCTATGTCGTAAGTAAAACCAAAAATATCATATGATTGTTATATAATACAAAACAAAATTCGAACACAAATAACATAACAAGTATAGATATCTATTGTACCGTTATAAAACAATATATAGGTACGCTTAACAATGAATATCGATACCAGTAAATTAATTGATTTAATAATTTTTTCTTGGTAAAGTACTTATGCAGGTATATATTATTATTTTTAAAGGGTATTCATCGAAGAAAAACTCGGTCCGAAATATGTGGAAGGTAGAAGCGTTGATTTTGCTAAGTCATTCGAAGAGACTAGCCCAACAACTCCAATATTCTTTATTCTTTCTCCGGGAGTGAACCCATTAAAAGTAATAATATTCTCTGTGGAAAATTATTTATTAAACTAACGAACTATCCCTTATTTATCGCATGTAATATTAATATACATATTAAATATTTTTTTTTGTTTTACGTATGAAATGACAATTTTATTTTAAATTTAGATGCGGTATATTATGCTAACTATTTATAATTGAGAACTTTAATGGACTAATTAATATTCCAAAACAGTTCTACAACTCAGTATAAATTTATAGTTACATATTTATTTATTCATTATGCCAAGTTATCAAAATTTCTTCAATTTTGAAAAATTTAAAAATTATTTTTAACATTTCGATTATCAACTTAAAGATAAGATTTTCTAAACCTATTTAGGGGGAAGGGGTGAGACCGTTTTCACTGATAAAATATTAGTCTAATACATATAGTGTACAACACAGATATAAATTAAATTACCCTATACAGCCAATACAATACAACCTATACCTACCTTCCCATTTTTTCGCTAACAACAGTAGCACACTCATTGTGCGATGTGTATATTCAATTTTTTATTATATTTACTTTATTGTTATAACATTAAAATAATTGCGAAATTGTAAAATACATTTTAATTTGAATTTTACTCGTATACAGCTCGTATATATTATTAATTCGCTTACTTGTCCGTGGGTAGCTGCGAACGCATTTGAACTTGAATCCACCAAAACCGAGTGTGAATGAATTCCGAACGCATATTCGGTAGACAATTTGCGTTCGTTAGCCTTTGCATTTTTTCTTAAAATTGTTCAATTTTATTTATTAAGTAATACATTTTTCTCACCCTGCTTATAGTATACTGAAGGAGGATCGGTAGAATCTCAAATAATCGGTTTTTATTTGTATTATAAATCGTATAACACGCAAACATTATTCATCCGTCCACTCCGTACTTACGAATCAAAATTTCGTAAAAAGCATTACGAACGCAAATGCCGAATGCCGTTTAAACTAAAAGGTATCTTCAATCGTTCACGAATTTACCGCACTCGGAGTGAACGTATAGGAACACGAACGATGCATAGTAATAGTATAATATTATACGGACATGGGATCCTGGTACTCTCGGATGAATTTAAACCGTCATACTAATCTTGGTTTAAGGATTTAAACCGGGAATATTTTATCTCCCCCTCTCCTGTCCCACTCATCATCTCGTATTAACGTATATATAGATTGCCTATAATACGGTAGGTAATAATATTCGAGTTTGATATATACTATTAGTTAAATATAAAAATATAATATTACTAAGATGTATTTTTCTCTCCCTGAAATACTTTTGAGATTGGTAAAAATATTCCAATATTATTTACGTCGTCCCTGTATTAAAAGATACGGATTACCCACTCGATGATACTTAATTTGAAATATTTCTCGAAATCCCTAACACTTTTTTAAACAAATTGATTTTTTTTTTTTTTTAACGCTTTGTTGACAAGTAAAATGTTGCGATTTTTTAGGCAGTGCCTAAAGGAATGTAGAATATTCACCTATAGTAATATCGTTTTTTTAAAACTATTAAAAGTTCACCTCCTAAATTCTTTTATTGGTAAAAATCATACGGTTATTTAAAATGCTCTCACAAGTTCGTAAATCATACAAGTTTTTTATATCGTATCTTAATAGGAACGGAATTTGCAATCTGAAAAAAATGTGTAGACTTTCAATAGCTTTTGTACAAATAAAAAAAAACTGACAACAAATGATAATACTTCGATTTTTTTTCGTTGATTTTTCGGGTTACCTATATACTGTTGGGCTATAAAATAAAACAAATACGATTTCGCTTAGAATCTGTATTTTAGTTTCAACGATTTATCGTTAATTTCATTAAACGTGTATAAAATGAATATTACTTCATATCCTATATACATTCTCAATTGTTTAAATTTTAACACTTAATCATAATTCATAATAATAATATTATGTCAATTATATTAATAATACAAAAATAATTATATTATTATTATTTTTTTTTTTATGAAGGTATTTTATTTGAAGTGTTATTCGATTAATAAAGTGCACCGTAATCAAAAGATGGTCGAATACGATTATTGAATTTAATTAAAAGTAAAAGGCTGGACATACCACGCACCGTGGGTAAGCCACTGTTGTATGGGTGGGTAATTTGGAAGGTAGGTAATTTAGTTTACACAATAAATCACTGTAAACGAAAAACGATGCGGAGTGTAGTATTAGTTTTCCCTTGTTTCCTAGGTAACCCAGAAATTTACAAAAACAAAAGTAGGATCTGAACTGTTGATAAATGACGATAAATTATTTCGTGAGTGCGTGCCTTAATCGAAACATATTTAATAAAAGTGTTTTACGAGAAAAGAAAAAATAAACACACCATTGTGAAACTTCTTCGTTACACTCAGAATCTAAAAGATTTGCGATAAATTTGTCGTTTTATTTTATATGCGACTGAAAGATTATTTATTATTTTCGGCGAGATAGATTTCATACTCTTATAGTGGTTTGTCGAAACCTGCTGACTAGTCGTTATCGGCTATTAGGTACTTGGGCCGTCAACAAAAAGTATTTTGTCCAAAAATGTTGTACAATAGTTTTGTAACGTAACATTTATGAACGGAGTGAGGAACGCATTGTTTTTAATTTTAAGATAAGATATAAATTATATAACTATACCTACATACCTACTATATACCTATACTACTTTGGTATATATTAGATTCTGAGTGTAGCGAAGAATAGTGTATTGGTTTTACAAAGATGTTTGTTTTTTTTTTTATATAAACACTTTTTCTACCAGAAAGCTATTACTCTAATATACAGTGTGTCTCACCGTGTTCGACGGATTTTTCTAGCGCTGTTGGTATTTAATTTTTTTTTTCTTCAATCCATCTGTCTTCGAGGGGGACATCGATTTGGAGAAAAATTACATTTTTATTTTCATCCCCTAAACACAAAAAAAAAAATAACTTTCTTTATTCACTTAGAAAATTTTCAAAACAACCATTTTGTAAAAAAAATTATTCAAAAAAATGTTAATATATAACACATTCATATCCAATGATTGATTTCTTAGTAATAGCCGTTTTTATTTCTAGAAAATAGACGTAAAAACAATTAATATTCAATAAAATAACACATTATGCGATAGAGCGATAAAGAATCACAATCAAATCAGGTAATTCTTTACCTTCTATGGAATATTAACTGTTTTCACGCCTATTTTCTAAAAATTAAAACTGATATAATTAAGAAACTTTAAAGAGGTCATTTTTCGATTTTCCCTCGGAGTTTTCTCAACAGATGTGAAAAAACAAAAAAAAGGGGAGGAAAAACTTAGGTAAAACGGGAAAATCGGTACACTATTAAACATATTGTTAAAGAAATTAAATAATGCTTATTTAATCATTTTATCATAATATGACATATATTATATTGCAAGACTTCGCTCAGAATTATTTTTAGTAAGCAATGATTTATCATTGCTTACAGATACAAATTAATTTTCCTTCTATATCTTAACTTCACAACTTCTCACCAACAACAGTGGCTGCACCCATCGTGCGAAATATATCCGTCTTTATGGGTTAATAATATTCTATTATTCCCGACAAAATTGTTAGACCAAACAAAAATTACTTGAAAATTAAACAGAAGATTTATTATAAGTCATAATAGTGGTAAAAAAAAATTAGTGTAAGTAATGTAGAATTTTTTTTATAAGAACTTAACTATCAAATTTTGACGAAAATAGTAAATATTATAGCCTTTCAAAACATGTATAACCGAATTCCGCTCAGAATCGTTTTTCATTCGCAAAGATAAGAATAATAGTTGCGTACAGATATATATATATATATATATATATATTAAATTCCCCTCTATATCCTACCTTTCTAACTTCTCACATACAACAGTGGCCAACCCCGTGCGAAATATGGTTGTCTTTTTTTTTAACTACAACTTCTGTGTTAATTTTAAACGATTACATTGTTTTTTTATGAATCATCCCTAAAGTTAAACTGCAGTAAAATAGTATTATTAGCACAATACAGTTATTATTACTATCGTTATCAGGACGTTGAAGATTTGGGACACAAGCTTGGAATTTCAACTGCATTAAATAACTTTCATAATGTGTCGCTGGGACAAGGCCAAGAAGTTGTCGCCGAGAGCGCGATGGAAATTTCGGCACAAAATGGTCATTGGGTCGTTCTTCAAGTAAATAAAACACCTTTTTTGGCGCACATTAGTTTTTCAATGTTGTTGCAGCAGTCACGCGTCATTTAAATAATATTAAATTATTCATAAAAATATACTTCTCTGATCTCAGGGAAGAAGGGCTTAAGTCAATTTTATATAGTTTTCAATACAAAGGAATTAAATATTTAAAATGTTATTGTATTTAGCCATCAGACCATTTAGGCCCTATCTAAATGGCGTTCTAAATGGCGTTCTAAATGGCTCAAGTTATATATCGTTACATAATTCATACCTTTTTTGCCAAGCAAAAATTGCATCACAGTCATTTAATATATATATAAAATTTCGGTACCTATAACAAGTGTTAGAATATACATACATTTATGCCAATTAGTTAGCGAGAAAAACTACATAAGATGAAATTATATTATAATATACCAAAAAAAAAAAAAAAATGATTCAAATTGACTTATAAGCCCTTCGTCTTCCTTGGAACAAAGTTTATACTTTTTGTATATAGAACATTGTGAATATGTATAGTATTAGACGAATTTTAATTTTAAACGATTATTTGTTCATACCTAATATTGTTTTGCAGAACATACATTTAGTAAAGAAATGGTTACCGACGCTCGAGAAAAAAATGGAACTTCTCGGCGAAACCGCCCATCCAAATTACAGGCTATTCTTAAGTGCTGAACCCGCAGCCACGCCGTCGGCGCATATCATTCCACAAGTATCATAATTTGAACATTTTTAGTTTTTTTACTATATACTTAATTTCAGTCTCTTAATCGAAACGTTCAGAATTAAAAATCGCCAACGGTTAAATATCACTGTCAAGATATTTTTCACGGATGAGTCTTTATTCGCCTATACCTAATCCGTATCTTATTTCGACTTGACTAAACCTGTATATACCTAGTTACTATTATTACAAAACTATGTTCTATATGATATTTTCCGATCTCAGATCGCAATCTTAATCGAAGGGTTTTAATTTTATTTTTTGGTAATATTGTCTATTTCAATTTTTTGATCGAGATGAAACCGGACACAAGAACATTGAAAAAAAAAATAAATAATAATTTCTACATTTAATATTTATTTAGGGTATTTTGGAATCGTGCATTAAAATTACCAACGAACCGCCGACCGGCATGCAAGCCAATTTACATAAAGCGCTGGAAAATTTCAACCAAGAGACGTTGGAAATGTCGTCGAAAGAAGCCGAGTTCAAAGCGATTTTGTTTTCGCTTTGTTATTTCCACGCCGTAGTAGCCGAACGTAGAAAATTCGGAGCTCAAGGATGGAACAAGATTTATCCTTTTAACGTTGGTGAGTATGTTATTGGTTATGTGTACAAACGAACAAATTAACGGTAAAAGTAAAACGAAATACTATTTTCGTATATACGTATATACGATTATTATGGTATATTCGTAGGTAAGTAAATTATATTTTACTATCGTTTCAGGCGATTTAAACATCAGCGTGAGCGTGCTGTTCAACTACTTAGAGGCGAATAATAAAGTGCCATGGGAAGATCTACGATACTTGTTTGGCGAAATAATGTACGGTGGACACATAACAGACGACTGGGATAGAAAATTATGCATTTCCTATTTAGAGGAATTAATGCAGTCGGATTTGGTAAAAAAAAAAAAAAAAACTAACTACTACAGATGATATTTTTTTTTAAATTTTTTATTTAATAATAATACTTCAATTACAAAGATTATTATAGTCTATAGTAACATTTACAAAGTAAAATTCAGTACTTGAAAATATTATATGGTATAATTTACAACTTAGTTATAACACTCATGCGATTTGTAGATTTTGTTTTTTTTGTTTTTCCCATAACAAGATTTTTTTCATTATCTATCCGTTTATATTATAGGTAGACGGAGATCTTCATCTAGCTCCTGGGTTCGCCGCACCTCCAAATATGGACTATCAAGGGTATCATACGTACATAGACGAAGCTTTGCCGGCCGAGAATCCAGTGCTTTACGGGTTGCATCCAAACGCCGAAATCGGGTTTATGAGCACAACATCCGAAAATTTATTTCGCACCGTTTTCGAAATGCAACCCCGAGAAGCCGGCGCTATTGGTGGTACGAACGTCACCAGAGAAGATAAAGTACGTTTAATGTACCGACCGGTTACTTATTAAGAGGACGTTATACCCGCATGTTCTGTCTCAGTCCAACTAACGGGCTGCAATATAGCAAAATCTACCTCACACAGACTGCGTGATACTCGCTTAATTTTGGTTTTAGAGTGAAAGCGCCTATAAAAATATTAAGAGAGAGCAATATTTCAAAGGGAAGATGATACGTTATTTTTTTAAATGCTACAGCCATTTAAAAACGACGAATTAGTTTTTATTTCTAAACGATTTGTTGAACGTTATATTCAGAATAATTCAATAAATTTAATATGAAATTCGGTTAAATTATGCAATTTCAACAAAAAATTACTAAATAAATACTCATAGTTGTTTTATTTTTAAGCCAATAGGGAAAGATAACTCTTAACCCAACCCATCTTGCGTTCGCCACTGGCAATATTCTACTCTCTATAGCTACCCGAATTCGTCTCTATAATTTCTTGTTGGATTTCAACATATTATCGAGTTTTACTTGATCTTTAATGCAAAATGTAATTATTACAAGCAATACAAATTAGATTAGGTAAATTATATAAATCCTGTTTACATTTTTAGATAAATTGTATAATTTTGGATGCTATTATTGTCACTTTTACTTATTTTTCTAAATAATAATAACATTATTAACAATAATTTCTAAAAAAGTGTTCATTCGTCAATTAGGTTAAACAGATTGTCGACGAAACGTTAGAAAAGTTACCCGAAGAATTCAACATAATGGAAATGATGGGCAAAGTAGAAGAGAGAACACCGTACGTAATCGTAGCCTTTCAAGAGTGCCAGCGGATGAATTTCCTTACTAGTGAAATGAAACGGTCCTTAAAAGAACTCGAACTCGGACTCAAGGTTATAACGAAATAATAATATTGCAAAACATAGTATAACAATAAAATATAATTAACTGGTGAGAAAAATTAATATTTAGGGCGAGTTAACCATCACGTCGGATATGGAAGACTTGGAAAATGCATTATTTTTAGATCAGATTCCGTCGGTATGGATGAATCGAGCATACCCGTCTCTCCTCGGACTGGGAGCTTGGTTCTCCGACCTGTTACTCCGGATTAGAGAGTTGGAAACATGGACCACGGATTTTGTTGTGAGTATGAATATATATGTATGTATATATAAGTATTTAGTAAATATTCGCAGATAAAACGTGGTAAAAAAAAAAAAAAAAAACTGCCCCATTAATACATAACTACAAAAGTAATTCATACCTAATTAGCGATCGTGTGGATTTTGTCTCGTCAATTATTATTAGGTGCCGTCGTCGGTGTGGCTCTCGGGTTTCTTCAATCCTCAATCGTTTCTGACGGCGATTATGCAAAGTACCGCGAGAAAACACGAATTGCCTCTGGACAAAATGTGTCTACAGTGCGACGTGACGAAAAAACACAAAGAAGAATTCAGGTCTTAATTTTCATCACATGTGGTCAGGGTTGCAAAAAATACTTTTTTTTTTTTGATGTTGTAAATATCATAAAATAATAGTTAATCACAAACAAAATAAAAATTTAAAAAAACTTCTTTATCCAAAAGTATAATAATAACTACTTATTTTTATTTTAATTTTAAGAATGAATGGAAAACATATTATAAATAGTTTTTTATTCTTCAGAACATTTTACACATTTCAAACATGTATGTATAAACCTTTTCAAACATATAATTACTTGTATAAAACACTTCGCAACCCTGTACATACAGGTGTATTAGTATTTATTGGACGATTAAAACGGGTTTTTTTTTCGATTAAATTTTAGCGGGGCAGCCAGAGACGGTGCTTACATTCACGGGCTTTTCATGGAAGGCGCTAGATGGGATGCGGTGCAAGGGGTTATAATGGAATCTAAGCTCAAAGAGCTATTCCCGCAAATGCCCGTTATCAACGTCCGAGTAAGTTGTGTTTATACTAAGAAGTAGTATATTATTATAGAAGTAGGTAATATTTTATTTCTTTATCAATACCAGAGCCTGGTTAATAAGAGGAGCCAAGTGTACGAAACGGATGGGGGGGGGCTAGTTCATACACCTAAATAATTATAGATTAACTATAGGTAAATAATTACTCTGTGTAAACAACTTTTTCCCTTTCACTTTTTATGTATAATTAATTGAATGGTGGTAATATGTACTTACTCCACTTAATTATCTAAGGTTTTTTTTTATAACTTAGTTTTTTTAACTTCACAATAGTAAAAATCCCCCTAACGATATATAAAATTATTTATCTAATTGAAAAACATATTTTTTGACAATATGTATAACCTAATATATTAATTTTATGGAAAAAAATCTATTTCAATCAAACAGAAATTATATTTATAAAATATAAAATATGCCCGTAAAAATAATTCCTATTTTTTAATATATTGTTTTAGGCGTTTAATGAGTTCAAAAAAAATTTAAAATTTCCTTAACCCAACTGTTATTGTAATTTGTGTTACTGAAGAAATTACTGTATTTATCATAAACAACTATATCTACCTACAGTGGCGTGTCAAAGGGTATAATCGGTAGGCAGCTGTCTCGGACTTTTTTTAAAAGGTCTATTTATATGACAATTTTTTAGTAAACAATAAAAACTCAGTGTTAAATCATGTATAATATGGGTGGTTCGTGGATTCATCAGTAGATATTAGATGGGAATTGGAATACAATTTTTGCCTCTGTAAATATTTGAGTTCACCACGACATTGCCTATCTACACAATATTTTTTTTCTTTATGTAGATATAATTATTAAGTAGACTAATGTCGATGCGTAATAATACAATAATTAAAAGAAAAACAAAGATCTGATATCCCTGCTATACTGCTGATGGTTGTGCAACTGTAATAGGTGCTTAATAGTTACACATAAAGTTAGATAATTTACATTTGTACGCAGTGATAACTAATTGCTGACTAAGTGCGATTCTTAGAGAAATTCAAGTAAATACTTATTTGAAAAGACGTGAAATGCTTGAAATACTTATCGTAAAAAAATAATATAATTCAAATCAAAAAACGGTTAAATTTAAGTCGAAATTTAATCTTAAAATGCATGTTTAAAAAAATTGATTAGGTACATTACGCTGAACATTTTTTTTTTTTGTAATCAAAAACAACTTATGATGAATCAACATGTTAAATGTTCAAAATTATAAACGAGATTACCGCATAGCAATGAAATTGTTATTAATGCAGTTGTATAATATATTATATTAGTAGGATGAAAAGGAGAGTTCAAAGTCAAGAGCAAGGAACAAGGAGCCCAGGTGCTATACCTAATACATGGCAGCCCATACAGGAGCCCAGGTGCTATTTTTTAACATAGCCGCCCGAATTGTTCACCTCTTCATCGACATTTATTTTCCCCCACCCCTTTTTTTCAAAATATTTTTTTCCTACATGTACCACCTACTCGACCTATTTAGACCACGCCCCCCATATCCAAATATTTTTTTCGAGACATTATCAGCTACTTACTCGACCTACCTACATCGTTATCATATACATACTGTTATCACATACCTACATCGTTATCATATACCTATGATTATTATTTTAAAGGAATACGATATTTTTCGTCTTCGCGCGCTCGCGTTAACCCGCATACCCTCTACCCACCGAATATATCTTATGCGTATATATTGTAATAAATTATTGTTTTTTCGTAACATTATTATTCCATGATTTATATTCTGTGATCACGTTAGTATACATTATAACATAACATACCATTAAGCGAGCTAATGTTTTCCCGCCCGCCTATTAGACGACCTATTAGACGACCGCCGGCCAGCAGCACATATTGTTTTTCTCGAAGTGTACAGACCATCGACGTTGCTAATAACCATTTCGTTTTTGTAACAATTGTACATAATAATATTTTGTCGTATAGGTAATATTTAGCTGCGGGCATGGATAGTGTCGGCAGGGTAAGGCGAGCGCGAGCTCGTTAATAAAAAATATTATATACACTAATGATTGCTAATGTTGTGTAACAATGTATACTAACGTGATCACGGAATACATATCATAGAATAAAAATGTAAGGAAAAAACAATAATTTATAAGAATATATACTCATAAGGTATATTCGGTGTGTAGAGGGTATGCGGAGTAACGCGAGCGCGCGAAGACGAAAAATATCGTAATACTTATAAAATAATAATCATAGGTATACGATAACGATGTAGGTATGTGATAAAAGTATGTATATGATAACAGTATGTATGTGATAACGATGTATGTGATAACAGTATGTATATGATAACGATGTAGGGAAGTCGAGTGAGTAGCTTATAAAGTATCTGAAAAATATTTGGATAAATGGGACGTGGTCTAAATAGGTCTAGTAGGTGCTGCATGTACAAAAATAAAAATATTTTGAAAAAAGTTGTGGGGAAAAATATATGTCGATGAAGAGGTGAACAATTCGGGCGGCCATGTTAAAGTATAGATCCTGGGTTCCTTTCAGGGCGGCCATGTATTAGGTATAGCACCTGAGCTCCTTGTTTCTGACTTTGAACTTTTCTTTTCATCCTTCTTATATTTATACTTATCTGGGTATTTAATTAGGTCTGTGACGGGTAAAATGTTTGATAAACACTAAATTATCTATATATTATAATATACTTATAATTCTGCAGCATGAATGTTATTTGACATAATTTTAAAATTTACCTTTAAGCAGGCTGAATTACGATTCAGATCACTGTGTGCCGTTATTATTACAATTTTTTCAATATTTGATCTTAAGATGCTTATGAAAAAAAAAAAAAACTAATGTATTAAACTCAAATTTATTTATTAGACTACTAAGTACAACTTATAATGTACTTTGTGTTAAATTGTCAAGTATTTCTCTTAATTTTAATAACAGATACCTATACCAAATAAAAATACATATTAAAAAAACATGAAAATATCAAATATCTATAAATAGCCTTTGATTTTTCCCAATTATTTTTAAAACCCCTTGGAAAGTCTAAAAATGACCTTCTCAATGCATCAATTAGACAACATTTTCTTTCAGAATAAGTACTTCATTTTGCACATCGGAACAATATTTTTGGTAGAAAAGTTGTTTACAGATAGAAAAATACAAAAAAAAATTTTTAAAAAATACACATCATAGGAAAACTAATACATCCCACGCTACGCTCCGAATCTAAAAAAAATTACCTACTCAATCATTATCTACTTTCTAGATAATACTTTCTACATACTACAAAGAAGTTCTCTTCTCGTTTTTTGATTCCTTATTGCGCCCAGAATCTTAAAAAAAATACTTAACACAGTATTATGTTATACTTGCAGGCCATCACTCAAGACAAACAAGATTCGAGGAACGTGTACGAGTGTCCGGTATACAAAACTAGGACCAGAGGTCCGACGTACGTGTGGACGTTTAGTCTGAAAAGTAAAGACAAACCCTCGAAATGGACGCTGGCCGGTGTCGCCCTACTTTTACAACTATAGAGAATGTTATACTTATCAATTCGAAAGTGCGATACATCTGATTTTTATACACGGTCCACAAGGACGATTTACGATTTTGTACCACATTGAGTTTTGGGACAGCTGTGTAATATTATGTATATCATATATCACTCCTGAACCTTATATTTTCCTGTTACTTTCATACAGAGAACTGCAACTAGTGACCAAGTATATACAAACTGCTTATAGATAGGCTAATACCAAAGTCATAGTGAGAATACGTACTTCAAGACAGTCCCACCAATAAGTGTGGCTCGGATTTGCTTGGGCACAGTTTTTCCAGTTAATAGGTATACCAAATAGGAACAAACGAATGTTTGTTAACGGAAATGTTTGTTACAAATGAAAATGTTTATCACACATTTTTACGCATTACCATATTTTACATTTCCCCCTCCCCCAAATTTTATGATTTTAAGATCGTCTTTATAAGGCACATTATGTTGTTTGTAACTTAAAAAAATATTTTAGTAAACATGATTAAATGTCGAGTAGTTTTCCTATACGGTCGCTATATGTATTATATATTATGTATGTTAGCGTTAATGTATGAAATTCCGTAATTCTACAAAATAACTAGTTTTAACACTTATAAAATAACTAGTTATTTTATAGAACTACGAGCACTTCAGTGAACGTATTGAATAAATACAAAAACACATATTCCAACTAGTTATTCTACATACTATAACTTATAAGTAGATATTTTATAAATTAACAATAACGATTTAGTTAATGTATGTAAAATTATTATTACATCCATACATAAAATATAAATATTCACGTTGAAAAAGTTTATTCTGATTTATACAACGTCGCTTTATTAGAATTACTTAGTTGTTATAAAATTTTAAACAGATTACAAATTTAAAAAAAAAAAAAAAAAAAAATATTAATATTAAGTCCTAAATTATTATAAAATTTGTATCTATTAATATTTATTAGTCTTTTATTTGAAATGATTTCTTTATTCGTACACAATTGACATAATCCTTCCTTGGCATGCCCTTCATTTAAAATACTGTCTGGTGTATTTGAAGCTTCATAAGGACTTCGTCCTATCTCTTTATGTAAAGCTTAATTTGTCACATATACATAAATATATTGACTGTGGCGAGGTGACCACGAATAATAGTTAATGCAGACCACATTTGTTTTAATGAATCTATTGTTTGGTTTTGGAGTTCATGACTGTTGTCACGTAACGACAAAATACTTTGTTGTACTTACGCTTGGAGCATCGAACGGAGTGAAAACTATATCTAAAAAGCAACTTCTTCAGCTTTTTTCGATTTTAATAGTCTTAAAATACGGAACGTTATCGAGGGATCTTGATATACCAACAAAAATGTATATTCGCCATCATTTTGACTTTGATAGTCAATAAGATCTTCCCAATTGACATCTATTATTTAATTCGGAAAGAATCATAGGATTTGCCACGGTACCTTTTTTTCCACTTTTTTGTTTTTTTTTTTTACAAGATTTACATTAATACTTCAGTCCCAGTTTTATAAGATGGCTTTAAATTACATAAATTAGCGAAAATTCAATTCCTATTTAATAATAATACCTATTCCATATCTAAAACATTAAAACCGTTTTGGTAATTTACATATATTAACGAACATGTTTAGAAATTCCAGAGTTGGTAATATACGCGTATAATACGTTTTATACGTTACTTTAAAATTAATAATAAACTTCATAATTACTAAACCATTATTATTAATTTTTTTTTTTTTCGTAGTTATTAAAATAGCGATAATACTATACATTTTAAATTTTAATAGGTACCTATTTAAAATTATAAATTAATATAAAACAAATTAACAAATCATATTAACTTGGTGAATTTTCTTAGATTTAGAATAAAATAAATTAATTTTTGGTAGTATAAACATTAATATAGGTTAGTAATTAATATAGTTATTAATAAAGAATAAAGATGAACAATTGGTAATTAATATAAAATTTATAAAATAATAATTAAATTCAATTGACAATTACTTTACCTGATAATTTTGGTTCGATTGCAGCTAGAAGAAAAAAAAAATCGTATACCGTATAAAGCGTCGACAACTAATAGTTTTGTATTGTACGTTTTATACATACGTGTAATACGTGTTTTATGCTTTACTGTATTATATACGTTCCAACCCTGAGGAATACTATAGAATAACTAGTTCACTAGTTATTTAATAATATAACGTGTTACGTACATTAGTACATTACCTACCGCTGACATATGTATTTATGTATATAATATATATATATTTATATTATGCTATATGTACACCTACCTATTATTAACATTTTCAATCTTGTAATAATTGTACCTAACAGGTATTATACCTAAACTTGTGCGATTCATTTGTACATTTTATAGATTCTAAGTGCAATGAAAGAAAAACTATTTTTTTCTTTACTATTTATAACTGTTAATCTTCTTTAATTGGTTTTGATAAGCTGTTTATATTGTTGTAAAAAAAAAAGCAAGCAAGGTACGTGTATTCCATAAAAACTCTGATAACTAAAAAATATATTTAAACATTAAAAGACAGTGACGTCTATTAGTTGTGTGGACCGATGGGACGAAAAATAAATTTCAAATTTAGGGAAGAAAAATATTTCGTGGGAATATTCCCAAGGCACATCACTAGCTCAGTGTAAGAAGACCGCCTTTGGTGGTCTAATGCGTTAGCATGTTTTCAAGTTTTTTAAATATTTCGATAGTTCCGGAAACGTTACAAAAAAATCATAGGTATAATGTATCGAATAATTGCCTATTTCTGTCTAAATATATTATGCAGTTCCGAGTAAAAAACTCAGAATACAATGTTATTCAATTTTAAACTTGATAGTTTAGATTTTGAACATATTGTACTTAATACCTACAACTTGAGGCACATAATTATTTTTTTTTTTTTGATACTGATACTGAGATATCATTAAAATAAAATTATACTTGATTTTTTAAAATCTTTATAATGTCCATTAGATTGTTAATTGTTGTATTAGTAGGTACCTACTTATAATAATAAGATAGTCGGAAACTATAGGTAGGTACCAATATTTGGTTTAGGAAACCCAAATTAACAGTGGACCACATCTTTACACTAAGTCAGATAATGGCTAAACATTATAAATTTGATAAAGAACTGCACCTTACATAACCAATGTTGTGAAACTTCATTATGAAACCTCTTAGGTCAAAACTACTATTTATCACACAATTCGAAGACACACTTTTACCTACTTTAGTTACCTATTTACGACCAGTAATCACATACGGGTGGGCAACCTGATCCCTTACTAAAGGAACAATTAATAACTGGAATAACGAAAGATAGTACTGAGAAATATATACGGCAACACGGGGTAAAGCTGATATGAGAGCAAAACTGATATTGTTTATAACGCATTATTCTATGGATGAAAACTATCAGTTATAGATTTATTTCATTCCTTATCATAAAACATGTTATCACTGTTAACATCAATTGCAAAGTTTTTTTTAAAATTGTTATTCGATAACGAACATTTTGAAGGTAATTAGTATTATAACTATATATATATTGTATTTAAGATTTAACTATGATAGAACTATACTACAATTATCATACACGTTTAGTATGAATCTACGACTTGTAAAGATTGTTTTGCAATCATTAACTTAATTTTATCTAATAATATTGTATAAATAATCAACAATTTTATAAAAATTATGCTTTGGGGCAAAATAGATTTTTTATTAGTTTTAATAATGCGTATCTATAAGTTGATATACTTATTTTAGATTAGGTTAGGTACCTGCCATACCATGCATCAATATTGGGGCAAGACCAATAAAATGTTAAAAAAGTTAATTGCTTGTTAAAATAACTCCTGATTTTTTTTTTTTAATATTGATTTATGAATAAAAGAAAACTTCAGATTTTGAACATATATCATAAAAAAAACTATAAAACTGGAAAATTGAATATAACATTAAAAATCAAAAATAATTCTTTAAATAGGTAGACACAATATGACATTTTATGACAGAAATCAATTGAATAAAACAAGATTTGTAGCACTTGTTATTTTTCCAGCATTCTAGAATAATTAGCATATATTATTCTATACAATTTGAGCCTCAATCATAGTTTAAATGACATAAATACATTAGTTATAAGAGTACATTTTAAAATTTACTTAAATACTTTTAAAATAATCATACTTTACTTATATTTATTTTAACTGAATTACATAATAATATTATGTATACAAACAGTACATTTTTAAATAAGATAAAATTGTATTAATAATTATATGACTACATACATTTATTGAAATATATAAAAATTTAACACATAATTCAGTTTTCAATTTTGAAATCATTATTAAACCCCTATACATTTCGTAATAATACAAATTAATTAAATTATTGTATTTTCACCATTGCAACATGGTTATTGTAAAAATAATAGTAATAGTGTGTGGGTGCATTTATGTATAATAAATTATTAATGTTTGTTATCAAAGTTCACTACAAAGTAAATTATAAATAACAAATATACAAACATTAAACATGAAACACAATCATTGGCACAAATAAACAAATAAAAGTTTATCAAATTTTTCTCTTCTTTATAGAGTTCATTTGAATATTTTAGATTTTATTAAGCATTTTTAAAACTCTATTGTCTGGTTATACATACACACACATATATAACACTATTTAATAGTTAACATAGCTATATTTTACTATAATTAAAATTACAATCACACAATATAGTAACATACAAGTGTATATTGCTTGAGAAACAATTAGAGAGTATTGTTTATGTACAAAAATAAATTAATAATTTGTATGGATTATCTAGTAGTAATTAGATATATGTGTTTATGTATGTAAAATAATACGCATAGTAATTTTTTAATTAAATGAGTTTATAATAATTTTGAAGCACACTTTTTTCAGTAAATAATATAAATAAAAATTAATGATCAATAATTACATCACACAATAATGGAAAGAAAAGAATGTTTTGTGGCACTAGTGATTATTCTATTCTCAGTATCCATCTAAACCGTTATACAATTTATTGACTGAGCTTTGACTTAATATTTTCTTGAGATCTAGAAAAACAAAATTAAAACAATCAAATATAATGGTAGTTAGTAATATAATATTTAAATGAACAAATAATATTGAAATTAATAAAAAAAAAATTGAATTACCTTCTTTATCTTGTTCAGTGAGGTTGTTTTTAGGAAACTGGATATCAAGTGTGATAATGAGATAACCGTGCATATTATTGTTTTCATAATTTGGCATTCCCAAACCCTTTTTTCTAATTTTTGCTCCAGGCCATGTAATAACATCTCGTTCTATAACAATTTTTCGACCATCTAGATGAGGTATCTCCGTTTTAAAACCAACCAATGCATCCTTAAAATAAAATATTTATTAGAATATAATTATTTATTATAAATAATCCAAAAACAAAATGTATTATGCTAATAGTATAAATGTATTGCATAAGACAATTAAACAGCCTATCACTACATTTCATCTTACAAAGTTTCAACTTATTCTTTTTTGATGAATGTCTATAAGTCTCATGTCCCATTTTTTACTAATTTATATTTTGAATGGATCCTTTTTATCTAAACATGGGGAAACTAGGAAAACCGAAAGAAAATTGGTGAAACATTAAACAAATATTATTAAAGAAAATAAATATTGTATAAGTAATTATTTTACCATAATATGACATAGGTATATATTGTTGACAAAGCAACACTATTATCTGAATTCCACTTAGAATCATTTTTTCGTTAACAATGGTATATTGTTGCTTACAAGTATACATTAAATTACCTATAAAAAAGGCTGCACCCATCTCCATTATCCTAGGATATATTTTTTAATTTTAATTTTACATATTTTCAACAGGTTTCTTTTTTATTATTATAATTAAGTGATGTTTCATGAGAAAAATAAGGGCTGTTGTAGTTTGTTACCATAGTCTCTTTAGTATAAGATCATTAGATTTGAAAAAGATTGATGATTAGGAGGAAATGGTTAAGGATATGACTTTTAAAAGAAATCAACTTCTACAGAAATGTACTGAAAAAAAAAAATTGTATTGTAAATATGAAGACTGTCACATAAAAAATGAAATTGATTAATTTAAATTATGTAAGGCTGGGTTAAGAACTAACAAGAATTTGTACAATGTATCAAAATTATGCTTACATTGTTTAAATATTCCCACAAAATATCAATCCAATCTTATCTTAATATTTTACTACACACATGCACTGTTTTACATAATACAATTTGTTATATTTAATAAAGAATATATTAATTCGTACTATGTGTGTAAACCTGCCTAAAAATTAATAAATACATATTTTTGAACAGAAAAAAAAACTATAAATACAAAAAAATGTTAGATTATTAGACAACCAAATCTACATTTACTCTCTATGTGAAAATACAATGGACAATATAGTAAAAATATTTTTGTACGTTTTGATAGTACTGAAGTAATGATAGTCTCATAAACTATAAATTGCAATTTTCAAAATTCTTAATTAGTCAATTTTATATTTTATAAAAGACAAATTTTGAAATGCAAAAAAAATCAAACAATTTACAAAAATCTGTTAAAGACAGATTATTGACATGTCATTTAGACATGACAACTTTTTATGTTTCTTTTGGCACTAAAATCAAATAGCTAAGTACTATAAGTACAAAAACAAAATGTTGCTTTATTGCCCATTAAGTAGACAAAGATGACAAATGCTGATTTGACATTTAAAATGAACATAATTTTATTACCTGTAATGATATGGTTAAATTTGTATATAAATCATCACCCCGTCTTTCAAAAATTTTATGAGGGAATGTTTTTATTTTAAATACTAAGTCGCCAGGATCTCCATCAATATGAGGTTCACCTTCTGCTATAAATTTGGTTTCTTGACCATTTCTCATACCAGGTTCTATTTCAATTTCCAGCATAGATTCTTCAGTGATCATTCTAAAACATACATTAACCAAAATAAAAAACTTAAAGGATCAAATATATTTTTACAATGATATGAATAAATTATATCTTTTATCAATAGGCAAAAAAATATTTATATTGTGCTGAGTTAAAAAAAAAATTATTTAATTTATTTAATTAATGTTTTTACCAAATTTAATAGCATATTTTTAATAGATTATGCAATGATGTATTAACAAATTTGTCAAAAAAACATTATAGGAAATATGATTTTCTTTGAAATATAATGCACACCTAATTTACTTGACCTATAGAAAGGTAATAGATGTCTATAAATATTGAAAATGTTTAAATCAATACACTGTTTATAGTAGTGCATTTTTATATGTTTATGCTACATAGGTAAACTGATTTCAAAAGCAAGACCAATACACTAAACAAATTTCATAACTGGAAATCAAAACCCCTTAACAAACATAGGTTGTCAACAATATGGTTATTTCAAATTTTGTTAAATTGTGACCTAATCTGATGTTATTAATTTAAATAGTTAATTTTTAAGAAGATGTACAATATGATACTTACACAATATTAGGACATTCATCACAAACATTCTGTTGCATCATTTGAAATCGCCCAGGACCTAATTGTTTGGTAATCATTTCTTGTCTACAATTGCATTGCCTTGTACCACTAGCCGGTTTTATGACAGGCTTATTCCGTGTTATCTAAACAACCATTTTCAGTTGGCACATATATACTTATAAAAGTTTCATAATACTTTAGAAATAATAAATAAATTGTTAATTTATACCTGTACAAAGTTACCATTGTATAATTCTTCTAAAGAAACACCTAGTTCTAAAACAATAGTACCACCTTTAGGTGTTTCTTTTTGTGCAGGTGAATCATCAAATTGAAAACCGAAGTCTCCAAAGAAACTGGCAAATGGGTCATGACCATTGGCCATAGAATCTTTCTTAACACATTTTTCTCCACATCTGTCATAATCTTTTCGCAACCTATCATCAGATAGTACTTCGTATGCATTTCGTAATTGTGAAAATTTTTCGGTAGCTTGTGGATCATCACGATTTTTGTCTGGATGAAGTTGTTTAGCCATTTTACGAAATGCGGATTTGATATGATTATGTTTAGCTGTACGAGGGATATTCAATATATCATAGTAGTCTCTTGAGCTGTAATTATAAGATAAAGAAAAATTAATTTTACTATGTGTGTGATTTGTTTTGTTTTTATTTTTAAGTTTAATTAAGCTCATTATGAATAACATATGAATATCATCATCTTAAAATCATGTAACATTTTATCAAACACATAATTGGTGGAATTAATACATAAAGTAGAAAAAAAAAATGAATCCAAAGATGCAATTAATTTTTTTTTCTACAGTAAAGTAGCTCGTGGAGTAATTATTACAATTATAATTATAACATATTATTAAACTTATCCAGTGTAATTTTTAAGAATAAGACACAAATTGTTACAAAAATATGCTACAGATTCCAATTTATTTCAGTTAGTGAAGAAGTTATAGGTTACAACCATATACATAATTTACCATATTAAAAGCCTCTTGGAAATCATTATAAATGGAATGAATGTAAAATTTAGGTTATTATAGAGAAGTTTATGAAAATAAAATATTTTAACAAAAACCAGTTACATTAAAGTTAAATTATAATTAATTACCTACAAAGTTGATTTATTTTTTGTAGGTAAGAATTGACTAAGATTTTGCTAAACCTAATTGAAATTTTTGAGATAGTCAAATAGATAACATATTTCATATACTTTAAATTATAGTAAATATTATTATTAGGTATATTAAATATATAGATTTTTTCTTCTCCACTATTACACTAATAAAGATTGAAAATTATACTACTTAATTTATATTAGTACTGTGGTATATTTAAGTTTAACTCATAAAACATTTAACTGTTAATTTTATTTTCATAAACTTATTTAATAACATTCATTCCATCGATAATGATTTTCAAGAGGTTTTTAATATGGAGAACCATGTATTTGGTTGTAACCTATACTTTTACACAAACTGAAATGAATTGGAATCTGTAACACATTTTTGTAACATGTCTTACACTTAAAAATTGCACTGCATAAGTTAAACTATATGTTTAATTACTTTTGAATCTAGAATAATATTTTATTTACTATTTAAATTTCTACCAGTTTAAATTATTTTGTAACTCTACGAACCACTTTTCCATAGATAGGAAAAAATGTCTAACAAATGTTCAACAAATAGTGATAGACCAAGGTTATAATTCGTAAGAAGATATTAAGAGGACATAAAGTACCTAACATTGAAAACTGGATAATTACTACAAACTAGAGATGTGTTTTTTCACAAACGAACGAGTTTTATTGAATGATTCACACTAGTGAGCAAATTGATCTGGATCGTAAAACAAACACACAAAGTTATTCATTTATTCATACCATTCATCGAATAAATATTATTCTATAGAGATCTAAGCAATCTATTATCTTAAAAACGATAATTATAGTTTGTCTATAACTGTAATTACAAGATCACGAATCATACACTCATCTTTAATTGTGGTATACACTATACATACATAACAACTATAATAACGATAATCAATAATCAAATATTATTATAACTAGATAGTAGGTACCATAGCATATTCTTTATTATTATTATAAATAGGACAGTACTAATGTAGCTTTAGAAAAGGAAGGTCAACTACGGATCAGATATTTATTCTGAAACAGATGGAGAAATATTACAAATTCGACAAAAATGTATACATGGTATTCATTGACTATAAACAGGCGTATAGTAATATAAATAGAGAAGAGTTATGGAATTCCATGAGCTACTTCGGGATACCGAAAAAATATGTTAACATAGTAAAACTGCAATGACAAAACAGAATGTAAAGTGAGATTCTGGGAGCCTTTGAATTAAACTCTGGTTTATAGCAGGATGATGCCTTATCTCCAACCCTATTTAATTTAGGGCTTAAAAAGGTGTTAAGAGAGCTAAATCATAGTCGTTAGTAGAGGTAGCAAATAAAGTATTATTAATAAAATATAATATTGGCATATACAAAAGATATTGTTATTTTAGGAAATTTCAGACAAGATGTTACCCAGACAATGTCTAATCTTTTAACAGTCAGTAAAATGATGAGACTATATGTTAAAGAAATAAAAACAAAATGTATGGTGCTTTCCAGGAGAAGAAAAGATCAGTTTTATCTACAAGTAGATAATCTCACATTTGAAAAAGAATTAAGTTTTAAATATGTAGGTGTCAACATAAACAGTAAAAATAATATACATCAGGAAATAGTTGAACGATAAACAAGTGGAAACCGATGTTATTATAGCAACCAAAAATTATAAAAACCTAAATTATTGTTGAGAAGGAAGAAAATACTGCTTTACATCAGCTAACCGAGACTAATAGTCACTTACGCGTGTGAGACCTGGTCTATGACGAAAGGTGACAACAAAAAACTGGCGATATTTGAAAGAAAGGTTCTGAGAAAAATTGTTGGCCCAGTATACAATCTCGATCTAGGACCATTTGAATCACGGAAAAACAAAAATTTGTACCAATTATAAAGAAAGCCAACTATACTAACCTATATAAGAACAAAGAAAATGGAGTGGTATAAACACACTTGGAGAGCTGAAGAGGATATATTAATAAAGGATACAACTGCTATAATACAGAAAAAACGACCACTGGATAGACCGCAAACGAGGTGAAGGATGCTGTGGAAGACATTCATTTGGTGGATGTGAATACCTCAGTTGATTTAGCATTCAACAGAGAAAGGTGGAAAGGCTTGATTATAAATTATTAAATAATTAGACATACGGCATTTTTCTTATACTTACTGACAATACACCAAAACTGTAAAAGTTAACAAATTATAAACGACGAATTTAATATGATTTAAAATCATTTTTACTTGTAGAATAAAAAAAAAACAATAATGTTAGATTTTATCACTCGCTGAAAGCAAAAGTAGGTAATTCAATTTTGTTTTTTTATTAACAACGAAATAAAAGTTCTAATTTGATTAGACTTAAATCCATTTTAATAACTAAAAAGAAGTATCGCGGAATGTAAGTACGTAACTCAATAGCCTAATATTCTTTTTTAAATAATGCACTAAATGCACGCGTCCAGTGTTGTGTAAATCTCAATTGGATACTGTAATCAAAAATAATGTGTGCGTTTCTGATTGGCCGGCTTTTCTTATTGATTTAACTGTACACTTAGATATCATGTATTTTTTTATCATTTTACACAAACATTCTAATTACATTTTATCAAAAACACTAACAAGTAACAAATCGAATATCATGAATCACAATAAATTACAATTTCCTCAGATTTTATAAAAATCATGTATAAAAAGACACGTATTAGAAAAAAATTCCAGTGTCCAACGATTTGCAGTGATTTGTCGTATTATTTGATAACCATAATTTTTGATAGTACTTGATAACCACTGCAGATATGTTTAAATATTTATTATATTAAATTGTCTTGTAGTTAATTTGGTTATGGATTCATTATTGATAACTATACAAAATCCATCACAAGAGGGATCTATGGGCGAGGATATCCTACATTTTGTAGATGGTAAACCAAAATAAATTCATGCACTATGTATCTTGTAGCAGTTAATATTGATTAATAACTAGTTAATTAATAAACTAAGCAGATCTGTAAATATGGGTTGCTCCAAATTTGGTGCCCCTATTTTACTAGTTCTTCTTAAAAATATGTTATTCATATTTTATTTGTATTTATTGTATACAATTTTTTAAATTTTCAATTAATCCACCATTACTCAACTCAAATAATAAAACAATATTTAGACTTATTATATGTGTTCAAAAAACTTAAACTATTAAGACAATATAAATTGAATAAAATGGGATGGAATTCATTTACTTTTTTAAGAACAAAACAAGTGAGAAGTAAACCACTTCAAGGAATCATTGTAGATACAAATTATTGAAAATCCTGAGAAATCTAGAAATTCAAAAAATCTTTAGAAATCTTCTAAATTTGTATCTAATTCAAGATACATAACATGTTTTACTTATTATAGAAATTATCATGTATTAAAAATATTAATTCAAATTAATGCTTAATTAAATGATTCTGATTATTGAAGAATAATGTTATTGTTGTAATTTAAAATCATTGTACATTTTAATTATTAATACCAATGTAAATAATTGTGCTGTGTTTTATGATTTATTTTTGTTTTTTATTTGATCAGTTCAATACATTAACATTTTAACTAAACTAATACCTATTTTTATCTACTTAGTGTAATATAGTTTTTTTTTTTTGGTGATAGTTATTTTAATAATAATTTGAATCTTGAATAATGCACACTGCATTACAATGATATTTATTTTAATTTAATTTTTGATACTGTGTACTAAAATTCTACCAGAAATCTTACTCTAATACATCAAATGTAGCACCTTTTCATAGAACAAATTTTATCTGGCTGGTACTTAAGGAAGATATTTTTTTGATTTTCCAAGTAGTTTTCATAGTAATTTGGAAAAAATGGGAAAATGTATGAAAATAATGCTTTTATTATTTTCAATTTTGTTGTAAAATCAATTCAAAATGTTTATAGAGACTTGAAATTTAAACAAAAAAATTATATTTGCATTTTTAGATGTGGTTAAACTTTCAAACATTTGAGCCATTTTTGAGATATTCATAGACATTTTAATTTTGGGAATTTTTATTTGATAGGTACACTGCGGATAAAATAGTAAAACCAAACAGAAATGCTTGAAAATTTAACAAAAAGTTCACTATAAGTTATACTTAGTTAACCACTAAGTATAAGAAAAAGTTAAGTTTAGTGTAGTAATTTTTTTTTTAATACAAATTTTGATAAAAATCGTAAAATTAACAACTTTTAAAATATGTATAATTGAACTTCTCAGAATCGTTTTTCATCAGTAAAGATAGGTTATTTAGTAGACAAATAAATCATAGAAAAAATAAGAAATCAATGGAAATATTAAGGAATCTTTAGTAATCTTAAGAAATCTAAAATTTGGTGTATATAATTTACAATCATAATTTACTCCATAAAAATAAGACTCTTATCTAAGCAGTTGTACTTAATAAAATGCATTTACATAATTATTTATAAATTTAGAACTGTACACTTTAAATCTTTGACATTAATATACTTCACTTAAAAATAGAAAGAAAAGATTTTACATTTTTATTCATAAAAATTAATTTGTAAGTAAGTTTGAATTTTGTCATTATCAATAATTTATGTTTCACAAGTGTCTTACAATAGCTTTAAACTATAAACTTTTATACATATTCCTTAAAAGAAGAAAATAGAATATAATAACACAACTTCACTGACATAAATCTTTCACTGTTTATACCCTAATCCAGACTTGGGATTATTTTAACCAAAAAGAAAAGAAAAAGAGACTGTTAGTTTTAAAAAATAGGGACGGTTATACAAGATTTCTGTATTTTCTAAAAAATAACAAATATTTCCTTGAACACCTAATAATTGAAGATCAATTGGATGTTGATAGCAGCCACACAAAGGGAACCAACAAAATTGAAATATTACAACTATTTATGAAGCCATTTGAAAGAAGTGGTTTTCAGACCTTCCAACTAAGGTGGTTGAGGTGTTTGGTTTCACCACAACAAAACTCATCTACAAGTCACTCTGTTTTCTATAAATATTAATTATTTGAACATATAACTTTTGTGTGAAAAGAAACTAACATACACTTAATTGGGTCATTTAGACATTCATAAACACTAGTAGTTACTGTCTGTAATTTGGTAGTATACAACAAAATAATACCTGTCATAGGAAGTTTTTAAGTCGATAAAAAATTTTGGAACGCATCAATCAAAAGTAGGTACTGTAATTATTTGGTAACAACATATTATATTTAGGTGAAACTGTTCAAATCATCCTGTTACAATTAGTACATAACATTATGACAGTATTGGGAAATTAATTTGTAAGTATAGAGTAGGTGCAAGAAATCATCCCCTAAAGTTGATGATTAAAACAAGATTTCTGGTTTAAAATTTATTTCACAGGATTGTAAATCATTATGGTGCAACAGAATTTGTTCTGATGTAAAAACATCATTGATATTGATGGAGCCATGTAATATATCAATCCTAATACTGTGCAAATTGGTTTTTGTGATAAAAAAAGCTCACTATTATCACAATTTATTACAACACAACATTGCAGTTATTATTTATAAGTAAATATATTCTCTTTAAAAAATCTTCACTGAATTGGAAATAAAAATACATTTAACATAAACAATTTGATTAGTGACATTTATTGAATAATATATTAATTTATATAGATTCCTCTGAAGAAAGTTAGAGTGGGTAAAACTGGATTGTATATAATTTAACATTTTTAGAATATAATTGTGTATGTTGATTGAATGTCACTATTGTTTATGAAACAGTGTAACATTTCTAATTATACAATTTTCAATAGTATTCAACACATTTTGTGAATTTAATAAAAAACCTAATAAGGTAATTAAAAATTAATTAACCAAAAATCATGATTACAATTATTTATACATATTATTTAACTAATCAATTTAACACAGACTCTTTTCGTATATTAATAATTTGTAGTAAAAATTAAATAGTTTAATGAATAATAGTCTAGTAAATACATCATAAGAGTTTTTAAACTTAATAAATAATTTTTTCCTGATAATAATTTATAAAAAAATATAGAGCAAAATAATACAAACAAATTTTAAATAAATGTTTTATTGGTAAATAGATCCAATTTAAGATAAATACATCATATTTTTGTCAATTTTAGACTTATTATATATCTTAATAAAAGATTGAATTCAGTTTAAATTTGATGTAGCCATTAGTCATATTTTTATTGTTATCTTTTGATGTTTGGTATTCAATTTAGTTTTTTTCTTTGGTTATTCACTCGCTGAAATACTGTCAGTTGAATTTATTATAAATGTATCCATTTTACAAATTAAAATTACAAGTATTATAAAAATATATCTTGTAAAACATAAGTCATTAAAAACACAAAAAAATACCTACAATGAGTATTGTGCACACAATAAAATATTTTGTGCTGCATAAAATGATCAAGATGGCCCCTGCAATGGGCATACTAATATTAAATACTATTATATTATTATACTATTATACAAATCTACAATTAATGATTTAGCCTTTTTTTATGTTTGTTATCTATCAGTTTTCACCAAATATCTATAATAATACTGATAAATACAAGATTATACAACTATTAATAGGTTTTTGTGGCACATTTCAAGGTCACTCCCCTGTGAAAACCACTGGCCTATAAGATAATATTTATTTGAATTAATAAATACAGCCTTTTACATTTGTGTGTAATTATTCTGATTGCAGCATCCTTAGTAGAAGTTATTTTATATTTCATACATACTAAAAGCACTACTCACAAGTGAATGGTCAACTAATAAAATCTACTGCATTGAATTATCATCATATGACAATAACTTTATATTGGTTCCAATGTCATAAATATTAAATTAAATTAATAATATGATTGAACAGAGTAGCAAACAAGACTTATTGCTATTTAGCAGCCTATCCATTATGCAATCTTATTCACAAAAAGTGACAAACTGAAGAAATCAGGTTTATAAAATAAATATGTTTAAATGCCTCATTTCATTCCTAAACATGTATAAATAAGATTTTTAAGTGATATAAATAGTTTATGAACCACATAGTATATAATTTTTGGCAAAATTTAATAAAATGTAATCATAATTTGAAAGTTAAAATAAATTAATTTTTAAATTATTAAGCCAATTTTTACTTATGATGTTATTATGTTATCTACCTGTGTAATATTGCATTTGACTTGAGCTTATTAAATTATTTCAGAATATGGCAGTCACATTTTAAGTCCAAGTATATAATTTAGCAGGAAATGGGAATTGAGCTGCCATATTTATGGATTAGTTTGCCAGCAGTTCTATCAATATAAAGCCAGTTAACATTAAAAGTAAATATTTTATTACATAGGTATATGTTAGCATGACTATTAAAATATCATATATAAAAAAACAAATTGTTTTAGATTAATGCTCAATAAAATATAACAGTTAAAGTAGATAATTAAAAATAACCAGGTATGGGTTGTAACATAAATTATCCTAAATACACTTAAATTAACTTTTGTTTTGTTCAATATTTATGGAAAATTTACAATTACCATTTTATAAATATATTTTGAAACAATGTTTTGGTGTAGAAATATTGATTAATTATGAATGTTAATTTTCTACAATATTTTTAACTATATAATACTTTAAATTGATCTTATTGTCAGTAATGAATAATATCAATTGATTCAGTAACATTTTCATTAAGAAAATTTTTTTTTTAATTATTTAACTTTATAAATTTATAGAAACTTCATTAGTAAATTCTTTGGATTTATCATAAGTAAATATCAGCAATACTTAAATTTTGTTATAAATTTATATTTATAATATTTATATATGATTTTGTAAAAACAAATTTATAGTGTTTAGTTCAAATATTAAATAGAGAAATTATAGGCTTCAGAAATTATTTAAAGAATTAAAACTATAAAATATTGAACAGAAAAAGAGTTATTTCAGATATCAGATATTTGTATTGAACTCTGTATAGTTTATGCCCTCAAAAATACACCAGTTATTAAAAAAAGAAAAAAAAAGTTTGGATTATTATAAAAATAGGCATAGGTTTCAATTTAAAAAAAATCATGATCAGTTAATAGAACAATAAAGACTGAACAATTGAATACAAAATCCATAGAGGAATAATCTGAAAAAATTGCACAGTGAGTATACCAACTGTATTTGAATAGATGGTAAAATGCAGTGAGATAACAAATTCAAAAAGAATTGTTACTGTATACAAAATATTGGGGTAGAATATTATTTTTATAATTTGGCTGCATTCAAGATATTCTTGAACTTATTTTCCTTAACCTCATTTCAAATATGAAAAGTTATTATTATTAGTACTCATTATTTATATCAGAATCAACAGTAAAATTATTTTGTTTTTAAAACAACAAGACTAATTAAGAATGGCTTTCTTTAATTTTTAAAGTTTCTAATAGTTTTTCAATGTATAATTTATAAATATTAAATTTCATTTTCATAATGAGGTTAAGGAAAATAAGCTTAAAAAAAATCTTGAATATACAAAAAGATTTTTAAAATAATAATCTTCTGTTTCAATATATTTTAGGTATAATAAAACTTCTTAAATTTCATCCCATTAAAATACAAACTGTTGAAAATTATGAAATATTGACAATACAAAAAATATTTGAATTTTGAATTTTTGATTTAATACTTTATGAATTATTATTCATACAATAGTTTAAGCATAATTTAAAAAATTAAGTAAATAGCTCCGATAGCAAAACTCTTAATTTAATATTGTTAGCAATGAGGTTGTATTACTCCTAGTGATTCTTCAGAAAGCCTGTATTTTACAGCATCTGTGAAAAATATAAAATAATACATTATTAAAGCTGTTATTATTCTGCTGTGCCAAGTAAAAAAAACACAGTAACTCCAATTTTTTGATAATGGTGACTAGGGTTCATATGGCAGTTTATACACATTTATTAACATTTCAGAAACCAAAACAATATATTGTAACTATGAAAACTAAATCAAACCTAAGTTCTGCTTATGTTTGACATTTTACAAATAAAAATGACAGATTTTGTACCACATAATTATAATCTACATTTACACTTAAGAATCATACCTATTATAATTGTACGCAAGTACATTTTTCTAAGTGCCCGCTTCCTTCCTCTTTCCACCATATTTAAACCTTCTGCCATGGGATTTTCAAAAACTATTTTCATAATTTGTTAGATAGTTCTTTTTGCATCAAATGATTTCTCATTTCTATGAATGAAATTAGCCTATTTATAAAAAAAAAAAATTATTTATTTGAAATATATATATAGAAAAAAAACATACATCAAATAAACATCTGTTTAAGTTCCAGATTTAATTCAAGAATGTCTATACTGTGGCCTATGAGAGAAGGAACTCGTTTGCGCATATATTTGACAGTTTCTGCAGCACACTGCTACTTGTGTCCTATGAAATAGTATGTCAAAAATGGAATATAAATTTTCAAAATTATTTTATTTTAACGACTCTAATTTATTTAAATTTTTTATACAAATAACTAATATGAACATATATAATTATAATAAATAAATATGAATTTCCAATTTTATTACACTTAAGAAATATTACTGAATTTCATTAAAAAAGGCAGTGTTAAATAATTACATGGTAGGTATAGGAACGCGATAAGCACTATAAACATGGTGTACACTCACATGGAAAATACGCTAGCGTTAACGTGGCGGGGCTATGCAAACTTGGACAAGTTTTGGTCAAGGCACAGGTTTCTTCTTTCATGGGCTGCAGTATAGTTGGTCCATGGTTTGTATTGATAATTTTAATTTCAACTGATTAATGTTTTCTTCTGTTGTTTGATAATGTGATCTCTTCATATATCTCTTTTTAATTTCATCAATTTTTATAATATTTAAATCATTTTGAAGTGAAGCCTGTAGATTATACACTAAAAATACAATAATTTACATTAATAGTGATTTGTTTTCAATTCTGAATAGAGTGGAAAATTTATTTAATAATTCTTAATATTAATTTTGCATTTTGTTTTGGTGATTTTTTTTTTTTTATTGTTATTGAATTTAACCATATAACTTTTGTTTTCATACACAGACAAACAAATAAAAATAATTGTAAAATCTACTACAAAATCCTACACTTAAGACTGCAACCTCCTTAAGTGACCATCAAAACAACCTTACAAACAATTTATCTCAACCAATTTCAGGCAATCCTACCATGGATTTAAAAGAGAGAGGTGCCATGATCTACTAAATTAATAAATCAAGTAATTTAATATTAAATACTGTATTTTACAAATACAGACACGCTTACTAAAGACCACAGGCTCACAAAAAAATATTTTAGCAATTAATCAGCAAAACAAAAAAAAAAAAGTATGATAAAGGAGAATAAATCAGAATACGTAATAATAATAATCTAAAAAAAAAATTCCAGTAAAGGGCATAATTAAGTCGTAAATAGGGCTAAAAAAGTCATGAATACAAGACAAAAGTCAACATAAAATTCACAATACACAAATCTGGTAACAAACAAAAACAACAAAATCAAAATTAATAAATATAGTAAAAATAAAAAGGTGAAAAAAAAAACATTACTAATAAGGTACTATTCACAGATATGGAAACAAGTGCGTATAAGAAAGGGTGTTTACTTGGGCACCATTCAGCAGCACCAGATTCAAGTGTGCCTTATGAATGAACCTCCAATCTGCAAACCTTGTGAAGTCACCTGCCATCAAGAAATGGGTGGATGCCAGATCAGTCGCCATACACTCTTATTATCAACCTAAAATAATTTCAAAATTAATTAATAAATGAAAAATTGAATTGTTTATGTTATACTAAATATATTACCCAATGGGTCACCATTTGAGAACGCTCAGGAAGGCTGATGGACAATCCAATCTATATTATCTATGACCATGACTAAAACAAAAACGAAACATTTAAAACGTTCATATTGTAATAGGTAATGAGTGTATGTAGTATAATACTAATATGTTAAATAACTCACTTGGAACTAATTTCACACAAATGAATGAAAAATTGAAAATCATAAATTCTTAACACAAATAATGGTTTTTTTTTTTTTTTTTTTTTTAATAATGATTGTAACGATATTGATAAAAGATAGTTGTTGATAAACTCATGATAAAATAAAATGAATAAATATATTTCCATTTTCGTACGAGTTTTCAATTTGGTTGTAATCATAGGTTTTGTATAAAATAGAATCTATAATATTATTAATATTCTTTAACAAACTATACAAAAAATATTTAATTCAAAATATGATATCGAATTGAAAAAAGTACATACCTACATATTATATTCAAAATGCAAGATTTACCATAATTTCTTAGTAAAGACTAAATACTTAGGTAAGTACCTAACCTACCTTTGGTTTAAATTAACTAATCGGACATTCTAAAATCTTTCGGAAAAATTTAACGACATATTTATAAAAAATGAAAATAAATTGTGAAGGTTTTCAAATAATTTTTGATAATTATAAATACACATAGGTATTAAATAATAATTTATATTAAATTTCTGTTGTATTTTAGTCAATTCAACTATAGACCATTTATCAATGTCATGTAGAAAAGATTTCAGCTGTATTGGATCGTTTTGCTCCAGCTTAATATTAGAATGTTTTCATTGTATTCATATTATACCCTCCTATTTCCTATGTTATAAATGTTAGGTATACCTGTTACTTACCCTTTGTGAGAGTCAGCCGTTTCCGCCAAATCAATTTCTATCCACCTATCTTAATTACAGTTTCAGATCCATTTAGAGTTACCTACCTAGGGAATATTTGATTGGACCGATTTGTTCGAAAAATTAAATTTTGAACCTATCAATTAGAAACATTTTTTCACGTTTACTCGTTATGAATTTTAAATAATATACGCGTATGTAGATTTACTCGGGGTTAACAAATTCACGTGGCTAAGTTGTCGTAATACTCGTCATTTTGTCGATGTTGTTACAATACTCACAGTTAACTCTGAGCCCGATAACACACACTATCTAAACATGATATAGATTATGGATCTTTAGTTCGATTTATACATATTTTTAATCGGTGGAAATTACTTCGTGTAAAATCAATTGTTTCGACGTACATCGATGATCGATAACACTGTATAGTGTATATAGACTTGGAGTTCTCAAACTCCTTCTCGATAATATAGGTATAAATATACATTTGACGGAAACGATGACCGCCCCCTTTAATAGTAGGTAAGTATAGCAATCGCGGAAGAACATTTTCAAGTGCTGTAAATGGTTCTAGTTAAGCACCTGTAAGTTTCCAGAACAGTATATTACCATTTTGAACTGTTTACATCCAAACAATTAAATTTAAATTAAATTTTATAAAATATATATCCATAGCACAAGGTATCAGAATTTTAACGTCCTACCTGTTATATGGCTATATATTATTATGTATGACAAAAATATATAACTATACCTACATTACGTATGTATTTACTATATTTAATATCGTAGATTCCAAAGAAATATTAACTTTTCGCAATTTGATTTGTACGCAGTTTTGATCCAAGTAACTTGTATCGTTAATTTTATATTATACTGTAATACTATAATATCTCATAAATCCAATGCTTTATTTTACACCCTTTACCAAAATATTGCGATACCAAACCGAATGGTAGGTATTGATGTCCAGCTTGTTCGTGCTGTCGGTCACAATTTACAGTGTACACTGACATTATTTTCGTAAACTTCATACAGTGTGTGTAAATTATATTAAAACAATTATTATTGTTAATGATTATTAACTTGTATGTTGGAAGACGTTCCTAGGTAACTAATTAATTGCTAGATTTATGAATATAACGTATTTACGTGATTTGATTTCCGAGAAAATTAAACACAAGAGCGAGCCACCAGTAACCATGTACGTAATCACGTCCTACATCCTACCTATCAGTGGATGCGTGAATAGATCTTACAAAGCAGCCGCTTCATGAATGATTTAGTTGGGTGTATGTATGTAGTAATTTATCACAAGATATGTTAACGAAAAAGACTAAGTACAGAGATAAACAGCTTTATTTACAGTTCTGATTCACCCGGAATTTCGGAATTTTTTACATATAAAGTTTTTTGTAATTTTATTCAACCGGTACTATTAGACAATTTACAAAAACTAATTTCACACCGCCACTGTGTACCAATAACGCACGATGGGTGGGATACTGTTGTAGGTGAGAAGTTGGGAAGGTAGGATGTAGAGAGGAATTTAATGTACATCGTTTATGTGTACGCAACGATTAATCTTTGCTAACAAAATACGATTCTGAGCGGAGTTCGATTATACATGTTCAAAAGGCTGTAATATGTACGATTTTCGTCAAAATTTGATACTAAAATTATTAAAAAAAAAAACAACTTTTTCTTGTTGACCACTAAGCACAATTTAAAATTAAATTGTCAAGCATTTTTGTTTAGTCTAACAATTTTATCCACAGAGTACCTACCAAATAAATGTTACGTAAGAAGACTCAAAATTAAAATGTCTAATAGCTTAAAATTGCTCAAATATTTCGAATATTTTACCGCGTCTATTAAAGGCAAATATAAGGTTTCTATCCAAATTTCATGTCTACGAATATTTTTCATTGAATAACAATAAAAAATCCTAATTGAAAATAAAAGCATAGTTATATTTTCGTTCGTTTTTATCCTATTTGTTTCCCTTTTATTATGAAAATCCCTGGAAAAATTAAATGATGATCTACTTAAAGTATCACTTCAGGAAAATTCCCTTTTAATATAAGTGCCATAGTATGAAACTTCGGAGCAAGATTTCTGATAGAATTTTTGTACACGGTATATATAAAAAATCTTTGTAAAACCAATACATTTTTTGTTACAATCAGAATCTAAAATTATGACAATATTCATAAATAATGTAAATTCGTTTCGATTTCTATCGTAATGAAAAAACTAAAATAACGAAAAAAAAATAACAAGACAATTAAACATATTATTATAATAATATTTTGTACCTATACGAGAATTGAAACGATTACTCTAAGTTGTGAAAAATACGACCACACGAGTGCGCCACGGATACCATGCAATAAAATATGCATTTAAAGTCTCAACAAATCCACTTAAAATGGTTTTTGATTTGATTTTCGTGATTATTTCGATATTACTGAAGTACCACAGTTATTTAATAACAAGGTGTATACAAAATTTAAGAATACTCAAGTCCGCCCGCAAACCGCTGGTCAATCGAATATTACTATAATAGTATGGTTTTTTCGAAAATTGTTATGAGTACGTTCAATTGCACACTATACCTATCCGATCCAACCGCTATAGGCATTCGTTATATTGATGGAAATGTATCTACATTCTGCAACCACGAAATAGTTGATACTGTCGCACAACAACGTTGAATTCCGTTTTGTTCGTTTGTTGTTATCTGTCCGACCACACGAGTGAGCCACCTTACCATAGAATATATTACACCGTCATACGAATAATATTATTTCGTTCAAAAAAATAAACAAATAATCGAATGCTCTGCGGAACGAAAGTTCTCTGACAGCCGGTATTATCGTCACCACCAAAGTGATGACGTTTGTTATTATTAACTTATAAATTTTCGCCGATCACTTCTTAAATACCGACTAGCATGATTCAGAACATATTTTGACCAAGTGTAACGGTCAAATTCGCCCACGTTAAATATCCGTCTATCTCGGTTACCAATATGTATAATTTTGCACACTTTTGCACTCTTTTGCACACGGAGTGTTAGAATATTCATTGCGAAAATTGTCCGTAACTTTACATACAAAGTGGAAATAAATCTATGTCAAATATATTTAATTTCGTTATTGTTAGGTATTTGCATCGTTTTGTTAACTGTGGCCGGTGACACCGGGAAAATTTGTTTCGTAAAACGGGATATTTTTTTAACACGTGTATTTAAACGGAACAACACACACTGGTGTTTCCGAAACGTTGTCGTAAAAATATTTTATTTTAGTAAGTTTCATAAAATAAAACGTGTTTTGTTTCGTCGTCATTTTACTATCAACTCCAGCGCTGTTCACAACGGAAATAATTATGCACCTATATTATTATAATTACATTTTATTTACAATTTTTTAAATTTTATCCAAAGTATTATGTATAGGACCGAAAAAAGTACGAAATATATCAATAGTTCTGAAAAAATGTGAAATTTAAATAATGCGATACCTATGGGTTTTGATCAAAAATTCTTAACACATTGCGGTTTGATTCGATAGCGCGATAGGCATAACATCTTTAGTTAGACCTATCTAATCATTTTTACGTGGGTATAATTTTTAATTTGCTTTAGTTTCATTCATTTTTCAAAGTTAATCAATTTTACCTTGGATTTATCCACCACCGAACAATAATGTCATCATCGGACGACGTCTTTAGATCGACTAAAATGAGCTGTATGAACCAAACGGTAGGTATATGAAAAATAATCACGAAATACATTTTTTCTGTGTGTTATTAACCATGAAATATGTTCCGCGTGATTAATTGTATAAAACAAATTTCCCCGGCGCGTCACCCGGTCACCGGCCTAAGGGATGCAAATTGTGTTATTTTCAATTGTATTATATTTTTAAACGGCAATGTTACACTGGTAACAGTATACACACATGGGTACGGTTTTGTATTATTATTCTTGTGTTTATGAAAATGATTCCGGCACAACAGTGGTGAGCACAGAGTGGCTTATATATTCCATTCCCTTACCACGAGAGCACATCAGGGATACAATGCGAGTATCCGAGTGTTATGGCGTACGTACCCGCAACATCTTAATCTTTTGGTAAAATCAAATTCAAGATCGATAAGAACCGAAAAAAAAAAATAAAACAAAATTGTACTGTTCCGACTTCGCACCCATGACGTAAATCGTTATCAATCATCTCGGTCGGTGAGTACGTGCCTGTTTCACATATAATGAGAGGGGGGGTATGAATATTTTACAAAAACTGCCGAACGATACATTTCGTGAGCGTCCGTGGCTCGCTCTTGTGGTCGGCAGCGATTCGACGCAGGTAATGCAACGCAGAAGAGAAAACGTTTAATTTGTCGACGTCGGGCGCACAACGGGGCAAAATTCCAATTCGATCCCCACACGTTGGTTTTTTTTTTTTTCATTTTTCCCTTGAAACGACCACCCATTCAGTGATACCGGTATTGAATTTTCGGTTTTTGAGTTTACAGGTTATTGAGAGAAATATCCGGCCGCGTGTTACACGGTCAACGGTTCTGATATTAACGTTTTTACAGCGTACCTATTACGATGTCTCGAAAAGCGGAAAACAAAATAACGAAAAGATTTTTTTTTTTTTTAGTAATAGCGAGTAAAAAATAATCAATACAAATATGATAGAGTGGAAATTGAAACGTCGATTGATTATTCAGAGTTCCGATTACCTTCTTCAGCGGGTAGGGAAGTGACTATTGTAAAAACAAATGCCACACTGCTGTCGGTTCGTATACGGAAAAAAAAAATGCAATACACACACATATATTTAATATATTATGTGGCCGTCGCTGTTACTAATCTGCCTACCATCGTTATAATTATAATTTTTTTTTTTCACAGCGCAGAGAAATTATAGAGTACTGTGTAGACGCTGCCCGGGAATTTTCTCTGGTCACCATTCCAAACACCTCAACTATTCCGTCCTATTGGCACGTTATGAATATTCATCCACGTTGGGACGTTCAATTTTAGGCGTCGCACGCAAATTTTTCCGGTAAAAACACACTTTTAAAAAATAATCGGCGACAATTTATTGTGCTTACATTCCTAGCTTGCAGTCAGTATAGTAAATGAATTAAATTCAATGCGTATTCACGCAATAATAATAATACGAAATTGTCGGTGAATTAGTCGGCTATCACAACGCGTACAAACAGTGAACAATTTATTTATTTTTTGACATTGTTACTAAATAGGTACCAATTTTTTTCCGTCCAGTAATAGTTTCGCATTATTATCAAATCATCATTTATTTCGCACGATATGATCACTTAGATATATTAAAATATACGGATATACACGATTATTACTGAATGTAAACATGTATTGCAACTACGTTCAGCGAAAATTACAGGCGCAAACCGTTAAACTACGGCGGTAGATGGCGCTTTTTGATGTTTTACATTGAGGCGATGTTCTTCTTCGTAATTTTTACATTCGGATTAAGCTTTAAACAATGTAAATACGGTCGTAAACTTTTTGAAAATGCTATTTGATTGTGAACTTGAACGAGCGGCAATCAGGAAAATCGAAATTTTTAAATTTTCGGCGTCGCTCAAATTGTTTTTTTTAATCAGTAGGATTGCTGGTTTCAGCATAAGTACCTGAGGTTGGGTAGTTTTAGGTATCGCTTCTCGGCCTATCGGCTAAGATCAAAGTGTAGTATCTGTTCTTATCAGCTTAACATCTGATACACCCCTCATCGAGGGGTTNGGCGGAGAATTTGGGGCTTGCTCCTACTCCGTCGCGGGTTGTCCCGGTTTAGCACCACCACCGGGAACGGCCCAATATATAATTTTAAAATATCCTCCCTTTTAATTATAAACCCACGCTAATGTTATTCAGAACAACACTGAGCTTAGCGTTGACGGTTTTGAGAACGATATGAAATTCGTTTGGAACATGACGAGATTCCCCGGTCAGTCGGTTCTCTTAAGAGACGGATCCTGCACATCCTCACCGGTTATTGTTTGTTGTAGGATCTCATTTATCATCAATATTGCTCTTAATCATCATTTTCAACCGTTTATAATATACAATCAAATATCATCATGATACGATATTGTCGAATTCGTACCTATCCTACTTAAAATATTATAAACGCCAGTGTCTGTTTAGATTTTACACGGGGATACTGTGCACAAACGTAGGTCACGAATAACATTTTTTTCTTCGTAAGTCGACTCCTGATGACATTAGTACGTTTCGTATTAGTAGGTTTCGTTTATAACGTTAGTACGGAAAAGTCCCGTAAAAAAGTGCGTTCTGCTATACTTTAAAAACGCTAAATATTACCGCCGCGCACTGCAAGCATATTCAGTGCATTGACGTGCACGGTACATAGCCAACTGTCGGTCTCGAGTTCGATTCCCGACCACGGCGCTTAATTTTTTTCCCTAATTTTATACTTATTCATTACTGTATCACTGTGGTTTTTTCATTTATTAATATTATGTTAATTTTTAATTTCGAACGCAGTATATATAAAATATAATGATGTTGACAATTAATGCAATGTAACAAGTTGAGGAGATAATACGATAGGTAGGTACATAAAGTTATTTAATTTATATCTGTCACTTGTAAGTTAGACCATTGCTAACGAAAACCGTTTCGGAGCGAAATTCGATTATACACGTTTTAAAAGACCGTTATATTGAGGATATTCGTCAAAATATTTGATATTCTAATTTTTATAAAAAAAGTACTTTGTACTTACATTAAACTCAACATTTTATTGTCAACCACTAAGTACAACTTATAATGAACCTCCAGAAATTTTTAAGCATTTTTGTTTAGTCTGATAATTTTATCCACAGATCCTATCAAATAAATATTAGGTACATGAAAGTATAATATATTATAAATTTAAGTTTCAAAATCAAAATAAAATAATTTTTTAAATCCGAAAATGATTAAATACTTAATTAAAAATTAACCAAAAAAAAAAAAATCTATAAATATTCATGATTTTGAAAAAGCAAATGTATAAATTAAAATCAATACTCTGTTTCACAAAAATGAAAACATACAATTATTTGTATTAAATTGTTGATTAGTGTCACATAGAAATAACAAAAATAAATATATTTTGAAATAGATTCATTGAAATTAAAATTAATATAATATGGGTTATTCTATATTATGTATATAAAAACAAATAAGTATAAAATCTCAGCCATAATATAATATTGTTATGGTTTTTATATTTTATTTAAATTGGTGGATCCCTATAAATATTTTATTTGATATATTATTACAACAATGTCGTACAAATTTGCCTAAGATATTATTTTATTTACCAGTCATTAAAATTGTCTAAAATAAAAGATTAAAAAGAAAGGTTATCATATGTAACATCAAAAATTTAGATAGGATTAATAGTATATAATATACAAATGTAATATTTTTCAATTTTTGAACCAAAAATAAATGATAAATTTTTAATGTCAACAAATTTTGAAATATTTTCCTAACAGTTGTCTAAAATAATAAATAAGTCATTATTTGAATTGGTTTTTTTTTTTAATTACCATCTTTTACTTGTATATTTATCACTTTTGTTGTTAGTGAACACTAGGAAAATTAATGAGCTTGTTACTGATACTACGGTCCAGGGCCATTTTCACCAACATAAAAAATAGTGTTTATCTGATTCCTAAATTGAGTTTATGACTGATAATCAAACACGATTGGTCGATCTTATAAATTCTGTTTAAAAATCAACTAATTACGTTAATGAGAACAAGCCTAAATGTGCATTCAAACTAGTCTGAAAAATACACAAATTAATAGAACATAGAGTTCACTAAAATATATAATAAAATAAATAGTAATAATTGTTCCAGGACGAGCCCAAGTGTAGACATATTCATTTTGACAAACTGCTACAAAACAATCTTCACGAAATACCATGGCAAACCAGTCAAACGATCATGAGCAATTTTTTTTACAAATTAATGGTTCAATAAGTGAGCACTAATCAAATCGTGGACAAGCAACTGTACCAATTAATCGCATGGGATCTTGAGTTTGTTTTTTTTTCTTTACTAGAATTTCCATTATGCTTTGATGTACAATGAACAAATCCATTTTGTTTAGGTATTGCTGGAGTTTATGTCACAACATGTTATCAGTAATATTCCATAAACATAATTGTGTCTTGTCTCATAGATCCAAGACAGTAGCACCCAAGTTAACATGATTCCATTGATGGTAAAGAACTCGTGTATGGATCGAAAACTACAACAATAACCTAACTATGGTGTCCTTGCAAACCAGCAATAACGCTCTGTTCAGGAATACTGTTAATTGTAACTAAATTATTTTCCCCAACAACAACAATATACCTAAAAAAAATATTATTTTTTGATGTCAATATGATATAGGAATAATTAACAGCAAAAAAACTAAAAATGTATATATAAAAAAAAAAAAATGATAAGTATCAATTGTGGAAAATGGCAAAGCTAAACTGATAATTCATACGGAATCAAACAAATATGTTTCCGTTTTATTTGATCACGTTTATCATGAGCTTATCAACAAGTAACCATTATCTTTTATCAATATCGTTACAATCATTATTATTAAAAAAAAAAAAAAACCAAAAATGCTTCTACGCACTTCATCAAGTCGGTAGACTTCGCGCGGTGCGCGGACTAGAAGTTCATCCACAGGGTGAATTCTCCGGCCGGAATTGAAGAAGACCTTTTATCTTTCGTAGGAGGCCGCCGGAGAATCCCTCTATGGCTCGACGGCATGCGGTGGATGTGACATACTACTGCTCGCGAAAGACAGCGACATCGCGGCGGTCGACAGCGGTTTCAAGCTGTTCACGTCACCGGACGACCGCCTAGCTTCGGACGCGACAGCCCATGCAAAGGAGACGACTGGGAGGCGTCTACGGAAGAACGCGGATGTGGCCGAGGTGGGCCTGTATCTGTCAGGTGAAGAGGACGGCGTATTCCGCGAATCGCGTGGGTATGGTGGTGTGGCCAATGTTTGGTCAACAGCGCGTAATGAGTCCAAGCGCTTAGGCGTCTCTTGAACCGTGGACGTTGGCCATACCTCTATTACCCATGGCGGGGCGATTCTCCGGCGAAAGCAACGTCTGGTGGTCATGAGGACCATCCGGGAGTCGCTCTGTCTGAAGATGTCTGAGGCCCTTGCCGTGAAGTCGGACCAAAGCAGGGCCATGGAGTGCGTAGCGGCCTACTCGGCTTCTACGCACTTCATTAAGTCGGGAGACTTCACGCGGTTCACGGACTGGAGGTTCATCTACAAGGCGCGGTTGAACTTGGTGCCGCTGAACGGCTCCTCGTAATGGAGGGCCGGTGACCGTAGTTGTCGGCGACGTGGGTACATAACAGAAAGCCTATCCCACGTCGTCGATTACTGTATGCGGTACACCGCGCTCTACTTGGTGAGGCACGATGCTATTGTGGCTAGAATCAAGAAAGCAGCGGGGACGCGGTACCAGGTGATCGCCGAAAACATGTCGATTGAGACTCAGAGACTGCGCCCGGACCTGGTGATAAAGAGGGGGAATGCGGTGTCCATTGTCGATGTAACGGACCCGTTCGACAATAGGATGGCCGCCTTCGAAGTTGCTGCCAGGTGCAAAAAAGAGAAATATGAGCAGCTGAGAGCAGAGCTTGCTAGGGAGCATGGAGCTGCTGAGGTGGTTCCATTAATCGTCAATGTGCTGAGATCACGGGACCCTGGCAATAACTAGTTAATACGCCAGCTGTGCAGCCGGAGATACGGGGACCTGATGCATAAGTTGTGTGTCAGTGACACCATCAGGTCCACCAGAGATATATATATTGAGCACATTATGGGGGTGCGGCAGAGGCCGGATTTAATTTGATTTCTAAGCTTATTTTTTTCGATGTTTTTTTCATTACCCGTTTTACCTTACCTAATGTTCCTGTGTATATATATTTTTTTTTAAATTTAAATTTAATATGATCTCTGTGCCAATGGGGTGTTTTAATTAAATTAAGAAACATTTTTCAATTTTTTAGAAGACTAAAATATAATTGTCATGATAAAAATATAATTATACATTATATAATTGTATATATACATAAAACTATAAAACTATTGTTTTTGTTTACACTGTTTCAAAGTATTTGAAAACAATATCTTAATTAGCTCATAATATTAAAAAAAATGATCACAGTCAATTTGTTTATTTTTAAATTCAATACATTTTGATATATTTTGCCAACAGTAGTCTTAATAAATAAGTCATTATTTGAATTGGATTTTTTTTTTAATTACAACCTTTTGCTTGTCAATTTATCACTTTTGTTTTTAGTTACACTAAAAAAATTAATGAGTTTAGATCTGATAATAAGAGTCAGGGCCATTCTCACCAATTTAAAAACAAAAAAGGTGTTACTCCGATTCCTAAACTGAGTTTTTGGCTGAGAACCAACCACAACTGGTTGATTATCTTATAAACTCTGTTTAAAAATCAAAAAATGGTGACAACAGGCCTAAATGTGCATTCAAACTAGTCTGAAAATTAAAAAATTAATAGAATATAGTGTTCACTATAATATATGATAAAATAAACACTAATAATTATAGACATATCCATTTTGCTGAGCTGTTACAAAACAATCTTCACGAAATACAATGGCAGTCAAACGATTATTTTCTTTTACAAATTAATGATTCAATAAGTGAACACTGATCAAATCGTGGACAAGCAGCTGTAACAATTAATCACATGGGATCTTGGGTTTGTTTTTTTTTTCATTACTAGAATTTCCATTGTGCTTTGATGTATAATGAACAAATCCATTTTGTTTAGGTATTGCTGGAGTTTATGTCACATGGTGCAATATGTCACCAGTAATATCCCATAAACATAACTGTATGCTTTGTCTCACGGATCCAAGCCAGTAACACCCAAGTAAATATGATTCCATTGATGGTAAAGAACTTGTGTATGGATTGAAAACCACAACATTAACCTAACTATGGTATCCTTGCAAACCAGCAATAACCCTCTGTTCAGGAATACTGTTAATTGTAACTAAATTATCTTCCCCAACAACAACAATATACCTAAAAAAAATATTATTTTTTGATGTCAATATGATATAGGTATAATTAACAGCAGCAAAACTAAAAATGTATATAAAAATAAAAAAATGATAAGTATCAATACTATAAAATAGCAGAATTACTAAAATGAGGAAGAAGTGACTAGATTTACATGAAAAAAAAAATTAAATAAACTACAATAAATGAAAAGAATATGAAAAAAGAATAGACATACTTAGCACGTGGGTGCAGCTACTGTTGTAAGTGGGAAGTTAGGACGGTAAGATACAGATGGTAATTTAATGTACATTTGTGGACAACAATAAACCATTGCTGATAAAAAAACCATTCTGAGCAGAGTTAAATTGATAGTGTTGCTGTGTCAACAATATCTAAATATGTCATATTATGATAACATGATTAAAACAATAATGGTAAATCTTGTATTTTGAATAAACCTAAATATTATGTACTTTTTTTGTTTTGTTAAATTCAATATCATAGTTTTTGTAAAGTTTCGTATGGATTCCATTTTGTTGGAAAATCTACGATTGCAACAATACAATCAAACTGAAAACACACGAAAACATACAAATATGTTTCATTATATTTTATCACATTTATCATGAGTTTATCAACAAGTAACCAAAATATTTTATCATTATTATTATTAAAAAAAAAAATTGAAAACAATTTTTATTAAAGATTTATGGTTATCAATATTTCATCAATTCGTGTGAAATTAATTCTTATTAAGTTATTTAACATACTACATACATTCATTAGGTGCCTATTAAAACATGAACGTTTTAAATTTTTCATTGGATTGGATTGTCCATCTGCTTTCCTGAACGTTTATTATATAAACAATTTAATTTTTCTTTCATTAAGTGATTTAAAAATTTTTGCAGTTGAATAACAACGTATTTTAATAATAAATGATTAAAGTTAGCAGAGGGCAATGCAGTGATGGTGGTTCTATTCATCATTGGGAAACCAGGTCCTGATCCATTTTCAAACTTTGAAGTAGGTGAAAGGATTTCGTTTACTATGACTAAAAAAAATAATGTTTCACTTAAATTTAATTTTACTTTTGTTATTATGATTATGGGTAATAATTGCACCAAAGATATTAAAGTTCTGAAATATATATTTTTGTATTAAAAATTATGATTTGACGAAACAAAATAGAAGCTAAACTTGCTCAGCTTAAACACATTTCAATGTATTATTATAATGAAATTGACATTAGGTATTATTTTGATGATACTCATTTATGGCAGGAGGAGGAGAATGAGGTAATCAATAGGTATCTATGTGATTAAAAAACCAAAAAGAAATTGTAAAAAATGTAATACAGTGGAACCTCAATAAGTCGAACACCTTTATAAACCAAAATAAATGTTGTTTTCTTGCAAAAACAGTTATTATTCGAAAGAAAAACTATAGATAACTTGAACATTCTGTGTTCCAAATACAGACAAATAATTTGTGTAATAATTTGTCCATTCGGCTAGTGCATCCCATAATTTAACCTAATTAATTTTTAGTTATATAATTTTAAAATAATAATAATAAATACACAAAATGTAATTATATGTTCATATATATTCTATGTCTAACAATTAAAAACTAAAACATACATTTTAAAAACTCTTAATCAAATTTTTCTCGAAAACTTTAAAATGTTGAAAAAATTTAATTTTTGTTCCACTGAATTACAAATAAAAAAAGTTTACAAATAACTATTCTTGTAAGCCTGAGCTAGATAGTAAATTATGACCATTTATTATATTGTGACATCTAATTGGGTCTTGTCACATTTTGGTTAAAAATATAATTTCTAAATTGTGACTAAATAATTTTAATATTTTCATAGTTGAAATAACTTAGATTCGAGGATTAAGTATTAGCTAATTTACAAGAATTTAAAATTTTTAATTGATTTGCATCTAAAGGCTGTCCATGCTATTTGTTAATTTCATTAACTAGAATTTCACATAGTTGATTCACTGGTGACATATTTTCCAAAGAAATAAACCACAAACTGATAAACATTGCTAAGTACTAGATGGATGCATTTTACAATTTTGAATTAACTTAATTTAGCAATAGTGAAGCTTATTTATAATATTGTATTTAAATTGTAAAATGACTAATAGGAAACAGTTATACAAGATTTCTATATTTTCTAGAAATAACCTATGTTTCCTGGGAACACCTACAAATAGAAAGCGACAAACAAGACGGTTAAAGGCCACAAAATGGGAACCAACAAAATTAAAATATTACAACTACTTATGAAGCTACTTGAAACTAGTGGTTTTCAGATCTTCCCACTATGGTGGTTGGAGTGTTTGGTTTTACCACAACCATCAAAACTCATCTACAAGTCATTATGTTTTCTGTAAATATTAATTATTTGAACATATAACTTTTGTGTGAAAAGAAACTAACATACACTTGGTATTACAGTTGAGTGTTTTAGACATCCATAACCAGTAGAAGTTGTCTGTAATTTGGTAGTATGCNTAATCAAAAGTAGGTACTGTTATTTATTAATATTTATAATTCTTCTTTTTTGGTAACAATCATATTATATTTAGATATAACTGTTCAAATGGTCCTGTTACAATAAGTACATAGTATTCTGATTGTACTGGATGGGGAGATTAAAAAAACTACAATAGTTACAATTTTAATTGTCTAGGATTGATCACGCAATTAGTTGAATGTAATCAGGTATAAACTGGCTCTATTTTTTTATATATGGGAAAATATTTTGTAAGTATAGAGTAGGTACAAGAAATCATCTCCTTAAGTTGATGATTGGAGTAAGATTCCTGGTTGAAAAGTTATTTACAGACAAAACAAATAAAATGAATAACTGACCAGACATAAATTGCTATTGCTAATAGAATTTATTTCACAGGATTGTAAATCATTATGGTGCAACAGAATTTGTTCTGATATGGAAACATTATTGATATTGGCCAGAGCTATGTAATGTATCAATCCTAACACCATGCAAATTGGGCATTGTGACAAAGAAGCCTACAATTATCAACATTTATAATAACACAACATTGAAGTTATTATTTAAAGGTAAATATATTCTCTTTACAAAATCTTCACTGAATTGGAAATAAAAATACATTTAACATAGACAATTTGACTAGGAACAATTATAGAATATTATATTAATTTGTATGTTGATTGAATGTCACTGTTTTTTATGAAACAGTGAACATTTCTAATTATTCAATTTTCAATAGTATTCAATGCATTTTGTGAATTTTTTTTAAAAATTTCCTAATAATGTGTTAAAAATTAATAAACCAAAAATTACTATTAAAATTATTTATACATATTATTTAACTAATCAATTTAACACAAACTGTTTTTGTATATTAATGATTTGTAGTAAAAAATTAATTAGTTTAATGAATAATAGCTTAGTAAATATATCATAAAAATTTTTGAATTTATTAAATAACTTTTACTGATAATAATAATTTGTATACAGATATAGAGCAAAATAACACCACACATTTTAAACAAATGTTTTATTGGTAAATAGTCTTCCAATTTTAGATAAATACATTATATTTTTGTCAGTTTTAGTCTTATCGGATATTTTCATAGAAGATTGAATTCAGTTTAAATTTGATGTAGCTATTAGCCATATTTTTATTGTCATCTTTTGAAATTGAATATATTTCTTTTATTTATAGTACTTAGATTTTCTTTAATGCTTTGCATCGCATGTGGGAGTTCAAAACCTGGAACTCTCTGGGTTGCATCATTGATGAGAAGGCCATTCATTTTCATCTCTCCAAATTTTCTTTCACAAATCCTCCGGAACCTCTGTTGTACTCTCGATAGACCAAATAGGGTGTCTAGACTTCAATTGTTTAAATGGCGCATCATATATGTCGTTATGAACTGGGAGGTGTGTCGAGTTTTTAATTTTTTCTAATATTTTTTTCTTGCTGCATATCTGCGTATTTCTGGTGGGGCTATATTTGAAAGTACCGGGAGCCACTGCACCTTCGTTGACCGAACACAACCTAATATTATTCTCATTGTATTGTTTAATTCCACATCTACTTTTTTCGTGTGCATACTCCTCCCCCATACTGGTGCACAGTATTCCGCAGCATTATACACTAAAGCCAAAGCAGAAGTGCGAAGGATATTTGCCCTGCATCCCCAGTTTGTTCCGGCCAACTTACTGATAATGTTGTTCCTAGTTTTTAGTTTGTTTTTTACTCCTTCTAAGTGCTGTTTGAAGGTTAAAGTCCTGTCTAACTTTATTCCCAAGTATTTCGGGGCGTCTTCTTCTTGTATGTTAACTCCCTGAGCCATTAAGTTTAGTTTTCTATCTGATTCTATGTTATTTAGGTGGAACGCAATGGAAGTAGTTTTGTTTGGGTTGAGTGTTAGGTGTCTTTTCCAGTTTTTCAAACGACTTGGCTTGAGCTACTAATTCCACGTCATCTGCATACATAAATTTCCGCGATGTTGTGTTCACAATATCAGATGTGTAAACATTAAACAATTCCAATGTCATAAATATTAAATTAAATTAATAATATGATTGAACAGATTAGCAAACAAGACTTATTGCTATTTAGCAGCCTATCCATTATGCAATCTTATTTACAAAAAGTGACAAACTGAAGAAATCAGGTTTATAAAATAAATATGTTTAAATGCCTCATTTCATTCCTAAACATGTATAAATAAGATTTTTAAGTGATATAAATAGTTTATGAACCACATAGTATATAATTTTTGGCAAAATTTAATAAAATGTAATCATAATTTGAAAGTTAAAATAAATTAATTTTTAAATTATTAAGCCAATTTTTACTTATGATGTTATTATGTTATCTACCTGTGTAATATTGCATTTGACTTGAGCTTATTAAATTATTTCAGAATATGGCAGTCACATTTTAAGTCCAAGTATATAATTTAGCAGGAAATGGGAATTGAGCTGCCATATTTATGGATTAGTTTGCCAGCAGTTCTATCAATATAAAGCCAGTTAACATTAAAAGTAAATATTTTATTACATAGGTATATGTTAGCATGACTATTAAAATATCATATATAAAAAAACAAATTGTTTTAGATTAATGCTCAATAAAATATAACAGTTAAAGTAGATAATTAAAAATAACCAGGTATGGGTTGTAACATAAATTATCCTAAATACACTTAAATTAACTTTGGAAAATTTACAATTACTTATTATTATACTTATACTTATTAATTATAAATATATTTTGAAACAATGTTTTGGTGTAGATATATTGACTAATTATGAATGTTAATTTTCTACAATATTTTTAACAATATAATACTTTAAATTGATCTTATTGTCAGTAATGAATAATATCAATTGATTCACTAACATTTCCATTAAGAAAATTTTTTTTAAATTATTTAACTTTATAAATTTATAGAAACTTCATTATTAAATTTGTTGGCTTCATCAATCATAAGTAAATATTAGCAATACTTAAATTTTGTTTTAAAATTATATTTATAAAATGTATTAATGATTTTGTAAAAACAACTAATAATGTTTAGTTTGAATATCAATTAGAGAAATTATTATAGGGATTAAAATTATAAAATGTTGAACAGGAAAAGAGTAATTTCTGTATCAGATATTTGTATTGAACTCTTTATAGTTATATAACCCCCCATAAATACACTTATTTTAGAAAAAAAAACAAAAAAAAGTTTGGAGTATTATAAAAGAAGGTATAGGTTTCAATTTAAAAGAGCTCATGATCAGATAATAGAACAATAAAGGCTGAAAAATTGAATACAAAATTCATAAGAGGAATACTTAATGTATATCTGTGAGCACCAAAATTGCTAATCATTGCTAATGAAAAAAGCTGTGTTCAGTTGATAGTGTTGCTTTGTTAACAATATATATATATATGTATATATATGTCATTATGGTGAAGTAATATGCCTATTATTTGTAAATTGTTTGAAATATTTAGAAATTGTTATAAATTAAATTACAAGGAAAACAATACCTACCTCATATTATATACAGATAAAAATAAAATATTTCACTGAATTAAACATTTTTTAACTTATTAGAAGAGTTTACATTAGAATGTGTGTTAAAATATTGTCACTGAAATTATCTTTTTGGATTAAATTTAAAATTAGATTAATTAACTAAGAAGATCAATTCTATAATTTTTTTTTTTTTGTTTATTTGTCCTTTTTTATATTATAGTAAATATACGAGGGCCAAAAAAACCCCAAAAAAACATTTTTGTACAAAGTTATTTATTTAATTTTTTTACAAAAAACATTTAATCTCTTTCAAAGTACTCTCTGTTGGAGTTAATGCACCTGTCCAATCTTTTGTTCCAATTTTCGAAGCACTTTTTAAACTCATCTTTTGTGATACTTGCCAACGCCTCTGTCGTTTTTTTTTAACTTCATCAATGTCCGCGAAACGCTTTCTTTTCATGTTCCTTTTCATTCTGGGGAATAAAAAGAAGTCGCAGGGAGACAGGTTGGGTGAATAGGGTAGATGGGACACAGTGGTCATATCATTTTTGGTCAAAAACCGCCAGACAGAAAGGGCTGTGTGAGCAGGTGCATTGTCGTGATGATAAAACCAGTCTCCTGACTGCCACAAATCAGGTCTTTTTCGCCTCAAACTGTTGCGTAATCTGTTTCACACCTCTAGGTAAAATGCCTGGTTAACTGTCTGACCAGGTGGAACAAACTCCGAATCTCAATTTCACATCAAAAAAACAAATGAGTATTGTCTTAATGTTTGACCTCACTTGACGAGCTTTTTTCAGGGCGAGGCGATGCTGGAGTCTTCCATTGGCTCGATTGTTGCTTGGTTTCAGGATCATATCCATAGCACCATGATTCGTCACCTGTAATGATCTTGGAAAAGAAGTTTGGGTCATTTTGGAATTCTTCTTTCAAAGAAGAGCATGATTCCACGTGGCCTTGCTTTTGCTGCTCAGTTAGCAGTCGAAGAACAAATTTTGCAGCCACCCGTCTCATCCCCAAATTTTCACTTAAAATTCTCTGTACTGAACTCCATGTCACACCAGATTTCTCCACTACTTCTTCGATGGTTTGACTTCGATCTTCCAGGATAATTTTGTGAATTTTTTCTACATTTTCGTTGGTTCGCGCTGTCGAAGAAGCAGAGCGTCCAGAGCGAGCTTGGTCATCTATCGACATTTCACCAATTTTGAAACGGGAAAATCACTAAAATACTTGAGTTTTCCCTAAAGCATCACCTTTGTAAGCTGTTTTCAACATCTCAAAGGTTTCTGTGCCTATTTTCCCGAGCAGGAAGCAAAACTTGACGGGCACGCGCTGTTCACGCAAATCAGCCATTACAAAAAGGAGGAGTACAAAAAATAACTTTTAAAAAAAATATCACACCAACGTAACACAACCTTCCACGATGACATATTGANATCGGAAAAAAATTGGTACTACTAAAATTCTGTCCCACACAACATCAGTTCGGTTTCTTTTGGATACGCCCTCGTATTCTTGTAGTTTTAAATTTTCTATGAAATAATGATTTTTTTAAAGAAATAATTCTTATAAGGTATTTTGTATATTACTATTTCCAAGATTTCTAATCTATTTTTGAAATATTATAATTAATTATATTTAAATAATGAATTCAACCCGATGGATGTTTTCTTTTAGTTGACTGTTATCACAGATTATGGATATAATTTATTGTTCAAATAATTTAATTAACTATAGTAATTTTTTACATTTCTGTTGAAAATCTTGAATATTTTTAATATTATTTATTGATGTATAACATTATTAGTACACATTAGGTCATAGTTTTACTATTATTTTTTTAATAGCCTTTTGACATAGGTGCAAAGTCACAATTTGAACTATTACAAAATATGTATAAAAAGATGGAAGCCTTATAATCGACTTATTTTAGCTAATTTATTACTAATTTAGCTGATTATTATGTGTTTGATAAGTCAAAGTGTGTGTTGGAAGAGTTTTTTTAATGATCACAAAGCATTTAAAGATTGTTTTATTGAATTTATAAGCCCCATAAATTATTAAAAGGATTAAAACTATAAAATATTGAACAGGAAAAGAGTTATTTCGATGTTAGCTATTTGTTTGTGTTAAACTCTGTATAGTTATATATCCCTAACAAATACATAAATTATTAGAACAAGAACAAAAATGTTTGTAGTTTTATAAAAGTAGGTATAGATTTCAATTTGAAAAAATCATGATGAGTTAATAGAACAATAAAGGCTGAAAAATTGAATACAAAATTCATATGAGGAATACTTAATATATATCCGTGATCAACCATAAACCATTGCTAATGAGTACATTTCTGTTATTCATAGTACTTGGATTTTCTTTAATACTTGTTTAATTTGCCCATATTTTTGTTGGCATATAAAGTTATAATATTTGTTTGAATTAATTAATACATAATCCTTCTACATTTTGATGCAATTATTTTGATTGCAGCATCCTTACTATAAGTTATTTTATATTTTATACATATTGAAAGCACTATTCACAAGTGAATGGTCAACTAATAAAATCTACTGAATTATCATCATATGACTAATTTTATATTTGTTCCAATTTCATGAATATTAAGTTTAATTAATAATATGATTTAACAGATTAGCAAACAAGACTTATTGCTGTTTAGCAGCCTATCAACTATGCAATCCTATTCCCCAAAAGGGCAAAGTGAAAAAAATCAGTGGAAAAATATATTATAACCTTACAATATCATCTGGTGTTTTTTGCCAGTGTTTTAAAAAATCAATTACTATTCCTCTACTTGCAGGAGATAAAAAACAACACAATAATTACAAACCTTTATCATTGACTCTAAATGTTTTTAATTTTGGAAGTGTTTGAAAAAAATATTATTAGACTTGCTTATTAAATTAAATTTGTTTTTTAATTAATAGTTTGGTTTTAGATTTAGATCAAAATAGATCAAAAACAGATGCATTTATAATCTTATCTAATTTTTATATATTCTAACCTAGACAATAACAAAAGTAATAGGAATATTCTTAGATATAAGTGTACTCAGAAGGTATAGTGTTTGGTCCTATTTTATTTACTATTAATGTTAATGACTTTTTTAATTTAAAAATAAACGGTGAACTCATTTCTTATGCTAACAATACCTTTAATTTAGTTGAAGAGTAAAATTTACCTAAAATGTATAACTCTGTAACTATTTGTCTAAAAAAGTTAAAGATTAGTTAGATTATATTTTGGAACTTAATCTTAACAAATTTAATTATATTCACTTCCATACATTAAATGCTACAAGTGGTCTCTTTACATCATTAATAATTCATACATTTAATTGTTCAACAAATGATAACTACTTTTTCATAATATTCATAATATTAAGGAAGTTAAATACTTAGGCATAATAGTTTACAAAATGTTTAAATGATTTAACCACATTCAGTATATCTGAACTTCAATTTGAAACATTTTTTTAAAACATTAAAATATATATCAAGCATACAAATGTTAAAACTGGTGTATTAATTCTCTCTTGAGAAATCTATTATAAGTTATGTTATAGCTGTATGGAGCATATAATATACATTTGGTTAATTTTGAAATTACAATACACACATTAATTGAAATTGTACTTAAGGAGCCTGTATCTTACTCATCAAACAATTTATCTAAAGAAATCAATGTTCTTAATTTAAAATCTATTTATCATAAGAATGTTATTACACTTATGTTTAAAGATGTTCATGTGTATACACCACAATATGTATACAATACACATTTAAATAAATCTTAGTAATTTAATTGTATAAAAAGCTAATAAACAATCAGATTTATTAGATTATATTAAGAAGTTAAACTTTGATAGTATTAAAGTAATGTTGAATATTTTATGAATAGTGTTAATCTAAATTTTATATTAAATTGTTTCCTTTCATATTTTAGATTCTGAGGGAAGCCACGAATATAATGGTTTATAATGATGTTTATTTATTTGTTTTATCCATAAACAACTTTTCTATCAGACATTTAATAGGATATGTTAAGTGTAGTACATTTTCTGAAAGGAAATTTTATCAGAGTGGTACTTTTAGATGGTCAGTTTTTGATTTTCTAAGCAGTTTTTATAATAATTGAGAAAAAGGTAGAACAAACGCCCCCGTGGGAGGGGGGAGGAATTAAAAAATGTATAATTTTTAATTTTGTTTTTGTTGATATTCAGTAAAAAATATTTTTAGAGCCTTAAAATTTGGATAGAAAAATTATATTTGTTATTTTGGAAGCAGTTAGGTAAATTTTCAAACCATTTTAGTCATTTTTGAGCTATTTGTAGACATTTTAATTTTAAGAGTTTATTATGTATATTTATTTGGTAGGTACTTTATGGATAAAATTGTTTGATCAAACAGAAATGGTTGAAAATTTGTATATATACATATATTAGTTTTTTATGGATAAAATAATACAAGATAAATAAATAGTAATAATTTATTTTAAAAAAATATCAACAAAAGTAGGTAGGTACATTATTTTTTTATCTAAAATTATTAATGTATTATTTATGTAATCAATTATTTATTTTTTGAAGTTAAATCAGAATTTATTTTCATTGATATTTTCAATCTGAATACCTATGATAATTTACTTTTAAATTAAATCATGTGTGAATAGCAGTTATTATAATGTTGAAAAAAGAAATACTCATACTTAAACGTAGTGTACTATAATTTACAGTACAGTTAATGTTTTTTTTATTCAGGGGCCAATTCAAATCAAACAACTTACTCTTAAAATGGGATTGGTTCTATCATAAAATTTCAAGAAAAAAAACAAATTTAAAAGAAATTGGTCATGGATATAATGGATGTAATACTCCAGTTACAGGCTTCCCAATATGATATGTTAATCAACTTTGGTGGATAACTACATTTTTTTTTATATATGCATCTATTTAAAACTAAAAAAAAAAGTTCAAAATGGGTAATTTATATCATTTAGTATTTTATTCACAAATATTTTAACTATTTGGTTTCAATTTTTAATATTAATAATAATTAAATTTAAATAACTATAATATTCTTATATTTTTAACATATTATTGATACACCTATATTTCTATCTAGTAGGAGTACCTACATTATATTATAGAATCACATAGTAAAAATCCAACTTTTTGACCTCTTACTTACAATACAATTTATGATTGTTGCTTTAAATGATTGCCAATGTATGTGTATATAGATTTTAATATTATTCATTTTATCTTAATAATGAATGTTGGTTTATATTACTGTCAGGAGACAAGTGATAAATTAACAAAAAGTCATATTCACATATTCTTAATATCAATTATGTTTGTCTGAATATGTCTTGATACATAATTTTTTATCTAAAAATAAATTTGTAGTAAAATAAGAAATTTTAACAACTTTAGCTTTCATATTCAAATTAAATTATAGACTTCTTAAATAACTTCTTCTTGGATTTTCTTGCCATCAAGACCATCCTAACACACATTCTGCTCTCAATCTACCGCTCTTGTTCTCCAATCCTGTCCTCCATTCAGTGTTTCCACATCTTTTCTTATCACATCTTCCCATCTCAATGGTGGTCTTAAATAAATATTTATGTAAAATTAATAAATTCATTAATTTTATATTATCTTAATATTAATAATTACATTTTGGGTAATAATACAAAAAACTATATATTTTCTATTCACATAATACTAGCATCTGTATTAGGTCAGGATATTATATAGGCTTTCTTGGTAATAATAATAAAAATGTGTGATTTTTTATTTACCTTGTCCAACATAACTCTTTAATAGTTGCATAGAGAAGTTCTGGACATATAATTTATTATAAACTGAAAACTGAGTATTATAAGTTGTATAATAAAGTTATCTATAACTATAAAAAACGTTAAAAAATATATTAATATGCAAAGCATAGAAAGAAACTGTGGCATTTTTGGCATTCCAGATATATTAGAAAGAATGATCAAAATTTTAAAAGCCAACAAAATTTTGAAAGTTCAATTTCAGGAAGAGTTGTCACTGTAATTTGAAGTAAAATATGGGTTTAGCAAAGCATGTTGTTTCACATATTTTTTCTTAACTTTAATTAGATGTCATTAAAAACAAAAATGAGATTATATTGCTGATAGATACATACAATAAACTTCTTAATAATAAATAAAGTAAAATGATGAAATGACAAATATTTGTTTGTACCTATTATTTTTTGTCATGGAAAAGTTTTTAACATCTACTAAATTGAATTAAATTTTATAAAATACTGAATACTTAACCCATAAAAAAATATGTCCTAATTTACCATTCATGGGTCCAACATGAAGTTGTTGAGCATTTTATATGGATGTCCCAAGTTAAACATTTTCATGGGTAGCTTGCAGTAGTGTATTGGAGGGATACTGGATGCATATCAACAAAGTATACATGGTCTTGGCACTACATATAAAATAACCCATTTTCATAGCTTGTATTGCTTTCCAACATTAATTAGTCTTGTGGTTCAATTAATAGACAGTGTATAGCAGCGATTCCCAAATTGCGCATTAATATCTTTCAAAAAAAGATTTTGAACCACTGGCCACAGCTATATAGTGTACAAACCAAATTGCCACCTGGGTGACATAGGTTTTTTCTTTTAGATTTGGAGCGTGATCTATTGATTTAACTGTGACATGTATTATTATTGTTTTTTGTGTCTATAAACAACTTTGCTACTAGGCATCTTGCTTCATTGTATTAAGTGTTGCACCCTTTTTAAAAGAAAATTGTATTTAGTTAGGTTAGTGTATTTAAAAGATTATTGATTAAATTTTCAATGAGGTTTTCAAATCAATTTGAAAAAACTGAAAAGAAAATTACAGATATAATGGTAAATATATTACCAATTTTGTTGTTTTTAATTTTATCAAACAATGTTTTCTATAAAGAAAAAAAATGACAATTTGATGACCAAATTAATATTAATTCGAGTGTAGTGAGAAAATTTGTTTAGGTAGATTCAACCCATTTTAGATGCATGTATATAGACGCAATTGAAGTAAAAAAATTCTCGGAGAGAGTTCTTAGCCCCCAGTTCCCTCCCCCTAATTATGTCTTAGCGCGTATACCTATACATTTATTTACCAATATATAGACAGTGACTTTTTTTTTTTAATAAAAATGATGTTTAAGCATTCAATTTTTCAATGTTGACAACAAATATACATTTTGTATGGTAATACTCATATTTTGTCTCATTTATAAATTAGTTAAGTATTGTACTATTTCTAAGATAAAATTGAATGCAAACAATAAAAATGTCTCATGTTATCCAGTGATAATTTTATTTCACTTCACATATATTGGTTCATTTTTAAGTTTTTGGATGAAAGTAGACAGTAAATTAGAGAAACGTAAAAACAAATTACATACATATGAAATGTATTCAGCTGAAGGAAGAATTTAGGCACATACCAAAATGTACCATCTCCAAACATATGTGTGCTATTGTCACATAACAGATTGAGATGTGCTTTGCAAGTGAATAACATTCAATTTTTCGGCCCGAAAGAATAGTAACAATAACGCGCCATCCTTCCAGCAGCGATACAAAGTATTGAAAGTTTTTGCTGCGTAGGGCGGGTTATAGGCTGTGGTATAGGCGTCTTCCTGAAGCGACAACGTAAGTCGGTGTGGCGTCGCCAGCAACCAGCGGCTTCTGTGGGTTGATTCTCTGAATAAAATAAATTGATAGTCTTATAAATATTAGCCACTGATAAAATAAAATTAGTCACCGAATTCCAGTCCATTAAAAATATTTCGATTCTATAAAAGTATAAATTAGTCGACTATAATTGCGGGACAGTACGTGCCTGGCTCTCCCCAAGATATTTAAATATATTGGTAATCTTTATTATAATAAATTATAATATAATGTATAATTTTTATTTATAATATTTATAATTTATAACCAATGGTAATAGTTCTAAATATAATAATACAGTATCTAATAATATGGTAGGTAGGTAGGTAGGTTTTCATTGGATTTTCGTTTTAACGTTCCAATTTTCCATAAACTATGATCAGTTGATGACCTATTACCTTGATAACATAGCCTATTGAATAGATAATGTTAATGTTAACAAGTCTTAAATAATATTTTTTAAATATATATATATATATAATATAAAACGACATTCAAAATTTAAAATTTTTTTATCATTTTTCGATTTATCCAAGAGTTTTTCCAGTAAATATGAAAAACCGGGGAAAATGTAGGAGAGCTGAGAAAATCGGTACAATATTAAACAAATATTGTTAAAGAATATACATAGAGTCAATTTAATTATTTTATTATTATATGGCATATCTATTGTTGTCCAAAAATATATATATTTGACGTAGTATTTTTATATTTAAAGGGCTCAATAAATGGGAAAAACCAGGAAAAAACACGGGAAAACGGGAAAATAAGTACAATAGTAAATTAATATTATTAAAGAAAATATGTAATTAGTTTATCATAATATGACATACATATTGTTGACAAAGCAACAAAGCGACTATCAACTGAACTCCTTTCAGAATCGTTTTATCGTAAGCAATGGTTTATCGTTGCTTACAGGTATACATGAATTATCTATAAGAGTGGCTGCACCCGTCCCCATTTTCCTAGGACGTTTTTTTTTTTTGTTTTAGAGAAAAATCAATTTTTACTTTTAAATTGAATAAAATAAATTCTATTAGCACTTAACCCTTATTATAATAGACTATAGAGAACTCCATAATAATACCATATCGATAAGAAATACCTAAATACGGATTATTAAAAATCACTAAAATTAATTATTGGTAATAGTTAATTTAATTTCACCTACTGTACACAAGGCTAATAGTCATATAATAGCTGAAGCTTAAATAAAAATAAAATGTTTACTGAAATACATAGTGCTTCCACAAAGAGAATTAAACTTTGATGGTCAATAACTGACGAATAAATTAGACAAAAAATAAAAATTCCGACATTAAATTTTTTTTAAATAAGACGGCCATTCTTCGCACGATGAGTAGGCTACTGTTGTTGATTCTGAGTGGAGTTTGGTTAATATTGTTGTTTCGTCAAAAATATAATACATGCCATATTAAGGTAAAACAATTCCATATGCATTTTATTTAATAATATTTTTTACTGAATCGATTTTTCTTATATAGATATTAAAATTTTTATAAAAAATTAAAAAATATACATATAAAAACATATATAAATAGATCAAAAATGACTACTTTTTTTTGAACATTTTACCACGTCTAGAAAAGGCAAATATAATTTTTCTGTCAAACCATTAAGTTTCAATAAATATTTTAAACTGAATCAAAACAAAATAAAAAATTGAAACGTAATACAATATATCGACAGTTTTCCCGTTTTTCGTATGTTTTTCCCGGTTTTTCCCATTCACTGGGAAAATTCTATAGAAAATCATAAAATTACCTCCCTTAAACACTACCTTAGTTAGATTTATTTTTTTTGATCGCAAAACTCACAAAAGTTTATTAAAATTAGTTTTATTTATTTCAATTATTTGGGTACCTATTTGGTTGTTTTATTTTATTTCAGGAGTTACTTAAGTAACTGTACAATTATTACAAGTGAAGTAAGTACTGTAATCGTTTATACCGGTATCTAGCTGAACCTAACAAACTGCTACTCGCTACGGATGAAGGAGGTATGGTGCATCTGCCCCATACAACCTTACTTGACATTGGAGGGTTCGCCTACAGGAAGCAAGGGGATGTATAAGACAGGTAACAGTAGTAGCTCTACAACCAATAAATAAAAAGAAAATAATGTCAATAATTTAATGTTGCAGTTATGTAATAAGTAGTTGTACAAATAAACAATTTAATATAATAACTCAACAATAGACAATTGACAATGCTACTGTAATGTTATGCCCACACAACATTTTACGTTTATGCAATTATTTTTCAATCGTGTGACTAAAAAATTTAGATACGACCAAGTACTTGGTATTTATTAAAAAAAAAAAATAATAATTAAAGTAATGAACACAACGGGGCGTTCGTTATTTGAGAGAGATTAATATATTTTTTACTAGTCTAAACATTGTACAACGTGTGTGAATATAAAAATTCACACGCCGGTCGGTGCGTTTGTCGACGTCGTCCTCTCACCGACGTGGTTGCGGACCACCCAATTTCAATTTGAAATAATTATAATTTTCTTTGTTTATCGATCTCGCCACCATTCTCGGACTCACGGCCCAGTATCCCTCCGAACAGCAGGAGGAAGTTAGTGATTCAAATACCAGATTTAACATAGGTATCAAAATAACTAACCCCGTTCATTTTAAACATTATTGTTTTTATTATCATAACATTTCTCCCCTCCTATTTTTCTTCCTTTTTGTATTGCTACACCACAATAGGGGAACAACAATATTAAAATAATGTAACACTAAATTCACTAATAACAATATAATAAACTACAACCCTAGCCCACTATTGGCATAGGTAGGTATAAATAACTATACCATCATCCGCGGGGATATACTAACTACGATAATTAATCATTGCTTGTTGCTCACTGGAAGCAATGTGCGTATCGTGTGCGAATTATCTTTCAAAAGACCTAAAAGAAAAGAAGGTGGCCTAATCCATCTTCGTAACATAAAAAAAAAAAAACTAAACTAAAAACTATATTATTCCGCTCATCATTTATATTTCTTGTCAACAGAAAAATATCACGGTATTCGTTTTTGCAACGACTATACAAAAATTCACGATAACGTTATCGGAAAACAAAACAGGTGACCGGTGAACTTTGGATGTACCAAAGTTCACCGGTCACCTTTGGTATACCTAGACATGTCTGATTGTGGGAGACCAAGACCGGTCACTCGGCAGCGAGTAGGTGCCTAGATCGCAGCTAGAGAGCGTAACTTAATTGGTTATGCGTGAACAAACACATAAGAGGTTTATACAAAAAAATTTATGATGTAGGTACTAAATATAATGCTATATAATATTGTGAATATCAGGAACATAACATAAATCATATCTGGTAAGTAAAGGTATATTATAATATTATTCATATAATAGAGGTAAAACTCTAACAAAATTAAACTTGTTTTTTAAAATAGTATAAGCCCACAATAAGGAGTATAAGTTACATCAAATTGTAAAATAGGTATTTGATATTATTTTGAAAAATCAGAAATTAATAAGAATTGAAGTGTACAGAGTCGAAACTGATGTTTATAACCATGGCGATATATAGAAAGACATTTTAAAGAAGCCGGTGCATGGTGCATCCAATTATTTGCATTGTAATTAAGAAACAGAACAATAATTTTTTCTGAATTAAATTTATTTTGGTAGTTTAAAAAAAAAAAAAATATTTATTTGTTAAATTATACATATTACAAATATCATAATTATTACCTAGATATATAATATTTTACTTATTAATACTATAAAAAATGTCAAAACATTTAAATACAATTAATGTAATATACACATACAATTTAATGCGTGCCTACTCAATACTGTATAATTGCTGGCATTCTGGAAATCTAATTGATGGTGCACGTCCACTTCTTAATAGTTAATACTTACTTTTTCCTCAGTCTAATAATAAAACGGTATTGGTTGGAGTTTAAAACAATTAAATTTCCTCTACGTTCAGAGAATATAAGTTTTACCTACGTCTTGGTTATTTTCCATTTTATTTAAGTATAAACGTAATATATTTTGCACACACAACGCATAGGTAGTACGGGAAACCACGTATTGAGTAATGCGTACATTTTGATATATATATATATTTCGTATGACAGAGTAGAGCAACAAATTTAAACATATAAATATTAACAGACAAATGTACTAAATGGAATGACATAAAATAATCTAAACTGTACTAAACAATACATTACGAAAGTTATGTTAACAGTGATAAATGATATTGAGGATATAGACATATGGTAGCTATTGTAGCTGGGAGATATTTGAAACTATAAATTATAAATTAATGTCCAGATTTTGTATCCAATCAACTACACCCCTGTTAGCCGTATGGATATCATTTAGAGTGCCTTTGAATGCGCGAAACGGGCATTCGGTTGCTATTTGGGAGATTGTTTGCGTATCGCTACAGTCACAGGAAGGAGTAGTATGTAGTTTCCATTTGTACATCATGTGATTGTACCTTCCATGGCCGGTCCGAAAGCGATTTAGAGTCATCCAAATTTGTATAGGCAGATCGAAGACCGGTTGTTTGGATGTTGGATTGGTAACAGTGGTTTGTCCATTAGGGTTCTCCGCTATCCAATCCTCATGCCATTTGATATTTCTCTCGATAATTTCTAGTAATAATTTCTTTACAGTTATCCAATGTGGTTTACGAGACTTAGAGACTAAGACGTAGTCTTTCCCCATACATTCTTAAATCCACGTGTATCGGAAGGTTCGTGTTATTGTTGATCTTAGTCTATTCCCGGATGAGAGCTTGTTTTCTTTGGATTATAGAAGGAACTATATTGTTTAGTACTGGGAGCCATTCTAAGGGGGTAGATTTTAATGTCCCCTCTATAATTCTCATTACTGAGTTGAGCTAAGTATCAAGTTTATAGTATGCGCACTATTTATCCATACAGGCGCGCACTGTTCCGCTGCTGAATACACTAGTGCTTATACGCAGAGTATTTGCATTTATATATATTTTGATTATTCGTTGCAAAAATTTCGTTATCGTCGTATTTATATAGATTATTATTATTGATGGATTCAGTAATATGCCATCTCAAACAATAGTAGGTAATTAAACTCGATTACGATATAAGAATTATTAATATAAGTTGAAATATATGTATTTTTGATTACTAAGTATCTAGTTGGATTTTCAGATTACTACATATTTTACAATTTTGCGTGGAATTATGAAAAACTGAGCGTTATTACCCCTCTCCCCAGAGAGGATTTAAAAAAAAAAATAATACAAATAGATAATGATGTAAATAATTTTGTAGTAGGTACATTATTGATAATCGACACAAGTAAATCATATCCCAACAAAAACCCTCTGTCAACTACGTATAAAAACCTCACTAAGAAAAAAAAAATTCAAGTTAGAAAAGTTATGATATCAAAAAGGGGCTAAGTAATTTCTTAAATTCATTTGTATAGAAATTGCTTATAATTATTTGTATTTGATGAAGTGCGATAATTTAATAAAAATAATTTCACTTAGCTTGGCAGCCACTAATATTTAAGACACTAATATTTATATAAATAAAGATGTAATGCCGAAATGAATATTTACATCCTCATTTTATAATTTATTAATATGTATTGCCATAATACTATTTAAGTGCATACTATAAGTAGCCGCCATGCTATGCTAAATTATTTGTATTACATTATCGCACTTCATTAAATACAAACAATTATAAACAATTTTTATATTAATGAATTTAAGAAATTACTTAGTCCCTTTTTGATATCACAACTTTTCTAACTTGAGTTTTTTTTTCTTAGCGAGGTTTTTACACGTAATTGACGAAGGGTTTTTGTTGGGATATCACTTACTTATTATTACAATTTTAAATATAGTTAGCATATGTTTTTTATTTTATCTTATTATTATAAATGTTGCTGGAAAATGATACTATAGTAACACAACGATAAAATAAATAAATAAAATTGTTTTTTATCCACTGCAAACAGGTGGTAACAACGTGTACAACATAATATATTGATGAATTGTTGAAAAAAATAGCGTTTCGAGTGAAAACTATAATAATACTATGGCATATTACTCAGGATGTAGTTATCCGATTTACTTGATACATTGATAGATGACATAAACATATCTTTTACTTAATACACTGATCAACCCGTGTAAATTTTAAAACAATTAGTTCATTAGTTAAGGCTACAGAGAGGTCGGACCATTTGTTATAAAATTACACAAGTCAAATAGGAGTTCACCATCTCGGGTAATATACTACGGTCGACGAACGAGCTCTTTTTTCTTTTACTTGATTAATATTTGAACGTTATTGTAACATTGTAAAAACATTATAATGTTAATAATACATAATATGTGTTTAATACATTATTATACACTTGATTAATTTGTATGTTGTCTGTGAATTATTTTGTAAGTTTCCGGGATTATGAAATTGTGTACCAATTCCGGTTCGAAATTTTTGTTGCTAAAAAAAAATAAAAAATATAAATATAAAAATTAAAAAAAAAAACCTTTACACAAAACACATTAATATACGTGTAGTCACATACTTATTATGGCAAAATGCAGCTTTGAAAATAGACCGTCTGGATGTTACTATTTGTATTAATTTTAAACCTTCTTCTTTAGCGCACTGGTCGATCGCCTCTTCCATAAATTGTTCCGAGAAAAGATCACTAATGTCTTGGTGAATTTTGATTACCTTGAACAAAGTGCATGCAGTTTTTTATAGGAGTAATGTACCTAGGTAAATACCTAGGTAGTGTAACTTTGTTATTCGTTAACAGTATTTTTTACAATGGCAATGCGTTATTTTAAAGGTTATACGACCTTATCTATTTTCAGCGGATTTTGATATAGAAGGTTATTTTATTTCATTTTTATTTTAAAAGTTATAAATATTATATTAAGGTAATTTTTTTAGATTTTTTTTCACTTGTCAATTTATATTACACTTATTTTTAAAAGATTCCATCCGTTAAATTAAGCTAAATAATTTTATTCATCATTGTTGGATTTTATTTAAAATCAAATTGATTAATTCTCGATAAGATATTAATTATCTTGAAGAGTATTAACTATTTTCATAATTTTTTTTTCTTTGACAATTTATGAAACCAGTTTTTTTAAAATTTAAAATTTTGTCACCTTTATACTTGGGAGTGAAATGATTACCTACTTTTGATGTTCAAATGGCAACCTGCATGAGAAATGCTATAAATAGACGGAGTATAGTTTAAATATAGTTTGGTGTTAATATTTTTGATTTATGTCAAGCTGTTGACAAGATATTTCACTTCTAAGTTTAAGTAGGGGAAGTAGTTTATTTGGTGTGATTTTAATCAAAAATTGGTTCATCCAAAATTGTTTTATCTTTAGACAATATTTTTAATGTTTGGTTAAGATACCTAGTTATATGTAATATATTTTAAAGGTAACCTAATCTTATAAAAACCGAAAAAATCAATAATAACGATATTCATATTACTTGTTTGAGTATTTCGTCTTGTTCTTTGCGTCCGGTTATTTCTTTGTGCCTCCTGTTACCCTCTGCAGCTTCTCGCATTACCCTGGTTAGTTCTCCGAGTTTAATCAAACGTTTGTTTTCTTCGTCATCGTGTTTAATGATTGCTTCTTTGGAAATAGTATCTAAAAATCGACTAACGTATCTTCTAGTAGAGTTTTCTAATATATGGTCTTTGGTAATGGTCTCTTGTTTATCATTCTGTCAATAGATAAATATTTTTATTCAAAAAAATATTATTTGTTTATTGTTTATTTTGATAAACAATATTAATTTTTGAGTTTTTTAAATTCTGAGTGTAATGAAGAAGGTATTGGTTTTACAAAAATATTTATTATTTTTTTTATACTGTGTATAAAAATTCTACCAGAAATCTTGCTTCGAAGTATCTAGGATAGCATCTTTCTGAAAGAGAATTTTTCCGGGGTGGTAATTTAGTGTAATCATTTTTTGATTTTCATAGGAATTTTTTCAATAAATAGGAAAAACTGAGAAATTCAGGAAAATATATGAAAAATAGGTATTAGTAAACAAATATTACGGCCTTTCTGTGAACAACTTTCGAACAAAGGTCATTTTTTGATTTTCCCAAGAGTTTTTCTAATAAATGGGAAAAACATAGTAAAAACCGGGAAAAAATGGGAAAATATTAAACAAATATTATTAAAGAAAATATATATTTATATATTATATATAAAATCTAAATATCACTGACTCACTGATCACTGTATCTCAAAAATTACTTAACGAACGCACTTGAAATTTGGAATAGTGGTTTCTGTAATACTTTCATCGTGCAATAAGAAAGGATTTTTGAAAATTCCACCCCTAAGGGGATAAAATAGAGGTTTTTAGGTATATTTGGTATGAATATCGAATTGGTTATTTATTTAATTTTGTTTATTCAAGGGTTACTTTGGTGTTACAGAAAAGAAAACTATTATAATTATTATCATTACTATTATTTGCACTATTAAAATTTCATAATAGGACACATTTAATCCGTCGAAGGTTTTTGTCATATATATTGTTGATAAAACAACACTATTAATCGAACTTCGTTCAGAATCGTTTTTCATTAGCAATGGTTAATCGTTGCGTACAGGTATACATTAAATTTCTCTATTTTCCCAATTGCTTATCTGCAACAGTGGCTCACCCACGTACGAAGTATATTCATCTTTTTTACTAACACATTTCGTACATTTTTTTTACTTACGTTTTCGGCAATAGTTGATGAATGTTCCACCAAAGTTCCTTCTGGATATAAAAATGGCTGTAGAAGCGGTTCATATCTGATTTTAGCCATAATCATCTGCACAACCAAGTTGTGATTATAATATCGTTTAATAACGGTTATTGAAAATTTTTGATATTATGGTGTATTTTACCATGGTTTGATAAGCTCTTCCTTGTAATAAATTTTGGAAGAGGTTTACGTGTTTATCCGAATCCTGTCCAAATTCATGTTCCTCTTCTACGGGATATCTTATTCGATTTTCCTCTACAACCGGTTCTATGTTATGGTCCGATATTGGTTTTTCTTTCTCATTAATCTTTTTCGATAAATGCTGTTTTTCTATTTCAATTCCCATGTCTAAAATATAAGAAATAATAACGATCTGTTTTCGCTTACAATTTTAGTTACATAAAAATATTTATTTTATAACAAGTATATTAAATCACTTTTGATAAAATCTATTAAAATTTTATTTTTTACATGGTTCAATGGATTATAGAATTGTTTATATAGTTCTTCCTGACATTTTTCGTTATGATTTGTTTTTAAATGTTGCAAGTTATTCGATTTAATACCAATATCTGTAATAAATAAAATCTTCACTGTAATACCTACTTAAAGTTTATTAGTTGTAGGTATTATAGTAAATAAATATTAAAACCGCAATGTAAAGTTTTCATTTTGTCATAGACCGATTTATTCGTTATTTCTTCTTTTTCTTGACTCTCACGGAGTACTCGAGGAAGGTATTTTGAAAATTTATATCGTTCAGGTTCTAAATCTAATATTTAAATATTGTTATGATGCATGAATTATACTGTACTGAAATAATCATGTAGGTACTTTTTATATTGTAATCTATAATTTAAGTTATACCGGGTTTGTCGATTTTAACTGTATACTCAGGTATCTGCGCACATTTAAAATCTTTCACCTCAGAAGATAGTTTACTTATTTGATTTTTATAAATATTCGTATATAGATGAGAAGTTTTTCTAGACGTTTCTTTATGTTGCCAACTTAAAGTACGCAAATCTGAAATTAAACTTATTAGTGGAGTATCTACGGGGGGGGGGGGGGGCCAAGGATACTGGACCCTCCCTTAGAGCAAAAAAGAAAACAGAGATATTTTTCTGCAGCATAGTTAAGTAATAAGTATAGAAATTATACATTTATAGTAATGTTATTCTAATGACGGTTTCTAAGTTGTGGATAAATATAAAGTGCGATAAAGGCAAGGTACCTTTGTGATAAAGACTGTCGCACAGAAAAACTGATTATTGATAGATTTGAGTGTATAGCAATAGTTGTAGAGGTATGAATGTATAATAAAATATATATTAGTGGCTTTTATATTTTAATTAATATCATGTAAAATCTTATACCCTTAAATTTAAAATTTCTTGAATTACACGAAGAGTTTCTACAGTTTGTTCCTACAACTGATGCATCTGGAAAAGGTTTATCAAGACTTATACTTGACAATGTCAGAAAATTTGTTGTCGATACATAATATCTTTGGGATAGGGATATTATAGTGTAACAGCGAAGGCTGGGAAATATAATGGAGTTCAAGCGTATGTAAAAAAGAACATCCATTAGCTGTATACGTACATTGCTTCGCTCATTCCTTGAATCTTGCTGTATCGGTATCATGTAACGTTTCCCAAGTACGCAACTGTATGGGAACAATAGGAAAATTGAAAGACTTTTTTGTGTTTCCGAAACGAAAATCTGAACCATCAAAAGCTTTAGAAATGTCAAAAAATAATATTCCTAAAAAATCATTAAAAAGAAATTATGAAATTCGATGGATTGAATGATATCATTCAGTAGACAGTAAGTGATTTTTTTAAAACTGTTTGAATGTTTAAAAGAAGCTCTTGAAGAAATTTTCAAGTGGGATCATACAGACACTCTGAATCAAGCTGATGCTTTCTTAATTTCAATTATCCAACCAGAATTTATAATTACGTTAATTATTATTTCCAAAGTATTTGGACTCCCACTATTAAAACAGTTTCAACGAATTAATATTGATTTAAAATGAACCATGGATTTAGCTCTAGATACTTTGATCTAGTTAGAAGATTATAGAAAACATGCTCAGAAAAATGTTGAATTGCTGACAAGTTCAATATGACAATGGGTATTCTAAGAATTAATAAATTACAAGTACACAGAATACATGTATAAGCTAATAACCCTGAAGAATATTTTCGCATATAGGTTTTTATTTCATACCTTGACTCTTTAAAAAATCAATTAACATCTAAATTTTTTAATCGTATTGATATTTTGTCACGTTCTTACTCATTTTTCGATGAGAATTCTCCAAAATAGGAATTTTAAAAATTAGTCGAATTTTACAAACGAATTTTAAATGGTAATAATTCAATAATAGAAGAGTTCAAACTGTGGCAAAGGAAATTTAAAAAATTGGAAATGAAATAAAAGAATTCCATTGATGCACTGTAGTTGTGTAATGCAGACATATATTCAGGCGTAAATAAGTTATTTCAAATTTTGGCTACACTTCCTACTCGTATATCTTCGGCTTTAAATAGTAAATGTTTAATATAAAATAAAAACTTGTATAAAAAAATCTTTATCTATTAAAATTTAACTATTGCATTTAAACATTGTTCTGTTTTTTCTTTTAATTTTATTATTTTTATTAATATGTTTAGTTTTATGATGTAATTGAGGATAATTTATTGTATAGAATATTTGTTGTTGTTGATATGTTAAAATTGTTTAAACTCACCTTGTAGATAAGAACTACTGTTTCTTTCACAAGCTTAGACTTTCGGAGACAACATTTAAATGCATTTAAATTGTATTTGTCTACTATGTAAATTTTTTTAAATGCAAATATTATATTATTGTTATTATTATTAAATGAACGGATTTTTCATCTCTCAAAAGAATTAAAACATATCTACAAAATACAAAATCTGAGGTAATAAGATATTTTTAAGAAATTTTAATTTAACGGTTCTTTTGTTTTATAAAAGACTAAATGGATTGGTCATGTTAAACATTCATAGGGAAGTTGAAATTACAGTGGATGAAGTGATAGATGAATTAGTAAAAAAATACGACTGATATTTATTTTATACAATACAATTTTATTATACAGTGAAATATAATAATATATAATATTACATATGAGTTAATGTTTAATTAAATTCCATTCTAAAAATTGTTTAGGGACGTAATTGTTATAAACTATCATAGTGTTTATATTAGTTACGTATAAACTTTACTATAGACACCTCAAAATATATAAATTATAAGTTATAAAATTACAATCAATACTTATGTACGTATTACGTTTATATTACCTACCTCTTGTGAGTTTTTTATTTATTCTGTCGTATTTTTTATTTAGTTCATATTTATTCTTTTTATCTAATCTGGTTATTCTACGTTGATAGCGGTCTTCGAAATTATCCAAACGAAATTGATTACTGAAGTCCATACTCGTCATACGTACCTATTTATTTAAAAAAAAATTACAGTTTTGATTAAACAAAAAAATATATATATATATATATTTTCAGTCAATATATTTAATACGTTTTTACGCGAATTCCACGAATCTAGGAAAATTAAAGAAAATAAATGCGTTGTTAAAAAAAAATTAGTAACAATGGTTACACTATTTTTGTAAGTTATATAGATCTTTAGATTAGAAGAGGTTACCAACCTTCCGAAAGTCTTTCATATTAATTTCCTTAATAGAAAAAAAATAATACCTACGGAGTTTTTAAATTCAAAGAGAAATTCGCTATAGTACCTATAGTTAAATTTCAATGATTCACGGTGTTCGTTAAATGATCTATTAAAAGTGAGTTCAATTTATATAATATAATGAACTATATAATTTATTGTACATATCTATGATATTTTATCTGAACGTACCGGGCCATCATAGAATAAATAACAGCGGTTTTAGTAGATACATTAGCCCGGCAGTGTTTAGACATGGCGTCTGGTGTCAGAGTAGTGCATCACATTAATCTTCAGCGTCAAGGTGTCAAACAAATTTATAGTTTCCTTTGAGGAGCGCGAAATGTTTATTGATTTTTTCAAAATATAGATTAAGTTAAAAACAAAAATAACTAAAAATATAAAACTTTTGTTCTAATCAATATTATACGTATAACTTTTTTACAATTTAAGAACTTTGCACTTTAATGAAATGTATATTGTTTTGACTGATTAAATTTATTTAAGTAATATTTTTACAGAATACGAGTTTCAAAATGTGACTACTCAAATGTGGATAATAATTGTATTATGCTTGGGTCGTATTAATTTCTCATTAATACCTGAGATATAAAGAATGTCAGTCGTTAATTTTCCGTGATATTGAATGTTGTATTGCAGTGGTTATTAAACTTTTGGTGCACACGGACCTGGCCCTGACGAAAGATTTTTAGAAATCGTGGACCCTCTACGGATACTTTTTTTTTGCAAAATATCTCATGTTATCATAGGTAATCAATATTTACCAATTGTGGTAGCCTTGGACCACTTGTATAAAACAATTTGACCATACATTTTATTTAGATATATACGTATGGTATCGTTTTTGAAAGGGAATCTTGTCCAGATGGTACATTTGGGAGATCATTTTTTGATTTTCCAAGAAGTTTTTATTATACCTGGGAAAACCCAGGATAAAACGTAAGAAAAACGGGAAATGTACGAAATTAATGCTTTTATTATTTTATCAATTTTGTTATTTGTTGTAATTCAGTTAAAAATATTTTTAGAGACTTGAAATTTGGACAGAAAATTTATATTTGCATTTTCTAGATGCGGTAAATTTTCAAAACATTTAAGTTTCGAAATTATAGCTTTTTGAAGTTAAGATATTATGGAGACATTACATGTTTACGTTAAATAACTCTATATTAACTATATTAACTATATTAACTTCTTTATTATTAATTTGTTGTAGTCGAATTGTCATGAATACTTATTGTCATACTAGTGGTCATGGGTTCTTCGAACCCGGGGTTTGATATCTTTTGCACTTTTGTGTACCTAGAGTAGAGTTTTTCGGACGATTTTAATTGAAAAATATTTTCGATTTGTTGGGAAAACTTTTTTACCAGAAATCTCGCTCCTATGTATCAAGTGAAGCTTATTTTCTAAAAGGAAATTTTATCTTCATGGTTAAGGGAGGTCATTTTTGTGATTTTTTAATCAGTTTTCAATAAACTTATTAGATCAAAATATTATCAATTAAATGACTAACAAACGTATGGGTTGGGTTAAGTTTTGTTGTGGCGATTTTTCGAATTAGATTTCAATAAAGCAATCACAGACTCACTTCACAAACTCAACTTAAACACAAACCAAATAATTTTAGACACCTGTTTTATTATAAAGATTTTATACTAAAACTCAGTAACGGCAAAATAGTACTCATAATTGTTCAAAAAAATGACTTTAAACGGTGTTTTAGGTTTTGAGTGGAGTGCGGAATGTACTGATTCACAATAATATTTAATTTTTTATATGTGAACAACTTTTATAGCAAAATAAGAGTTATTTATAACACAGCGGAGTTACCGATTTCATTGTTTTTAATTCTTGCAAGCTATGTTTTCTACCAGAAATATTGCTTCAATAGACAAATAACATGAGCGGACAGTTACAGTTTTCAGAAAATATTTCAATGTTGCTTATCCACACAAACATTTTTTTTAAATTCTTTTTTTTTTTTTTATTGGTCTAATTTTTTTTATTTAACTAACAATATATATTTACAATCTGTATTTAGACGTAATACAATAAGTAAATGTGATGTGGAGATGATTTACATGAAGAGGAAGTCGCCCAGTGGCGGCACCCTGTGGAAAGCGATTTAAGGAGAGAGTAGGTCNTATAGTGAGGATTTCCTATCTCGGGCGCGTGTTTTTGAGTGGCATAAATTATTTTCTGAAGGTCGAGAGTGTACCGGAATCCAATTCAGTCGTAATCCAAATTCAAAACCGTTTTCTTCGATATTAACGGCATCGTGATGACTGAATGGGTTCCAGAGGGTCAAACTGTGAACCAATATTACTATTTTACAGTTTTGGCAACATTGCGCGAATGAGTTCGTAAGAAACGGTCGATATTGTGGAAAAACAAGTCGTGGATCTTGCACCAGGATAAAGCGTGAAGCGTTATTTGGCCGCTTATGGCACTCCAGTACTCGAACACGCGTCTTACTCACCCGACTTGGCACCCTGCGACTTTTACTTGTTTCCGAAGATAAAGTCTGCCTTAAAAAGAATCCGGTATGAGTCGATGGAAGAGGTGAAACAAAAATCGGCGGAACTCCTGAATGGTCTTACGAAAACAGACTTCTAGCACTGCCTCGAGCAATGGAAGAAACGAATGAAACAGTGTGTGGCGAGGGGAGGGGAGTATATTGAAGGGGAGCATTTGAACGTAGAAGAACTTTTATAATAAAACACTTTTTCGTAATCTGTCTCGTTTTTTAATAGCCACATCTTGTATTCTTCACTTCAGTCAGAATCTTTTTTTTTTTATTTAACTAACAATATATATTTACAATCTGTATTTACACGTAATACAATAAGTAAATGTGATGTGGATATGATTGACATGAGGGGGAAGTCGCCCAGTGGCGGCACCCTGTGGAAAGCGATTTAAGGAGAGAGTAGGTCCCTACACCAGTTCCTTTTCAGGCGCCTGATTGGGTTACCTGGAATTTGATTGTATGAAAGTTTGGTGATTATAGGATTAGAGTGAGTACTGAATGTTTTGTGCGTTTTTTGTAGGTGATTTTTGCAAGTTTGTTTAAGGTTGGGATGCAAATGTCTTTATGGAGTGATTCATTGGTAATATACCAAGGGGCACCTGATATAAGACGTAGACAAATAGACTGGAATGCCTGTATTGTTCGAGTATTAGAGGGTTTGGCTGATAACCAAAGTTGTATACCATAGTACCACATGGGTCCACATGCGTAGAGGATGGAATTTGAGCATTGCCGATATAGGTTGTGGGACATTCTAAGGATCGAAGTGTGAATGTAATTTGAGAGGATTTTGATAGATTTACTTGGATTTTCCAGTCATGAAACCAGGTGTTTAGCACAGGTGGTTTTGGATTTTTTGGGCAGCTTGGGCGGGATCTTTGTCGGGAGCAAGAATAGCAGTGTCATCCGCGAACGTATCGAGTAGTGTGTTTTCGTTTAGAGGTAGGTCACTGGTAAAGACGTTGAATAGGAAGGTAGCTAGGTCACTGCCTTGGGGAACACCAGCCGTTGCTATTTGAGAGTTGGATAAGGCGCCGTTAATTTTTGTGACAAATGTTCATTGGTTTAGATAAAATTTGATTAGTAGGTAGTACGGAGCAGACAAGAAGGATTTTAATTTAAAGAGTAGGCCAGGGTGTTAAACTCGGTCAAAAGCCTGCGATGTCTAGGAAAATACCAATGCAGATTTTTTTGCTCTCGAATGCTAATGAGATATGATAAACGACTCTATGCAGTTGGTGGATTGTGGAGTGTTTAAATTTAAAGCCAAATTGGAAATCGGGTATAATTTTGTTATCTGTGGCAATTTTTGAAATTCTTTTTAGGAGTATTTTTTTGAATAGTTTTCCTACGACAGACAGAAGGCTTATAGGGAGGTAAGAGTATGGGTTTTCGAGAGGTTTGCCTGGTTTGTGAATGAGTATTACTTGAGCATGTTTCCAGATAGATGTCATGTAAGAAAAACGGAGTATAGAATTGAATTTATATGATAAAAGTATTATTGGTTTGGGAGGTAGTTGTTTTAAAAGTGGGGTAGTTATCAAATCATGACCGGGAGCTTTGCTAGTCTTTAAATGTTTTATATAGAAGAAAACTTCATTTGGGGTAGTGGGTTTTGCAGACATAGAAACTGGTAGTGGACTATCTAAGAACTCAAACACTCTGGCAGAGTGCTGGGGATTAGTTTGTATAGTGTTTGGTTTAAAAACTGTAGCAAGGTGTTCGGCAAAAACGTTGGACTTTTCAACGTCTTCAGTGATTTTAGAGTTATCGGGGCGACGGATTGGAGGAGTGGGTTCGATGTGTCTAAGGATTTTTTTGGTTGCATTCCAAAGCGCGCCGTTAGTTGGATTTAGGTTTGAGATGTAGTTGTCATAGAATTGATTTTTGTGATTTCGGAGTTGCCTTTTAAGTTTGTTGTTTAGGTTATTGAAGATCCGCTTATCGTTAGAGTAACCTGTGATTTTCCATTTGACACGAGCTTTTCTTTTTTGTCTTATGAGTACATTGATGTGGCCCGGGAGTGGGTATTTGTCCAGAATTGTTTTCGAGGTGGTGGAATAGTTGTTACATGGGCGCGAGGACAGCTTAGCAGCGGATTGGATCATTTCTACAAATGTGACAGAAGCTTGCTCGATGTCAATGGCAGTTTTAAGAGGTATGCCTAATTTTGTATTGTCGCTTAAGTACTTTTTGTAGTGGGTCCAGTTTATTGGGCTTGAGATTAAGAAAGATCTTATTGGGATTTGATTTGTTACACCATCAATGACTAGCTTTACTGGGGTATGATCAGAGGAAAGATCCATGATGTTAGATATAGCAAGGGGTAAGTTACTTGGGAGTGAATATATGAAGAAATCTAAAATATCTGGATGCCTATTGATGTGAGTGGGCCAGTATGTCGGTCCAGTAGGCACGAGATGTGACCAATTATGATCAGTAATTGTTTTGTGTAGGATTTTACCTCTTGGAGAGGTGGAGCGGCAGCCCCATACTGGGTGTTTGGAATTAAAGTCACCGCCTGCAATGAAATTGTTCCCTAGTGAGATGAAAAGTTGAGCAAAATCTTGAGTAATGATTTTNCCGTGATGTTAGATATAGCAAGGGGTAAGTTACTTGGGAGTGAATATATGACGAAGTCTAAAATATCTGGATGCCTATTGATGTGAGTGGGCCAGTATGTCGGTCCAGTAGGCGCGAGGTGTGACCAATTATTTCGGTAATTGTTTTGTGTAGGATTTTGCCTCTTGGAGAGGTGGAGCGGCAGCCCCATACTGGGTGTTTAGAATTAAAGTCACCGCCTGCAATGAAATTGTTCCCTAGTGAGATGAAAAGTTAAGCAAAATCTTGAGTGGTGATTTTTTGGCTGGGAGAACAGTAGACTAAAGCAAGGGTTAGCGGGACGTGGTTTAGGGAAATTTGNATTGTTTTGTGTAGGATTTTACCTCTTGGAGAGGTGGAGCGGCAGCCCCATACTGGGTGTTTGGAATTAAAGTCACCGCCTGCAATGAAATTGTTCCCTAGTGAGATGAAAAGTTGAGCAAAATCTTGAGTAATGATTTTTTTGTTGGGAGAACAGTAGACTGAAGCAAGGGTTAGCGGGACGTGGTTTAGGGAAATTTGGATAGAAACTGCCTGAAGGTTGGTTTGTGGATTGATTGAGTGTAGGTTGTGAACTAAGTTAGTGGCAATGATTATGGCAGAGTAACCAGGTAGTTTTAATTTTAGTGTTTTTGTTAGGTGAGTTTCAGTGATATAGGCTACATGGATATTATTTTGAATTAAGAAATTATGTAGTTCATGTTTATGTTGGGGTAAGCCATTTGCATTCCAGAGAATAATATTTGTTGCACTATTTAACATTATGACTAAACAATTTGGTAATTAGTGATGTAAGAAGAGAAATAAGAGGGGTTATTAGTGATTTAAATTCTTCGAGGAAGGATGCCAGGGTTGGGGCTTGAGGGACTGTTGAATCATGGTTGTCTAAGTTTGAGGTGGTGTTTTTTTGGAAGTTGTATGGGCGTAAGATGGTTTTCCATTGCTGTTGATCTGGCTTGAGACGACCTGCTGTGGTGAGTCTTTTGAAGAGCTTAGTGTTGAGAAGAAGTTTGGTTTGGAGTTTTGGTCCCGTAAGGTGGATTTTGATGCGGAGTTGCGGTTATATTTTTGTAGGTCCTTATGTACTTGACACCCTCTATAGTTGGCTGGTTGTGGTTGTGTACATCAAGCACAGGTTGCAGGAGAGTCCTTATCTTTCTTGCATTCGCTTGATAGGTGGTTGTCGCCACATTTCACACATCTAGGTTGGTGATTACAGTATGCTTGGGAATGGCCATAGGACTGGCAGCGCGTGCATTGAATTAGGTTGCGTCTGGGACGTGGCTCTTCAATTTTTATTTTTGTATAAACGAGTGTGTCTATTGTAAAAATATCTTTGTTTGATGGTGAAGGCTCCAAGTCCACGAAAAAGAGTGGGAGGGTTTTTTTAGTTTGATAATGCAGAACGTTAATAATATTCCTGACAGTGAAACCTTTGGAATTTAATTCCTCCTTTATAGTGTCGACAGGCGTAGAATGATGGAGGTGCCTTAATACTACTCTATATG